GATTGTGGAGAGATGTTAGAAGGCGCATCCTCACCTATCCCCCCTTCTTGCCCTCTGCTTCTATCCATCCCCCAGGCCATCTACCTCATCCTCGACCTCTGTGAGGGCGGCACACTGCAGCATGCCATCGGCAATCAAGGCTTCTGGGGCATTGTTTGCTCCCTCTCAGATATTCTCCCCGTTGTCTCCCTCCCCATCTCTCTCCCCCTCTCCCAGGCCATCTACCTCATCCTCGACCTCTGTGAGGGCGGCACACTGCAGCATGCCGTCCGGAACGAAGGCCCTTGAACGAGCGGCGGGCGGCGGCGGTTTGTCAGGGAGTGGCGGCGGCGCTGCAGTGGTGCCACGGGTGTGGGGTGATGCACCGCGATGTGAAGCCGGATAATATTCTCCTCGTGCGGCGCGGGGATGATACCTACGTCAAACTCGCCGACTTTGGAATATCCCTCTTCTTCCAGCAAGGTGAGAACTGCTTGTATGGGATGGGAGTGGTGCATGGGGGCCTCTGCAGGAGTGCCATGGGTGTGGGGTGATGCATCGCGATGTGAAGCTTTTGAGTCGACTCAAAAGCAGTGCCACGGGTGGGGGGTGATGCGTCGCGATGTGAAGCTTTTGAGTCGACTCAAAAGCAGGAGTGCCACGGGTGTGGGGTGATGCGTCGCGATGTGAAGCTTTTGGTTGAGTCGACTCAAAAGCAGGAGTGCCACGGTGTTGGGTGATGCGTCGCGATGTGAAGCTTTTGAGTCGACTCAAAAGCAGGAGTGCACACGGGTGTGGGGTGATGCGTCGCGATGTGAAGCCGGATAAACATCCCCTCGCGCCTCCCCTTATTCTCCCCCCTTCCTCCTCCCCTCCCCACATCCAGGCGTCTCCTGCAGGGAGACGGTGGGGTCAGCAGCCTTCATAGCACCGGAGATGCTGCAGCACGCCTACTCCCACACAGTCGACGTCTGGTCCCTCGGCTGCGTGCTCTTCTTCCTCCCAACCAACCAGCCCTGCTTCTCTCCCCGCCCTTGCCCCCGCCCTTGCCCCCCCCTCCTCCAGGCGTCTCCTGCAGGGAGACGGTGGGGTCAGCAGCCTTCATAGCACCGGAGATGCTGCAGCACTCCTACTCCCACACAGTCGACGTCTGGTCCCTCGGCTGCGTGCTCTTCTTCCCTCCCCCCCACCACAATCCAGCCCATCCCAGCCAACCCTGTCCACCGCTCCCCACCCTCCTCCCTCCCTGCAAATCTCCAGGTGTGTCCTGCAGGGAGACAGGTGGTCAGCCGCGTTTATAGCTCCAGAAATGCTGCAGCAGCCTCCTACTCCCACACAGTCGACGTCTGGTCCCTCGGCTGTGTGCTCTTCTTCCTCCTCGCGGGGGTCGTGCCCTTCCGAGGCGCCTCCAAGGAGGAGACGTTCGAGCGAATCATGGAGTGCCACGTGGACAGGGCCTTGCGGTTACCGCCGTGGCCGAGAGTGTCTCCCGGAGCGAAGGACCTGGTGCGGCGGCTGCTGACAAGGGACCCGCGTGATAGAATCACCCTTGAAGAAGTTCTGTGTGAGTCTTTTAATCGTTCTGATACGTGTTTTCCCCGGTGCGAAGGACCTGGTGTGGCGGCTGCTGACAAGGGACCAACGTGATAGAATCGCCGTTGAGGAGGTTCTATGTGAGTTAATGATGAAGCATGGGGCTCTGTGGGAGTGTACGTGAGTGTATGAGAGTGTGTGTGAGTCACTTGTGAGCATGTCTCAGGAGTGTTTCCCGGGGCGAAGGACCTGGTGCGGCGGCTGCTGACGAGGGACCCTCGTGATAGAATCACTCTTGAAGAGGTTCTGTTTGAGTCTTTTGAAACTTCTGAAAGCTGACTCTTGAGGCAGAGGATTTGGTGAGGGTTACTCTTGAAGAAGTTAGTGTGAGTGGGAGTAGAGACAGGAGGCAAATTACCTGTGGGAGATTGCGGCCTGTTACGTGGCCCCTCCCCACCCCCATACCCCATACCTGGTACCTTTCTTTGTGCAGTGCACTGCAGTCAGCACCTGTCTGGACATCTGTCCGCACGCCTCCTCAGCCTCAACCTCTCGCTGTCGTGCCGTCACCTCTCCCTCTCATCCCTTTGCTCTCTCGTTTGTGTTGTGTCACATTTCTGCAGGTCACCCATGGATCACCGGCAACTAGACTCACATGCAACCCCAACACAGGATAGCACATGCTGTCTCTTCTGTTTTACTCAACAATCTCCCTTGCCCCTTTTGTGCTGCGTCACGTCTCTGCAGGTCACCCATGGATCACCGGCAACTAGACTCACATGCAACCCCAACACAGGATAGCACATGCTGTCTCTTCTGTTTTACTCAACAATCTCCCTTGCCCCTTTTGTGCTGCGTCACGTCTCTGCAGGTCACCCATGATCCCGGCAACTAGACTCACATGCAACCCCACACAGGATAGCACATGCTGTCTCTTCTGTTTTACTCAACAATCCCCCTTGCCCAACCCTCCTTTGCCCCTTTTGTGCTGTGTCACGTCTCTGCAGGTCACCCATGGATCACCGGCAACTAGACTCACGCGCAACCTTAACACAGGATAGCGCATGCTGTATAGCTGTGAAAGGGCGGTATGGTGCCGAGTGGTGACATGACAAAACACAGTGTGTGGAACAAAGTGTACCTCCTGTTTATTGTGTGTGTTCGGGGTGAATTCAAAGAAATCATTTTTATTGGCTCCAGTGTGCACAACGATGTGTGGTTACTCAAGCAGATATGCACCATAGCGTTGGTGGAAATAGTGCCTCAAAATGACTTGAATGATTGTAGGTATGTTTAGCGTAACAAAAGAAGCACAGAGATAACACCACATTGATTTGTCACCCAGCTTAAGCTACTCTGCACCAAACATCCAAAGCACCTATCAATTGTCAATCCCAACCATGTGCAAGATTCTCCCCAACCTCCCTTCTTCAAAACATCCAGGCAATGCAAATTACCACCACGCGCCTCCGTATCAAAATCAACCGTCCACAACATCCCTTCCATCTCTTGGGCAAAACAGTACTACCGTTATAGCATGGCAAAGCCTCCCGCTTCCCCAGCAAACCCCGTCCCCCCCAGCTTCAAACAACCTCCCCAACAGCTCTCCCCTCCCCTCCCCCATTGCCACGGACCGTAGCGGAGAGAAACACAGGGAGAGGAGAGACGGTGCAACAGCGTGCATCAAGACATTTGTAAGAAACCAGCAGCAGCATAGTATTAACCATCCAGATCAGGCTCCCATCGCTTGGCAAAACCTCACAGAGAACCGCTGAGGGTTCAGTGTAAGCAAGCAGCCTCAAAGCCAAAGAAATTCACTGACGCTAGTGATGTAAGTACCTAGTGAAAGCAGGTACGGTACCATACCGAAAGAAACAGGAGGAGTTTGTGCCATTGTTTACGAGGTGAATTTTAAGTCGACTCAGAAGTCAATTTCGCTGACGCGACTGATGCAAGTACATAGCTAAAGCAAGTACGGTACCATACTGAAAGAGAAGGAGAAGGAGCAAAGACAAGTAGCAGCAGAGGTGAGAGTTTTAGGGAGGGGAAGGGACAAGAACCCTGGTTGGGGAGGGAGGGGGGCAGAAGGGGGAACGAGCGGGAGAGGGGTGTGGAGGGAATTGAAGGAGAGCCAGTGAGGAGGTGAGGGGTGAGTGGAGGTGGAATGAGAGGTTTGGGGGAGGAGCAGACGGGGGAAGAGGGGGTATGCCTGGAGTGAGGGATGGATGGGGGATGCGAATGGTGTGTGAATGGGTGGGGGCAGACGAGGGGTGAGAGGGGGAAAGCGGAGGGGAGGACGGGGGGATGAGGGACGGTTAGGACGGAGATAAAAGGGGAGGAGGGTGAGGGAAATGAGGGGTGATGGGGGGGGACGGTGGGAGGGGGAGGGGAGGGGGGGGAGGGAGATGAGGAGTGAGTGGGGGTGGGGGGAGAGGAGGGGGAGAGGGCTGGGAACGAGGGGTGAGTGGAGGGGATGGGGAGATTGAGGAGGGGGGAGAGGGGGGGGAGGGGGATGCAAAAAGGGGGCAGCAAGTGCGCGCGGGACGATAAGCGGTGCACTCAGGGAATTGAGGCGAGTGCAGGGAGAGGGGAGGGGGGGGAGCGGGGAGATGAAAGGAGAGCGGGGGAAATGAGGAGAGAGCTTGGGGGTCACGAAGGGAGAGAGGTGGGAATAAGGGATGCGGGAGGTTTCTAGGCAAGGTCAGGGGAGGAGGGGCAAGGGGAAGGAAAGCGCAGGGAGGGAAAAAGGAAAAATCAGGAGAAATAGGCCACTCCGCCTGTCACCTCTCGGCAATCCTCTCCTTTCTGATTCCCCTTACGCGCCCCAATCAGGACTTTCGCCAGTCTCCCTCCCGAAATCCATTTTTTTCCGCTGTCTTGCGCAACGGTCAGGGTTCGTATCATGCGTTTGCGCAATATGCCTCCCTGAATAAACGTTACAAAAGGTCTTCGCATACGAAGAAATAAAAATAAAGAATCCGACTCAACATAGCGTCAATAAATAATCTTTTCGAATGTGGCCGCAAGTCGACGCTGATACTCCGAACTTCGACGTACGTGTCTATTTACTTCGCGAATACATGAGCTACAAAAATCATCTTACCACCACTGCCGCAAATCTGGAGAGAGCAAATAACAGTATCCTATTAAGATTCCACAGTAGTTACCGCACTGATGTGTGAACGGGAGAATAAGGGCGCAGTTTCTATCCCTTGTCAGACACGAAGCCAGACACGAAGTTGAGGTTGGGAAGACCCAAAGGGACTCGGAATGCTGGCAAATTTAGGTTCGGAAGACACAAACCGAGTCACTTGGTGTCTTCCGAAGCTTTGACCTGAAGTCTGACACGGGATAAAAACGCACCCTAATGAAATACGACTGAAAGCGCGATCGAAACAAGCTACGGTGCACGCGCTGTGTGGGGTGGTTCTATTCTGCCTGAACTCTGCCAGGGTTTGTTTTCTGCACAGCCCGAGAAAAGGTTCGTTTCATTTCCTTGCATATTCGTCTACTTGCCAAGTCACTTATAGTCGTAAAAGACAGAGATACTTATATAACTGAATACAGAGTTAAAGTGCTTACTAAGATCCCTAGGATCCCTAAGTGTCAACCACAGTATCTGCAGATCCCAGCTGCTCGCCTTTCTTGGTTCTTGGTCTTCTTGACCCCTCTTGGCCGTTGAGGCAAATGCCTGTTGGGGAGGGAGCGGACTTATTTACAGGGCAGAAAGGAGGGGGGCGGTTAAAATTATATACAGGGCAGCACATTGACCACCAGGTTGACCACCGCGAGGAAGAGAGGGAATATCGAAGACAATCCCAACTGATCTCAACCACGTCCAACCGCACCTGACCTTCCGAACCTAACGTCCTAGCTAATTCGAACCTAGGTCTAGACTAGACCGTAACCCAGAACCGAGCCTAGCTAAGGCTAATGCGTCGCCTAGCTAAGCCTAATACGAGCTTAACGATCTGACTAACGCCCCTAACGTTCTGATCTGACTAACGCTCCTAACGTTAACCTAACCACCCAAGGACCCAGGGCCCAGACCCACTTACAGGGCTGGTTGCTCCAAGCTCGAACCTCCTTGCCCCGCGCACCTCGCCCGATCATGCTGCCCACAAAACAGAACCAACACATGACGTTAGTGTTATGATAAGGAAGGAAAAAAAAATGAAAATGACGGAACCTACCAGGAAAAGGGAGACCACTCAGTTTACCCCCTTGCTCGCCGCCAGCTCCCCATCGCCAGCCGCCGCACTCAACCTGCACTAAGACAAAACACATAAGAGAAACTTGATAAAACGTAAACGAAATGGTAACTTAAATTGATGATACCTACCAGAGAGGGAGATCTCGCCATGTGTACCTCCTCCGCCCGCTCCAGGTGTTGCCCGTGCTCCCTGCTCCTGCTCCTGCTCCCTTTGCATTTAAAAGGCAATGGCAAGGAAAAAACGTTAGGTAACAGAAAACAGATAGTCGCTAAAGGGCTAAAACAGAAGACTGATGACCAAACGAGGTAACACAGGCGAACTTACCAGTAGATGGAAACCATTCCGTATCCCCCTCACCCGCCGTCAGCTCCCCATCCTGCTCCTCCTGCACTAAGACAGGACACAAGAGAAAAACTTAGTAAAATGTAAACAGAATACTAAACTGAACTGACGATGCTTACCAAGAGAGGGACAGCTCGCCGCGTACCTCCCCCGCTTGCTCCAGGTGTTGCCTGCGCTTCTCCTCCTCCCGCTCCTGCAACGCGAAAGGCACGAAACTCGAAGTTAGAAATCTCGAAATAAATGAAACGAACCAAAGCGGACCGTGCTTACCAGGAAAACGAGAGCATTCTTCTTCCTCCCGCTGTTGCCACGTGCTCCTCCTCCCGCTCCTGCTTCACAAAGCCACGGAACTTGAAGTTAAAAATATCAAAAAAGAAGTAACGAACGAAATAGGACCGCGCTTACCAGGAAAGCGAGAGCATTCTTCTTCCTCCCGCTGTTGCCACGTGCTCCTCCTCCCGCTCCTGCTTCACAAAGCCACGAAACTCGAAGTTAGAAATCTAGAAAAAGAAGTAACGCGGAACGAAATAGGACTGTGCTTACCAGGAGAAGGAGAGCGTTCTCTTCTTGTGTACCTTCCTTCACGCTTTTACCACACGCTCCTTCTCCCGCTCCCAGCATCCAGCTCCTCCTGCATCAAGACAGAGATCACACAAGAGAAAATTAGTAAAAAGAATACAAAACTATCTGAAATCGACGATACTCACCAAGAGAGGGAGAGCTCTCCCCGTGTGGCTTTCTTGCTCGCCGTCACCTCCCCATCGCGCTCCTTCTGCACTAAGACACAAGACACGAAAGAGAAAGTTAGTAAATCGTAAATGAAATACTAGCTGAAATTGACCATACTTACCAAGGAAGCTCTCCCCCTGTGACTCGCTTGCTCGCCGTCAGCTCCTGCGCTCCTTCTGCACTAAGACACAACACACAAAAAGAGAGTTAGTAAAACGTAAAGAAATTCTAGCTGAAATTGACGAGACTCACCAAGGGAGGGAGAGCTCTCCCCGTGGGACTCCCTTGCTCGCCTGTCACCTCCCGATCGCGCTCCGTCTGCACTAAGACACAAGACACGAAAGAGAAAGTTAGTAAAACGTAAAGAAATTCTAGCTGAAATTGACGAGACTCACCAGAGAGGGAGAACTCTTCCCGTGGGACTCCCATGCTCGCCGTCAGCTCCCGATCGCGCTCCTCCTGCACTAAGCCGCAAGACACAAAAGAGAAGGTTAGTAAAACGTAAAGAAATCCTAGCTGAAATTGACGAAACTCACCAAGGGAGGGAGAGCTCTCCCCGTGGGACTCTCATGCTCGCCGTCAGCTCCCCATCGCGCTCCTTCTGCACTAAGACACAAGACACGAAAGAGAAAGTTAGTAAATCGTAAATGAAATACAAGCTGAAATTGACCATACTTACCAAGAGAGCTCTCCCGTGTGACTCGCTTGCTCGCCGTCAGCTCCTGCGCTCCTTCTGCACTAAGACACAACACACAAAAAGAGAGTTAGTAAAACGTAAAGAGATTCTAGCTGAAATTGACGAGACTCACCAAGGGAGGGAGAGCTCTCCCCGTGGGACTCCCTTGCTCGCCTGTCACCTCCCGATCGCGCTCCTTCTGCACTAAGACACAAGACACAAAATATAAAGTTAGTAAAACCTAAAGAAATTCTAGCTGAAATTGACGAGACTCACTAAGAGAGGGAGAGTTGTCAACGTGTGGCTCCCTTGCTCTCCGTCACCTCCCAGCTTCATATCCCGCTCCTTCTGCACTAAGACACAAAACACAACAGATAATTAGTGATTCGTAAAAGAAGTACAAGCTGAAATTGATGTTACATACCAGGAGAGGGAGACCACTCCGTTAATCCCTTTGCTCGACGCCAGCTTCCCATCCAGCTCCTTCTGCATCAAGACAGAGATCACACAAAGAGAAAATTAGTAACAAGAATACGAAACTAACTGAAATTAACGAGACTCACCAAGTGAGGGAGAGCTCTCCCCGTGTGACTCCCTTGCTCGCCGTCACCTCCCAGCTTCATATCCCGCTCCTTCTGCAGCAAGACACAGCGCACAACAGAGATAGTTAGTAAATCGTTAACAAAGTACAAGCTGAAATTGATGTTACTCACCAGGAGAGGGAGACCACTCCGTTAATCCCTTTGCTTGCCGCCAGCTTCCCATCCAGCTCCTTCTGCAGCAAGACAGAGATCACAGAGGAAAAAATTAGTAAAAAGAACACAAAAATATTTGAGATTGACGATACTTACCAGGATAGGGAGACGGAGATGAAGGGCGATGCGGCAACCGCTCCGCATACGCCGTGCGACGGATGCCTCTGTCCTTGCCAGGTGCGCGCGAAGGACGAAGCAGGCCCATGCGAGAAGCTCTTGATCTAGAAGAAAGATCGTCTGCAGGAGTAGAGCAAAAAATACGAAATTTATACGTACCTCCACTCAACCAAGAAGATCGATCCTCAAGAGACGAATGCCGTACTGAATCGTCATGGCCGTGCGTCATGTTGGTGCCGTGCGCCGTGAGCCGTGCGTAAGGAGAAGCAGATCCATGCGACGAGAGAAGCGACGTCCGGTAGAACCGCGTTGGCTTGAAGGCTCTGGGGCTTGAATGCGTCAAGGCGGTTGCCTGCAGGATAAAGTTAATACGTTAGTTCTTATCCAGGAAAAACATTACTATTGCGAAAGACATGAGCATGGCGTTGGACTTACCTCTACTCGAAGGGTTTAAACCCATCCGCCAGAAGTGAAGATCGTCTCCTCGTGGCGACGAAGAAGCGCCGGGCGAAGCAGACGACCGCGTCCGCGTCTGAATCACTCAAGCCAGAATCGTCGAATGCGGTCTTCCAGGCTCTTAACGTGAAGTTCATCTTGAGAAGATCTCTTGATGATAATCGCGGTGAAGATACTGCAGTGGTAAACTTCTCGCGGTGGAGTTCTCGCGGTGGAGTTGTTGCAGTGGAGATCTTGCCAATGGAGTTTTCTCGCGATGTAGTTCTCGCCGCGAAGAACAGGGCATAGTACAAGGTTCCGGCCAAGGCTTGCAAGCAGCTCTCTAGACTCTCTACCCACCCACCCCACCCACGAATCTAGACTCTAAGCTAACTCTAACGCCTACACGAACCTACACGGACTCTAAGACGCGCTGCTGCTTGCCTTGGCCATCCCCTTGTACTAGCTTGGGTGGATTCATGGTGTAGTTTAGACTGCTCCATAGAGCTTCTCGCATGATATCCACAGTAGCTCATTGGGACGGAGCTAACTGAGACGGAGCTCTCTGGGTCGGAGATTATTGAGACGGAGCTCCTCTGAAAAATCCTTCCGACGGGATAACAGGGAAGGTTCTAATCCGAGAATGAAGTTGACGATAGGAACTTGTAGTGCCTCTGGTGGAAGGAAAGGAACGATCAAACAAGGTGGCTGGGAGTAGGAGACTGTCGATGAAATCGATCATCCGTTTCGGAAAATTCTGGGTGCGGTGCGAGCTATGCAATCGGCGCGGCACGTCTGATTATTTTCGCGTCGCAGCTATGAAGGTTCAGGAAGTATGATCTCAATCATCGATGATTCCCGCTCTGACTCAAGTTGCCGTTGACCTTCGCTGCTGCTACAGCGCGGGAAAGGGTGCGGCTAGTTTGCGGGTTACACGAGGTGACTTCATAATGAACGGATGGCTGCCGCCACCACAGATATTTTTCCACCTTGGAGATGTTGGAAATTTCCCACCATGGTTAATTCAAGGCGACTCGAATGTGTGTATGTGCTTTGGTCGACGATAGCCGCTGTTAGTCGCTGAGTGCGGTGCGCTGCGATCAAACGCGGGGGCTCTGGTGCCGTTACAATATCAAGGTAGTGTGCAAAATATGAACAGATGGCTGATGGATGGACGGTGGAGAATATGTTGGAGGGTGTGGTGTGGTGGCTGGCGCCGCCAAGAGATTTTTCGCCTAGAAAATGTCAGAAAGTGTTGCACTCAAAACTTGAGGTGGCCCAAATGTGTTCCTTCGAACTCATCCCAACGCGACTCGGTATCCTGAACCAATTTCAAATGTACAGTTCAGTGGGTGGTTGGTGAAGTTATGTGTTTTGGTGAATATAACTATAAGCGAATCTGCTGAGGGCGCGTATCATTGTGTTGTGGGTTGACGGGCACTCTGACATCGGGTACAGTTGACTTGGATCTGGGGCAGGAAAGGGTTTTTTTTAGGAGGTGGTGTGACGTGGCATGCGTATTTTACATCTATAGCCCGACTATGGGTATTCGCGAGAAAATTGTGCGTGAAGTGCGGGATTGCGTTGAAATCGTTACTAGATTTGTGAACGGAAGGTTCAGGTGCTCTCGCAGTTCCTTTTTGTTCCTTGCGAATATGATCGGGGCAGCTGAAAATGACAAAGTGGTGATTTAGAAAAGATCATGCGAGCCAATAGAATTGGGGGGTGTTTCTCGCCCTCATCCGCCACCCTCCAGCTCATTCCCCGTCCAGCTCATCGCCGAGGCTGGGAAGATCGATTACATTCTTGGATTTCATTTCGCCGATTAGCGTGAATGCTCACCCTCGACTCTGCTTGCCGTAGACTTATGTATCTCAGTCTTGCTATCGGTTCAGTGTTTGCCGCTTCCAACTGCTAGTACCAGAAGCCGCTTCCCACGTCTAGAAGCTGAGCGAGTTATGGTGTCTGTTTCAAGTGAAATTAGCAGCCAGTAGTCGGAAGATCTAACGATTTCTAGGTTGCGAACCGCGGGAGCATTGACTTGCGGACGTATTAATAATGTCGATTTGCGGATACTTATCATGCCATCGCTTGATCGGCGTCGACTTGAGAGCGCGTCGGCATTGCGGGCTCTGTCGATCTCGTTAGGCAAGCGACGCGCAGCGCTCTGATCTGAACCGTTGCACAAGACATGTGAAACGGGGAGGGGAAACATGAGAGGGAGGGAGGCACGGGATGCACTCAATATGGAAGGGAGGCAATAGACTGGCAAGAGGCGGCGAGGCAGGGCGGGTAAGGGAGAAGAGAGGTTCACGAACTTGTTACACACTCTCGCGAACCTCTGCTTTTGGCGAGCATGTTGCATGCCCTCGCGTAATGGAGAACGTTATATCGAAACACCATGTCGTGAGACCCCTCCGTTTCCCCCCTCCTCATCTTCCCTCGCACATCTCTCCTCCCTCTCTCCTCATCTCCCCTCGCTCTCTCGTCATCCCCTCCGCGCTCCCCTTGTCCCCCCCTCCCCTCTCCTCGCCTCTCCCCACTCTCACCACATCTCCCCCGCTCTCTCCTTAGCAACCCCCGCCCTCCCCTCGACTCCCCCCGCTCTCCCCTCATCTCCCCCCGATCTCCCTTCATCTCCCCCGCTCTCCCCTCATCTCCTCCGCCATCCCCCCATCTCCCTCGCTCGTCCCCCATTCGTCCCGAAAAAGCATCCCTCACCCCCCCCGCGTCTCACCCTCATCCTCCCCTCTGTCTTACCCTCATCCTCCCCTCTGTCTTACCCTCATCCCCCCCGCGTCTCACTCTCATCCCCCTCCGCTCTCCGCCGCTCTCTCCCCATCTCCCCCGCTCTCTCCTCGTTTCCGCCCGCTCCCCCCCACCCCCTTGCTCTCCCTGTCATCTCCCCCCGCTCTCCCCTCATGTCCCGTTTGCCTCCCCTCATCCCCCCCCCCGCTCTCCTCTCGTCACTCTTCCGACTCACCCTAGTTCTTCTCCTGTTTACCTCTCATACCCCCTCCGATTCCTTCCTCCTTCCCCCTCCCCTTCTCGCTCGTCCCGCATCCTCGCTCTCCCCTCATCTCCCCTCGTCTCCCCTCATCTCCCTGCGATTTCCGCCTATGTCCCCGCCCTCACCCCTTCTTCCCCCTCAACCCTGTTTCCCCCCAAACACAGTCTCGTTCACCGCTCATCCCCTCCCCCCACCATGCCTCCTCTCCCCTCTCACTCGCTCCACATCCCTCCTCCCATCCACCCTGCGTCACCCCTCCCTCCCCTCGTCTTTCCCCTCACTCACCCCTCATTTCTCCCCATCCAGTCACCCCTCATGTTCCCTCCCATACATCCCTAACTCCTTCACCGCACCCCCCGTCGATCTATTTGTCACTCCCCCTCCGTTCACCTCTCATCTACCCCTCTCCCCCCAACCTTCCCTTGCTCTGCTCACGCCGCATTCACCCCTCAACCCCCTCCCACGTGACTCTCAACCCCCTCCCCCATGACCCCCAACCCCCAAATCCACCCCAAACACTGTCGACCATCGTATGTTCTTCGGCAATATTCCGTAACATTGTCGTACATGTGTCATAGCAAACAGGATGAGTATATCTATCCTTCTCTTTTCTCCCTCTCCCCTCCCCCCCTCTTTAACACCTCCCCTTGGCCCCGTCCCTTCCTCCCCTCACTCCTCCCCGCTCCTCTATTGGATTGCTTGTCGCTGCAGCATGTGAACCAACCAACCAACGGCTGCTCAGTTGCTGGTCTGATTTACACATGGCTGCATATGACTGGTTGCCCTTGCAGTGTATGAAATTACTCCACAGGTACCTACCGGGTAGACCGTGACTGCATGCAACTGGTTGAAACGTCAGGGGAATTTGCCTCTGACGGCCAAGAGGGGTCAATAAGATGGTCAAGCTGCTGTGGAGGCGGAAGGGTAGGGAGCTAGAAAGCTGGCAACAAGTTTTGGTTCTGACGTGTATCTCGTTGTACTGTTGAAACTAAACAGCTGGAGAATGAAAGAGTGCCTCCCTTTTGACGGAGTTCTTGCGAAGTTGAACTGAATCAACTCTCAGACCATTTGGAGAGCTGGGAGGCACGCTTCCACGTGGTGACAGGCATGGCTAGGACTTTGAGAGTTACGCTTTTCCTAGTTCCTGAGTCCTAACTCCATAACTCCTCTGCGTCTCAAAAGCAACCTTTCTCGCAGCAAACCCCATCCCCCGCGCTTGGGACTCTGGATGCCAATCATCCACGTGAGAGAAACCAAGCAGCAGCCTCCATATCAACCATCCAGACCACCAGCCTCCCTTCTCTTGGCAACACCACAGGAAGAGCCAGCAGCACAGCACGCATCAGGAAACCTGTAAGAACCCAGCAGCAGCCTCCGTATCAACCATCCAAATCAGGCTCCCGTCTCTTGGCAACAGCATACTGGCAGGTAACCCAGTTCCCGCAGCAAACTCCGTCCCCCCTGCCTCAGACAGCCTCTCCAGCAGCTCCCTCTTCCCCTCCCCCCATCGCCACCACCGCCACCACCGGGAGAGACAGGGTGATAACGACCGGAGGAGCCAGCGTCACAACACGAATCAAGAATCTTGTAAGAACCCAGCTGCAGCCTCCCTATCAACCATCCATATCAGTTCTCCATCTCGTGGCAGAACCATACTGGCAGGCAAACCAGTTCCCACAGCGAACCCCGTCCCCCCTGCCTCAAACAGCCTCCCCAGAAGCTCCCTCTTCCCCTCCCCCATCGCCACGACTGCCACCACGGCAGCTGACAGCAGCACTGGGAGGGTCAGGGTGATTCGGCAAGGGGGAGGCTTGGGGGAGTCAGAGAGATGGCGGCACCAGTGGCGGGAAGGGGCGGAGGGGGAGGCAGATGGGGAGGGGGAGGTGGAGACAAGGAGGGGGTGCGAGGGGAAGAGAGAGGCAACGTGGCCGTCCGGGCCCACCCCTAGAAGGATGAAGTCCAATCTGGGGAAGGGCGTATCTGCACAACAGGACAAAACGGGCAGACGCAAGGTGGTGTGGTTGAGACGAAGGGGAAGGGGGCAACCGTATGGGTCTGGTGCCACCCATCCCTTGAAGGAGACAGAAATAGCACGAAGATGTGGGTTCAAACCGCAGCAAAGCGGACGAAGCAGGCCTAGCAGGGGTATAGCAGGCCTAGCAGGGGTATAGCAGGCCTAGCAGGGGTATAGCAGGCCTAGCAGGCCCAGGAGTCAAGCAAGCCTACCTGGGTGCATCAGGAGAACCCCAACATCCACACACTGCTTCAACTCGCGCTCGTATGCCTTTGCTGCTGCTTCAACTGAGGGTGACGGAAAGAGCATGCCTAGCAGGGCTAGCAGGATGAGCCACCCTACCTGGGTGTATCAGAAGAACCCCAGCCTCCACGCACTGCCTCAGCTCAAGCTCATACGCCTCTGCTGCTGCTGCTTCCACTGGGAGTGACGGAAACATCACTCCTAGCAGACATCGAGAGCAAGCCTAGCAAGGCTAGCGGGATGAGCCAGCCTCCTGGGTGCATCAGGAGAAACCCCCGGGTGAAGGTGAACAGGCCTGGCGGGTCGAGCAAGCCTACCTGGGTGCATCGGCAGAACCCCAGCCTCAACACACCGCGCCATCTCGCGCTCATACGCCTCTGCTGCTGCTTCCACTGGGAGAGAGTCGTCGAGAGTGTGGATGTGGGCGGATGGAATGGGCACCTGGGGAGAAGACCGAGTTGTTGTGGGCATACAAGGCAAGGGGGGGGGGGGGGGGTGTAAGAATCGTGGAGTGTGGATGTGGACGGATGGAATGGGCACCAGGGGTGACGACAGGGTAGTTGCGGGCATACAAGGCAAGAGGGGGGTGTAAGAATCGTCTGTGCTGTTTTGTTGCTGTCAGATGCACACTGTGGGGAAAGGAAGCACCTTGGAGAGCCAGTGCGTGTGCGCCAGCAGGTAGTTGCTGTCGGGGTGAGTCAGTGAGAGGGATGCTATTGGGGTGAGTCTGAGGCATGCTGTTTGCGTTGAATTACAGGCTTTCAAACGCTCTAGGACACACAGGGGAAAGGGAGCACCTTTGAGAGCCAGTGCGTGTGCGCCAGCAGGTAGTTGCTGTCGGGGTGAGTCAGTGAGAGGGATGCTATTGGGGTGAGTCAGAGGCATGCTGTTTGCGTTGAATTACAGGCTTTCAAACGCTCTAGGACACACAGGGGAAAGGGAGCACCTTTGAGAGCCAGTGCGTGTGCGCCAGCAGGTAGTTGCTGTCGGGGTGAGTCAGAGGCACGGCCCGCTCGTCCACCCAGAACACATGCCACCTGGACCAATCACAGCGCGCCGCAATATCTGGATGCGCCAGCTGGCTGGTGTGGAAGAGGAGTGGGTTGGGGAGAGGAAGAAGGAGACTCAAAGAGGTAAGGTCCCCAGGAGGACAGCAAATTTGAAGACGTTGTTTATTTGCTCTCGAAATAAAATTCAGTATATGACAAGTGTAAGGAACGGTGGGGCGAGAAACAACAGAGCAGCTCGGCGAGTTGGATAGTGACAGCTCAGAACGACAGCCTGGCAGCATGGCAATGCCACGTGGGTAATGCTTACCCCAGGCATTTAACGACAGATCCCCCTGAGATGGCGATGCTGAAAGAGCCATGCGCTGCTATGGCTGCCTGGATGGGCGGGTGTATGGATGGGGGTTGGTTGAGGGGATGGGGGGATGGACGGGACATGTCACGACGGACCCCCCTGAAATGGCGATGCTGAAAGAGCCATGCGCTGCTATGGCTGCCTGGACGGGCAGGGTGTGGGTGGGAACGGGGAAATGACGGGGATTGGCGGGCGAGGGGGAGGTATGGGATGGGATGTGGATTATGGGGTGAGCGGGGGGGTGAGAAAAATGAGGTGCGATTGGGGTGAAAGAGAAGCGGGCAGTGAAGACGATGTGAGAACCTGTGAAATTTGTAGTCGTTACACGCATGAGAGTCGGTATGCCTCTCCTGGCTGCCTCACCTCGGAAGCTCTCACGATGACGTCAGCCAGGCCTCGCGAGATGTCGTCAGCGGACTCATGCACGCGAAGCTCTCCGGAACTTTCGCGCCCTTGTGTTCGAGTGGTGGGAGGATGGGGTGGAAGAAAATTAACGAGTCACTCGATAGTGAGGAGAATTTGGGGACCGCTAGAAAGCAAAATGGGCCGAGAAATACGCCACCGAATGCGTCAAGGAGATGCAAAGCCCGCACAGTACCTCCAAATCAGGTCTCCGTACCAAGTCGACAGTCCTAACTTCCATGTCAGCTTACACGAGAGGGGAATCGCGGTGTATTTCGCGTCCTCCATGGAATTTCCTGCAGTACGTGCTGACCGCTTATCTCGTCCAGGCCATAAGAAATCTAGGCGACAAACTCGCCGTCGCTATCTCTCTAGTTCCACGCTTGCAATGCGGGGCATCCTTCGGAAAAAATTGTGGCAAAGAAGCTATGTGGTCTGGACTGGATGTGTCCTTGGAATTTGATGCTCACTTCAGAAGTACGTATTATGCATCTCATCTACTGCAGTGTACTGATTAGAATAAATAAAACCACGTTATATGTATGCTGAACTTCTCAAAAACAAAGTATAAAGAGATTGCAGGCAATGCAACAGCTGAGATGTGGGGTGTGGTGTGGGTGGGTGTGGCCACGGTGGTGGTGGTGGCTGGCATGGTTGTTGAGGGAGCTGGCTGGTTGCTTGACCGAGTCATGACTACGTGTATGTTGGCTTCCGCCCATCGCGGCGCATCCCTCTGAGCCACTAGTTCCTCCGCACAAACTGCACTGCGAGCCAAGCCGGAAATTGGCTTCAAGTCTGACGTGACACTTCAAATGCTTCCAATATCCATGGAGATGGAGATTTCAGAACGAATCTGGACGAACAAGTTATGATTACACGTGGCACAATCGTAGTCCCCACATTTGAGTTCATTCTGCCTCTAGATGCACGAGCGGGCCACTTCACCTCGATAACATACCTTTCTCGAATATTCGCGCGGCGCTAGCGCCCTCGCTGGATTTCGCTTCGCTGTTACCTGTCGCCAGACTCTCGCCTCAACCGTTCAATCCAGATCCAAGGTTGTTCACACAACCAAAAGCACTTTCCCTGGCATTCCCCAACACCACCAACACCCACACTCAAGCATTATCTCCACTCGGTGATATTCTAAGAAACATTCTTTGCTTAATACTCCAAAATAGTTGGCTTGGCTGCAATTGCTCGACATCAGCTCCTCTTGCACTCACCATTCCGCTCCCTGCCTAATTGCCTGCGGAAGAGCCTGTAAGCCGGAGAAGCTGTAAGTCCGAGCACAGCTGTTAGTGTCTGAGGAACCTACCTTATCTCAGGCCTTGAGTTGCTCAAGTTTCGTTTTTTTCGCGTGAGCGCACTTTTTTGTGTTACGTAAGCCGCCTGGTTCAACCATGGATATTCTCACACGGTGTTCTCCAGCGGGGTCGGCGCTCCTTCTCTCCGGTCCACAAGAAGCTCGACCTCTCGCGCTTCGCACGGCGACACACTCCTTCCCCTCACAGAAGCTGCCGCAGGCTTCCCGTCGCCACGTCGTTTCGGCAATTTCCGAAGGCTCGCGAAAGTCGCAGTATTCGTCCAGCGAATTCGCGAAGTTACCAAGCGAGCTGCAGGACTTGTCGAATCTCGTAAAGAAGCTCGCGAACGAGACAACTAAACCTCCCCCTCCCCGCGCGGACACCGCGCGGCCGCCTGTCAAATCCCCTCGTTACAGCGATTTCGCTAACAACCCTGAAAACGACCTCTCTAATAAACCTGCCGTCGCGGCTCCCGATGCGCCGAGCATTCCGGGTCTTCCGGCGTCAGTCGCGCGGCAGATGCCATGGCTGGCAGCGGCGAAGGCGCAGCCGGCGCAAGATGCGGAGAGCGACCTTGAGGGATTGATACCCAAGGCGCGTTCCTCCCCGTCCATGGCGACACCCGACGACAGAACAGTGGTGCCTCGTACTGAGGTGAGAACCGTTTGGAGTTGAATTGTCCAGTTACTTGCCACGTGTGCAGCGGTTGACGCATTTCTTGAAAAACAAAATTTGGCGGCGTATTTTCGTCGTTGGTGGGGCCATGGCTTCCAATCCTTTTTCCGTCCGTGTACTCACCCACTGCGCCTCGTGCGTCGCTACCAATTTCACGAAAGCACGTCTTTCGAGCTGTTTCTTCCATCGTCGTTCTTCTTCGTCACTCCCGCTCCTCTCATTCTCTCGTCGCCGCGTCCGTTCATGTTCTATCTACCCTTGCTGTCATTCGCCAGGTCATCGCCATGCGGTCGCGACTGAACAAGAAGCTCAGCGAGTCCAACACGTACAACCGCTTCCTGCAGCGCGAGGTACGGAGCTGTACGGAGTGATGGGGAGCGGTGGGGAGCTGGTGGGGGAGGGTCTGTGTGTTTGGTTGCGGGAGGTGAGCTGTCAAAAGTTGAGGCTTTAGTGAGGAAGAAACGGGCTGAACAAGAAGCTGAGCGAGTCCAACACGTACAACCGCTTCCTGCAGCGCGAAGTACGGGGCAAGGAGAAGGGAGAAATAGGGGTGCTCCGTTTGGTCGCTATAGGTAAGTAAGCTTATGAACGTTCAGGATGTGGAGGAGAAAAGAGCGGCCTTAACAGGAACAAGCGCGTTTCTATTGCTGCGTGCGAGTGATAGCTTGGACGACCGCGCCGGACAAGAAACATTTCATCTTTCGCTGTATTTCTGGTTACGCAACCCAACGTTTTCCAAAACATGACCCTGTCTGCTGCGGATAAGTAGATTGAGTTTCTAGACGTCTCTGAAGCTAGGCTCGGCGTTTAGGCGCGGCGCACGTACGTTGTGGCTCGAACTTCCACGGCGACGCTAAGGTTGTGAATTTTAGGTCACCGCTTCCGTCCCAGCCACACCCCCATCCCTCCCCCCTTCCCCACACCAGGTGCAGTACCGCGAGCAGGCGCTGAGCGACTTAAAGGTGAACACGAGGTTCGGATTGTGCCCTTCTGCTCCTCACTCTCCTCCCCCGCTTTTCTCCCCACTCCACAACCCCCTCCCCGTTCTCCACACCAGGTGCAATACCGCGAGCAGGCACTGAGCGACTCCAAGGCACTCATGATCGCACTGGCGGCGGAAATGCGGGTGAGATGGGATGAACGGCTGAGATGGGATGTATTGGTTGGGCGGTTACGATGGGATGGGTTGGGTGGACGGTTGAGATTGGATGGGATGAACTACTTAGATGTGTCTTACGATGATTGGTTAGAGTTTCGGTTGAGATGAGTCGGGATGAAGGCGGGGACCGAACGTGAAGGTTGGGTGGGATGAAAATTTGAGATGGCATGAACAGCTGACAGCTCTCATATCTCTGGTTACACCAAGCAAGCCGTACATACATGATATGTTCATGCATGCATGCACATTGCACCTGAATCACCAAACACGCTGTGCTCATCATTTTCTCCAATGACTCTCCATTTGCCACGTGTTGCGCGCTCATTGCTCCAGGAGCTGAGCGAGGTTGCGGAGGAGATCGTGAAGACCGATGGCTTGCCAGTCACAAGGAAGATCAACGGTCGATATTTGCCGTCGCATCTCAGCAACAGATTGGAAGGTACGGATGAAGCTAGGTGTATGCCATGGCTCTAGTGGTGGTGAGTTGCTTCGCATGCATACTGCCATACCATCCCATGCACCCTCCCATTTGCTCACTCTTCTTGCCTCTCTCCTCTTCCCCTCCCTTGCTCCCCCGCTCTCCTCCCCTCCCCCTCCCCTCTCCTCCACCCCTCAGAGCTCTATTCCGACCTGAGGCAGCAGCTGGAGGGAATCGAGAAGCTGCGCCTGCGTGAAGTACCTCTGGTGTGGTTTGGCATGGCGGAGGACGTGAAGGTGATGCGGTCGTTCGACGGCTGGCCGTACGGCCGCAGAGGAGGTGCCTCCGGTGTGCTTCCGCTTCTCACCCACATCCCCTCACTCCCCTCGCTCCCCTTCCCTTCTCATTCGTCCTACCGCTCCCCCTCGCTCGTTCCCCACCTTCAGAGCTCTATTCCGACCTGAGGCAGCAGCTGGAGGGAATCGAGAAGCTGCGCCTGCGGGAGGTCCCCTTGGTGTGGTTTGGCATGGCGGAGGATGTGAAGGTGATGGGGTCGTTTGACGGCTGGACGTACGGCGAGCAGATGTCTCCTGAGACCACCGGCACCATGACTCGATTCACCACTGTGCTCAAGCTGCGCCCTGGGAGGTAAGGATGGCTCACCTCTAGCTACCGCTCACCACCATTCACCACCGTTCTCCGTCATTCACCACCGCTCACCACTGTACTGCACCGCTCTCAGGCTGAGGTTCGGGGTAGGTATGGACAGTCTGTTCCAAAGGCAGCTCATCAGAACAGAAATCCTTTTTGAGAATTCTCAAACGAGACTTGAGACCACCGGCACCATGACCTGCTTCACGACTGTGCTCGAGCACATGAAGAGCAGATGTGTCCTGGGACCACTGGCACCGATGTGCCGATGTGCTCAAGCAGTTGCTCATGGCTGCTCACCACCCCATCGACTCGTTGCTCGGGCGCATGATCCACTCTTCTCACAGGGCCACTGCATTCCTGTGTGCCATGCCACTCTCATGACCTTCCCCCATCCCATGATCACTTGCGTCATGTCGAGGCTGCTTCTTGCGAGGCCATTCTGAATTCAGCTTTTGTGTGCGTGCATTCAACTGTGTGCAGCTACGACATCAAGTTTCTGGTGGACGGTGAGTGGAGAGTGACGACAAATTGGCCCACGGTGGGCCACGGCATGATGCAATATTAATCCCTTCTCCCCCATCTTTCTGTCCTTGCATCCCACTGTGCATCTGCGTGTGCATTTGTGCACGGGCATGCATGTGTGCAGGTACGAGATCAAGTTTCTGGTGGACGGTGAGTGGAGAGTGGCGACAGAGTGGCCCACCGTGGGTCACGGTATGCTGGAGAACAACATTCTCACTGTAGAATGACCAATATAGCTGTAATGGGACTATTTGCGATAGCTACACTGCTAAGTACTGCTCAATACCGTAGTTACAATCGAAATCTTTCCTGCAGGGTTTATGAACCTTGATTTGCTTGGGGTGGCGACTGTATGTTACAGTGCACTGCTATGCCATCAAGTCACTGAAAGATTCCATTGTTTAGCAATTAAATAAAATCATATTATCAATGAGAAAGAAGCTCAGAAGAACCTGAATTATATGTGGCAGCTGAACTAGTTTACCTGCAGGATACTACGATAGACGCTCCCCTCTTCCCTCAAAGCACTTCGATCACCGAACCTTTTACAACCAGTAACCACAGCACAGCATGCTATTACCACTGCCATGAACAGCATCCCTCTACCTAAAGTGTGGACTAACGCTTTTGGGCTCCACAGATCGTAGATTGCAACGGAGAAAAGCCTAACGTACTACACTGTTCCCACTACATATGCCACCAAGTCATGTAGATACACTCTCTGCATGGCCACAGATCCATGGGTGATCTGCACGGAACCAGAGTTGCAAGAATCGGGGAGAATGGTGGTCACTGAAAGGAATAGCAAGAAACTCATGGCAGAACACGCTGCAGAGAGTGCTGCACATCCTGCGGGTGGTTTAGAAATTGCTCTATGGTGTCGATTTTCGAGGGGCCTATAATACCGCCTCACTACATGCTGGTGACGAAAAATAGCCTGCCACGAGCACAGCACATCACCATGGTCCTGGGAATGGTTTGGTAATTTCTGATGATGGCGGGACAATGGAGCAGGGATGAGATGGAACACCTACCAAAGGGCTTGTTGTGAAACAGAGGCTTCTCGTTCCAACACCCAACGCGGGGCGGTTTGGGGATAAAGGGTTATATGGTGCCGCTCATCCATGCAGCCCGCCTCAAAGTGATGCCAAGCAATCACCTGGCATGCACTGGTGTCAATCACATCTGTGATTCACAGTTGGGGCTCATGGCTGTGATCCCCACTCACCAATCATGGTTGTGATGCTGCTTGGGCAGATGCATTTGGCTGCCCCATAAGTTTCGCCACGATGCACATGCAGCTCAATGATGCGACCCCTGCATGGCCCTGTTCCCTCAATGCTTTGGCCCCACAAGCCCCAGCCCCAGCAGCCCAGCCACTCACCCAGCACTTCTTCCATGGTGACCCTCGCCTCGGGGTCCCTCGTGAGTTTTGAGGCGACTCAAATGGCACCATCCATTCAACATTTCCAACTCCTCCAGCCCCAGCAGCCCAGCCACTCACCCAGCACTTCTTCCATGGTGACCCTCGCCTCGGGGTCCCTCGTGAGCATGGTCCTGTTCCCTCGAAGCTTTGGCCCCACCAGCCCCAACTGATGCAGCGCAGCCACTTACCGAGCACCTCTTCCATGGTGACCCTCGCCTCAGATTTCTAGTCACCACACCACTCACGCTTGTGCTGCCGCTTGTGCACGTGCATTTTCCCATCTGGCTGCCCCATCAGTTTCGCAATACAGCACATACAGCTCAGAAAGAAACTACCACCCACGCATAGCCCTGTTCCCCCTGATGAGATAAATTTCAATCCAACACCTCAAAGCGTGGTTCCTCCAGCCCTACCCTAAGCAGCCCACCCACTCACCGAGCACTTCTTTCATGGTGATCCTCGCCTCAGGGTCCCTCGTGAGCATCCGACGGACGAGATCCTTCGCTCCCTCCGAGATCGACGGCCAGGGCTTGCTCGCGAGGTCGATCTCCTTGCATCGGACGGCCTGGAAGATCTCGTCGTTGGAGCGGCCAGAGAAGGGTGGCGATCCGGAGAGCAGCACAAAGAGCACCACCCCCGCGCTCCACACGTCCGCCTGCAACCCATACTGCTCTGATAGCACCTCAGGGGCTAAGTAGTAGGGCGAGCCTACCCTCTCTGTGCACTGTGTGCCTGGAGGGAAGGGGTGTGCAGCGGGTTTGGGGAGAAAGAAACAGGCACAGGTGAACGGGGAGAAGAAGGGCGGCGAGCCCAAGAGCAGGACAAAGAGCACCACCCCTGCACTCCACACGTCCGCCTGCAACCCATACTGTTCTGTCAGCACCTCAGGGGCTAAGTAGTAGGGCGAGCCCACTCGCTCGGTGCACTGTGTGCCTGTAGGAATGGGTGTGCAGTGGGGCATAGGCGAATGGGAAAAAGAAGAGAAGGTTGATTGAGGCTCCACATGTCTGCCTGCGGCCCATACTGCTCTGATAACACCTCGGGGGCTAAGTAGTAGGGCGAGCCTACCCTCTCTGTGCACTGTGTGCCTGGAAGGGAGCAGGCGGAGGTGAATGAGAAGAAGAGAAGGTGGTTTGAGGCTCCAAACATCCGCCTGCAGCCTATACTGCTTTGTCAGCACCTCCGGGGCCATATAATAGGGCGAGCCTACTCACTCTGTGCACTGTGTGCCTGTAGGGAGGGGTGCGCAGAAGGATGGATGGGGGCCGGCAACCCGTGCTGCTCTGTCAGCACCTAGGGCGCTGAGCAATACAGCGAGCCCACTGGCTCTATGCATTGTGCTCCAAGTGTAGTGAGGGGTGCGCAGAAGGATGGTTGGGGGCCTGAATACTGCTCTGTCAGCACCTCGGGGGCTGAGCAACAGGGCGAGCCCACTGGCTCTATGCATTGTGCGAGGGTAGTGAGGGGTGGATACCAAGGGGAATGGGGAGTGGGGGATGGATGGCGGGGGATGGGCTGGAGCGGGATGGGGGAAAGGGCTTGGTTGGAGAGGGATGGTGGAGAGGATATGAAGAGGGGAATGGGCGGAAGGCAATGGGAGGGGAGGAGAGGTTGGGCGGGAAGGGGGAATGGAGAGTGGGCGGAGGCGAATAAGGTGAGGGAAATGGGGTAGGGGGGAATGGGGTGACGGGAATGGGTGGAGAGAACTGGGTGGGGTGAAACACCTATCAGGCAGCAGCAGCGCGGCGGCTCCAAAGTCGGTGAGCTTGATGCTCGTGTCGTCAGTGCGCGAGCACAGCAGAATGTTCTCCGGCTTCACATCCCGGTGATTGGAGAGGGAATTGATGGAGGGGAATGGCGGAGGGGAATGGCGGAGGGGAATGGCGGAGGGGAATGGCGGAGGGGAATGGGCGGAGGGGAATGGGCGGAGGGAAATGGGTGGGGAGGAACACATACCAGGCAGCAGCAGCGCGGCGGCCCCAAAGTCGGTGAGCTTGATGCTTGTGTCGTCCGCGCGCGAGCACAGCAGAATGTTCTCCGGCTTCACGTCCCGGTGCGCCACTCCCCGTGCGTGCAGGAACGCCAGCGCCGACGCCAGCTGGCGCGCCACGCTGGCGGCCGCGGGCTCGCTGTAGCGCTGACGTGTCACGATGCGGTGGAAGAGCTCGCCACCGTGGCAGAGCTCCATGATGATGTGGACGGCGCGCGCGTCTTCGAGCGCCTCGTGCATGCTGACTATGCGCGGGTGCCCGCGCGCGCGCTGCATCATCTGCACCTCCCTCCGCACCTCGTCACACTCCGCCTCACACTGCGCGGGGGTTTGGCGCAGCATGGGGGGCGGGGGAACGACGGGGGGTTAGGGCGCGCAGCGCGGGCGCAAATGAGCGCTCGGCGCAAGCGAAGAGGGTACGGGGGCGCAAGATACTCTATCGTCGCACAGAAGCCTCGGGGCAAGAGGACACATTGCGTGACGCACTTATCAGTGCGTGCCATGCGAGCAACGGGATCTGCACTATCAATGCACTATCCATCACTAGCGATGGCATTCTGAAAGATTCCAGAATCATAATGCCACTCACAATCATGGGGCCGAAAGTTACTTGAACGGTCGGGGAGGAAGCAACGGCGTTTTTTGACGACTCAGAAACGAACGGAACTCACAATCATGGCGGCTTTGCTGATGGTCTTGCACGCGATGCGAGCAATGGGAAATGTACTATCACTAACACTAACGATGGCACTCACAATCATGGCGGCCTTGCTGATGGCCTTGCACGCGATGCGAGCAATGGGAAATGTACTATCACTAACACTAACGATGGCACTCACAATCATGGCGGCCTTGCTGATGGCCTTGCACGCGATGCGAGCAATGGGAAATGTACTATCACTAACACTAACGATGGCACTCACAATCATGGCGGCCTTGCTGATGGTCTTGCACGCGAACTGCCGCCCAGTCGCGCGGCACCTGCACGCGCGCAGCACGCCCACCTTCCCCCGCCCCAGCTCCCCCTCCGCCACCTCATACCGCGCCTCAAGCTCCGCGTACGGCCGCCCCAACACGTGCCGCGTGAACTCCCGCTCCCCCTCCTCCGCGCCGTCCCCCTCTTCCCCCAATATTCCCCCTGCATAGCTCCCCGCGTCCCCCCGCGCGCTCAGCTCCACTGTAGAGACTGTCTCCCGCACCAACGCTGGTCCGAACGGGGAGGTTCCGCGCGCGGGGGATGAGACTGGGGGGGAGAAAACGAGCGGGCGGAGGCTGGGGGAAGAGACGCGGGGGTTGGCGAAAGAATCCGCAGAGGCGCGCACAGCCGGACTGATGACGATCGGGGGAACGGGGGAAGGCCTGGCGCTGATGCCGCGTGCTGGGGTGTACCTTGATTTGCTGCGACTGACCGTCGGTGTGCAGAAGCTGTGTCCCGTGGTGGTGGTGGTGGTGGTGCTGCTGCTGCTGCTGCTGCTGTGGCTGCCGAGCCCGCTGCTGCTGCTGTTGTGAGCGTTGCTCTCGCTTCGGCTGGTAGGGAAGCGGCGCGTCTTCTGACCGCGCGGAGGGGTGTGGGGAACTTTGAACGGCGCTGCGAGGGCCTCGAGGGCGGACTGCTCGAGCGACACCGTGCGACCGACACTCTCCTCCAATTGCTGACGGCCACCAAGGCCGCCCGCCACGTCAGCATGATCCGACGGTCTGTCAGCGCTGTCGCCGTCAATCTGCTCGAGAAAAAGCGCGGGAAACGCGCTTTCGCTCCTGTAGAGGGACCGGGGTCCTGACACGCCTATCCGCCGCAACTCCTGCTGCTGCTGCTGAGTCTCTAGTGGCTGCTGTTCGTACAGACGACGCTCATCGGGTTGATAGTGCTTCAGCCGACACGGCTGCTGCGCCAGCGGCGGTCGCTGATCCACACTACCGTGCTGAGTCGGCCGCTTTTGGTTTGGATGCCGGCTCGTTCTCCATGGCTTGAACGGCGGAGGGACTTCACCCGCGGATGGAGCAGACGTAGACGGAGACGGATCGACCACCGCGGTACGAGCCTCTCGACGGAGGATGTCGGAGGAACCGTCGCCGGGTAGTGCGGCGTGAAGCTGAGCCGCAGCTTCGCTGCAGGTTCTCCTTATCGCAGCGCTTCGGTCCGTGATTCCCGCGCGTGCGATCGCGTTTTCCTCGTCGTGCTTCGCGATGTGGTAACCAGCACATTGCAAGCCGTCATTTTGGAACTCGTTATTGTCGGCGCCGAGGCCTCTCCATCGCTGCTTCAGCCCATCAAGGAGCTCGTGCTCGCCTGTCCTCGCTTTAAAGCTTCTCGCTCTCGTGTTACAGGGTCCTTCGGACATCACCACGGGAGGCATTATCGAGATCTCTCCGATGGACTTCGACAGCCGGAACTTACGACCTGTACTACACTCAGGCAAGTCAAAGAGACGTGTCTTAGGAACGGGTGAGGCGGATAGATTAGGGAGATTTTCCACGTCAATCTTGCGTCCGGTGCCGTTTCGGGGTTGGCTTGGCCGGAGCTCGGGAGTGACCTGATTGGATGATTGGCTGTCGAGCAGAGGAAAGACGAGAGGAGGAGACACGGCGTCATCAGAGCCTGCTGACTTGGGACCGATGGTAGGAGTTTGTAGATTAATCGACGGTTCCGAAGATGACGGTGAACTGGATGAAGTTACGTGCCGTCTCTGGTCTGCTGGATTCGTCTCTTGAAATCTGGCGGGACTTTTTACGCAGTAGTGCGCCATTTGATCTGGAAAGATAAAGGAAGTAACGATTTAAGTTAAGAACAAAACTAATCGTTGAAGCGCTGGGGCGAAGGATCTATGAGCCACCTGAGAGTTCAAAATAGCACCAATCGAATGCAGCTTCACGCTAAGGGAATTAGCGTTCACCGATGAAGCACGTGAGTGTACCACACGTCGGTACTGCCGTCTATCTGAGACCTAATCTACTAATTTCGATATATCACTGGAACCTGCGTCGGAGACAAGTATGTTGTCCAGAAATTCATATTACAAGTGATGGAGGACGCACTGATATCAATCATTCATACCGTAAATTTTCAAATGTGCTGGCGAACAGGGCCATCATGTTCCCGCACTTCCCCTATGCTACCTGTTTTCATGGAGCTCTGCTCTCCATTGCTCATCAGTCATGAGCCATGAATAATTCTGGCAGGCATTTCCCATGCTGTGTGCCTCTTCGCTGACGGGATCCCGCATCGCCTGCAGCAACAACTGCCAATCACTGGCATGATTCCACCGTCGGATAATTGCCGCCAACAGCACGATGAGATCGACGGTGGAGTTTGACTCACACGCGTGTCGCGTATTAGCACGGCACCACCTTCTCAACTGCCCATTCGCTGACGAGGTGTTCTCTGACAGTGGTTCCCGCCAGTTTGCCCCAACTTCTAGGTCAGAACAAATGTGGCTCCCTGTGTATGCTACATATATGTTCCGTTGATAATGTTTTTCATGTACTGTACAAGATTCAAGTCCTCATCATATGGAGCTGCGCTGCAAGGCTTTGCTGATGCTCCGTTACAGTGTAAGAGAACTCCACCACACACGGATACGCTGGTGCTAAGGGTACCTCCTCTGACCATCTTTCTAGGATGGATAGTTCCAGTTGATGTGCACCGCAAAGTCCCATGCAGTTCCCCCAGTTTCTGGAGGTACTCCTCACCGAGACTGTAGATTGGATGGATGAGATGCGCTGGTCCGATGTGGCGGGAGCGCTCCACCACACATGCGAGAATGACTTCGTAATGATGAAAAGCGTGCGACAGGTGGTCCCAAAAATAGCTCCAACCACACCAGAAAGCCAAAGAAACTTTGCCACATCGACAGAAGAGTGCACTTCATTGGTTGGAACTCTCGAAAAGAATTTCTACTGCGTGGCTAGTGACGACGTGGCCAAGCTCTTGGGTTTTGGCAAATGGAGAGCACTTTGAGGGGGCGACGCTCACACGAGTCCGCGATCACAGAGATCATCGTGATCACATTCTCGCCCTCTCACTTGCCTGCATTATGATCCGCATTTCTTCGCTGGCCCTCATTCCTTCAGTGCTTGTTCTTCCATTCGTTCGTTGCTTCGCCTTGAGAACACCGCAGCTCCTCAGGCTGCTTGCTGCTGCCTGATTCCTTTGCCGACCATCAAGCAGGGAGTCCGCCTGGGAGGGAGATTTTGCGAGCGCATATCAGGGAATGACCTTCTCAAGCCAAACTCTCGGATCATAATAGTGAGACTCACCTCTCTTCGTAAAAAGCCTCTCCAGTAAATCATCGCCAGATACCGTTCCCCACTCCAAGCTCTTATCTTCTCCGATACTTGTCTCACCATGAGTTGCGTAGCTGTTGCTGGCTGCTCGCTAAGAGCCTCCGTCCCGTCAAAGTCTTTTTCGGTGGGAACAGAATGCCGCGTGCACGCCGTACGAGAAGTGTCCCTCGTGCAGCGATCCAGGCGCCTCGTCACTTACGCCGTGGCTGAAATGCCTAAAACCAGATCGCCGCAGACCGCCAACGGATCTACATTGGACGAACCGACTCTCCTCGAAGACGAGAAAATAAAGATCGCAGCGGCTGTTGCGGAGAGCCTTTCAGCCGCCGCGTCGGCGGGTCTTTCAGAAACGGCGCTGGAGCGGAAGAGGCGGCGACAAAGCGAGCGATCCACGTACCAGCTGGCCGCGATAGCGTCAAGTGTGGGAGTCACGTTCCTCGCTGTCGGCGCCGTCTGGTACCGCTTCGTCTTCCAGACGCAGGTAAGCTGCACTCATAGCGCGATCAGGCGAAAATGGCTGAAGTATTGATAACCAACCATTTCACTCTCGTATGTCAAAGCTAGAAACCAAAACCGCCCAAAGTCAATGGTTTTGCTCAAAAAAGTGTTTCTTTTATCATTAAGGATTAATATGCGGCTTCACTGGGTGCGTGCAGGGCGAGACGGTCCCCATAGAGGAGGTGGTGGGCACGGTGGCGCTCGTGATTGGCGCGGCCGTGGGGATGGAGTTCTGGGCGCGATGGGCGCACGACGCGCTGTGGCACGGATCCCTGTGGAGCATGCACAAGGTAACGGGGGCTCTTTGCTAACTGTGTACGGCAATAACGGCAATGCATGAGTTGGCATTAATCTTAAATCCAATGACAATCAGATCGCTCTGTGTGAGAGCCGGGCTGCCATCACTTGCTCGTTCAAAATGTTGGTCTGTTTCGCGTGGCACCACCCTCAGATCCCGCTTGACATTTTTGTTCCCGTCCGTGACGAGCCGAGCCAATGCCGAGCCTCGTGCGTGATCAGCTTGTTCATCTCGGCTAACCTCTTGCCTTCCCTCTCCCTTCTCCCCACCAGTCGCACCACGAGCCGCGGGAGGGCGCGTTCGAGCTGAACGACGTGTTCGCGATCATCAACGCCGTGCCCGCCATCGCGCTCATCGCCTACGGCTTCTTCAACCCGGGGCTCGTCCCCGGCCTCTGCTTCGGCGCCGTACGTTGCCGCACCTCATAAACTCTTTCGCCTAGGCGCGCCGAACTGCCTTTTCTCCTTCTGCCTGCTTGCCCCTCGCACTCCTCCCGCCTTACGTACGACTTCTTCAACCGTCGACTCGTCCCCAGCGTCTGCTTCGGCGCCGTACGACGCAGCGCCTTTTTAACTTTTATCTTTCCGAGGCGCGTCTGTTTCCTTCTCTCGTTTACCCTGCTCCACCCTCGCTGCCCTCCCGGCTTGCCGACGGCTAATTCGCCCCGCACTATTTCCCGCCTCCGATGTGGCGCCGTTCAAAGCCACGCTCCACGTTCCACCTCCCTTCACCTTACGCTGGCGTCTGCCTTCGTCTCTCTTCCCGCTCCTCTGCCTTCCGTGCCCTCCGCCTTCCCACACGCTCTGCTCATGCCGTTCCCGTTCCGCGTCCCCTTCCCCTCCACCTTCCCCCCACAGGGCCTGGGCATCACCTTGTTTGGAATGGCCTACATGTTCGTGCACGACGAGCTCGTGTTTCAACGTGTCCTTGCCTCCCACCCTTTGTTCCTTATCGCTCCCCTCTTCCCTCCGTCTTCCCCCCACAGGGCCTGGGCATCACGGTGTTCGGAATGGCCTACATGTTCGTGCACGACGGGCTGGTGCACCGGAGATTCCCAGTGGGCCCCATTGCTGACGTCCCGTACCTCAAGCGAGTCGCTGCCGCCCACCAGGTATGCCTACCCTGCCCTGCCAGCATTGGTGCGCGCCTCTAAGGTAACACCAGCATTCCCAGTGGGTTCATCGCTGACGTCCCGTACTTGAAGCGAGTCGCTGCTGCCCACCAGGTATGCCTGCCCTGTCGGCATTGGTGTCTCTCCCCATCCATGCTCTTCGCTGTCGCTCCAACCCTTGGTAGGTTCGCTTGTTCGCTTGCTTTTTCCTTTCTCCTAGTATGGTCCCCCCCCCTTGCACACTTTCCTCTCCATTCCTCTCCACTCCTTTCCTCACCGGCTGCACCTCTCCCTTCTTTCACCGTTTGGGCTGTTCCTGGGCCCAAACGATCCAGAGAGTGGGCGGGCGAGTTCCCGTGACACAGTTGCTCCTGCTTAACCCCCTCCTTCATTGCACCCTTACCTCCTCTCCCTCGGCCTCCCCTCCCTGCCCTCACAGCTGCATCACGCTGACGAGCTCAATCACGTGCTGCCTGGGCTGTTCCTGGGAGAGGGTTGGGTGCACGAATGCCCTTGTTCCCCTGACCTTACCCTCTCCTTCTCTCCTTGCTCTCCCCCCTCACACCAGCGCTACACCATGCGGACAAGTTCAAGTGGGTGCCGTTTGGGCTGTTCCTGGGGCCGGGCGAGCTGGAGTGGATGGGGGGACGATATGCTTTGGCATTGTTCCCCTGACCAATCTCGCACTCTTACCACTTGTCTCTCCCCCTCCCCTCCCTGGTGTAACAGTTGCACCATGCGGACAAGTTCAAGGGGGTGCCGTTTGGGCTGTTCCTGGGGCCGGGCAAGCTGGGGCTGGTGGGCGGACGGGTGCCCTTGTTCCCCTGATCTTACTCTCTGCTTCCACCCCTCCCGCCCCCCTTCCCCCCACCAGCTGCACCACGCGGACAAGTTCAAGGGGGTGCCGTTTGGGCTGTTCCTGGGGCCGGGCGAGCTGGAGAGAGTGGGTGGATTGGCAGATCTAGAGGAGCTGCTGGCGGCGCGGCAAGGGGGCGAGGGGAAGAAGCAGTGAGGGCAACTCACAACTGGAGTGGGTGGGTGGGCTGCCCCATCTAGAGGAGCTGCTGTCGGCGCGCAGTGGATGGTGAATAATTGTTGCAATGGAGACTGGTTACGCGTGCGGGGCGCATGAGTTACTACACCGTTTTACGTGCTGACGATGGGATTTTAGGGTTGCAGAACGGTGAGGCAGGGTACTGCAAGGTGCCTGCTCTACCAGACAGAATGACCTTGGTGGATAGATGTGTTAGGCTTGTTCATATGTCAGGAATGTGATACCTAGCTAGTTTGCCTGCAATCTCAAAGAGTACATGGGTTTTTCATCTCAAATTGCAACCACTACCTATCAACAGCTCCACTCCACTCCATTGCAGAGCGCATGGGGAAAATACTCCTAGCAACAGTATCACCAACCAAGCATGGCAGCTGGTGGGAACCAGAAAGACTTCTGCCTGGCTTTACCTTGGCAGATCTTGGGGATGATTTGTGGGTCAGGTGGTGCTGTTGATGGTACTGCTGCTGCTGCTGTTGCTGGTGGCGACGCTGCTGCTGGTGTTGATGGTGGCGTTGTCTCGGATGCAGCTGCGTCCTGCACCATCACTACCGTTGCAGCTGCGTCCTGCACCATCACTACCGTTGCAGCTGCGTGTGGGACTGAGCCTGCCAATGCTCATAGTGATGTTGATGGTGGTGATGGTGTTGCGTCACCAATCTCGCCCCCGTCTGCCGCCGCTGTACCGTATTAGAGAGCGAATGATGGAAGTGCCTGTGGCCCCATCAGGCAACACAGATGCTGCCTTTGGTTCCGCACTGCTCGCTAGAGGATGATTCTTGAGACACACGCACGGCAAAATAAGCCAAGGCTGGGTGTGGTAGCTCCGGTAAGCACAGGCACCTGTCCAGTCAGTACGGTACCTCATGTTGCTTCTTGCCGAGATCATCTTATTATACGTCATGTGAATGGGTGTACAGAATTGCATAGCAAGCTGGTAAATGATGCAGTACCAAAATGTTATCAACCCAAAACACTGGCAGCTAGGTACAAACAGGCTATACAATAACTCCATGCATCAAAACTTGTACCGCAGAATCTAGCGGACCTGCTCCTGGCCAATCAAATGCAGCCACACGCCAGACCAGGAACCCAGAGTGTCGTTTCTGTAGCTGCCAAGTCAACCAGTCACGCCACATGCAGCCACCTGCCAGACCACCAGGCAGCTGAGGAGTCAAATGACATGTGGCAAACCCAAGCAGCCACACTCACAGAAAATGGAGCGGTGAAGGCAGGCCTGAGAGTGTCGCACAAGCAACAGAATTCACCCACTTGAGTGGCTGGGTTGTGGAAGAGTGAAGGGGGGTGTGAGAGATGAGGGAAATGAGGGGGCGGTGGTAGGAGAGGGGAGGGAGTTGAAGGGTGGATGGGGAGGGGGGGAAGGAGGAGGGGTGGGGGGAGACGATGCATCACCAGGGGGGAAGTTGAGGTATGGGAGGGGGAAGGGGATGAGGGATGAGTCTGAAAGCGGGGAACGGAGGAGGATGGGGAGAGAGGGGGGACGGAGTGAGACAAGGGGAGATGAGGGTGCGCGTGAAGGAAGAAAACAATAGAGCGCGGCAGTGATATGAAGGGGGGGCTGGTTGGATGAAGGGAGAAAGGGGGGAATGACAGGAGCGCAGGGAAGATGAGGGGAGAGCGGGGGAGAGCGGGGAGACGAGGGGAGCGCGGGGAGAAGAGGGAAGAGCGGGGGAATGAGGGGAAAGCGAGGAAGTTGAGGGGGGAGTGGGGAGGATGAGGGGAGAGCAGGGGAGAGCGAGGAGATGAGGGGAGCGCGGGGAGAAGAGGGAAGAGCGGGGGAATGAGGGGAAAGCGAGGAAGATGAGGGGAGAGTGGGGAGGATGAGGGGAGAGCAGAGAGGATGAGCGATTTGAGAAGCTGAGAGATGCGTGACGTTTCTAGGCCTACCAAGGGAGAAAAGGGAGGGCTGGGAAGCGGAGAGATGAATGATGTTTCCAGACTAGGTCATAGGGTGAAAGTGTAGAGAAGGGGAAGCGGGGGAAGCGGGAGGGCGGGGAACGGGGGGGAGGGGGAGAGAGGAATCAAGGGGGAAGGGGGCAGATTCGCCTCGACCTTTCGGCGCTCCTTTCCGTCATCAAATGTTCATTCTTGAAGCACCTCAAACGACGATTTTGAGGCGACTTTCTTGAGACGCCTCAAGAACTGATTCTTTCCGTCTTCACATGTTCATTCCGTCTGTTCCGCTTTCACCCGTCCATTCCGTCTGTTCTCCCTTCCACTCAAGTCCAGACTACCGTCAAGTCAACGCGTCCATCTTCCCCTCATCGCGCTCCTTCCCCTCATCGCGCTCCTTCCCCTCATCGCGCTCCTTCCCCTCATCGCGCTCCTTCCCCTCATCGTGGTCCTTCCCCTCATCGCGCTCCTTCCCCTCATCGCGCTCCTTCCCCTCATCGCGCTCCTTCCTCTTCTCGCCTCCACTAACCTCCCGCCCTCCGTGTTTCCCGTCATCCGTCCAGGCTACCACTGACGCACTATCAAGTCCAAGAAAATAAGGCTGACGGAGGCAAGGGGAAGGGGAAGGGGAAAATAAGGGGGAAGGGGAAAAGAAGGGGGAAATAGCCGCTTCGCCGTTCCGCCAGTCCTCTCCGTCCAGTTCCCCCTCTTCTCCCTTCCACTCACCTCCACTCACCTCCCGTCCTCCTTTTCCGCGTCTCGAGTTCGAGATACGTCGACGCTCCGAAGTTATGAGGGGGAAAGCAGAAAGGGGAGGGGGGAAGGAGAAATTACCGTCACCCCCGCTCACCTCCCTTACCGCGTCTTGCGTCCAGGATAACGTCGACGCTGTGAGGTAGACGGAACCGCGCTGTCTAATCGACGAAACGCACTACGTTACTGATGCGTACGAAATCGACGATAGTACTTCGTCTGCGACAAACGTTATGATTCTGCGCATCACGCACATAAATGGAAGTCAGATCTGGAGCGCGCAACTAGAAATTGTCTTACTGAGACTGCGACATTTGATCCCATCTAATACTGCTAGCACGCCAATACACGCGTGAAGCGGCTAACTGTACGTACGACCGAGGAGTGAGCGGCACTTGCTGCATCGTCGAAGAATTCTACTTACGTCGGTTACCGCGCTGAGATCTGACATAGCAAAACTACTACCACAAAATTACATCTGCAAAGTGGCAGCTGAGAAGCTTTCGCTGTGGCAGGTTCGGAGAATCGAGGTTCGGGATGTTGATATTGCCATGGTGGTTGTGCCAGGGTGTCAAGACACAAATCATTCCCATTGGTTGGCGCAAATCTCTACTCATCCACCCGTTGTTTTCCCCGCTGCCCGGGTAAGGATGAAAGCGAGTCACAGCGCCATGGACGATCACCCCCAACCAGACCAAAGCCGTCCCGCAACTCACGCCGAAACTAAAAAACATTATCTCATCCTGACCCAACTAAAAAAGAGCGCCACGTCAACCACCTCCTAGAAAGTTCGAGCCTGCCCTTACAGACCGGCTCTCCCAACAAACCCCCCCAGCAGAGATACGCGCCCTTAGCATATTCGTTTGCAAACAAACAATTGCAACCTATATTCAGATTTAACCCAACTCTGTACAGCACGATGAATGTACAGCATGATTTGGGCTGGATGGATAAGCTGGGGACACATTTTGACCTGCCTCGACATGTTCACCACGCGCTCTTGGGAAATGTCCTCTGCCGCTTAGTCGGCGGGGCATTTCATTGGCCAATGACAATGGCCACCACCACGCCTCCATCCTATGCCACGGCCAAATGTAATAGTCACCGTTGAGGGTGGTTACACCACCACCATCCACCCATTCACAACACACTCGGTTTACTTTCGCACCGCGCACCCAGCGTGGTGTCAGTAATTCCCTCCACTCTGGCCGTCCGACCGTACTGCACCTAGGTAAATACCGTAACCTTCTATTACTCAGATACAGCGACCCATCACATTTGGTTTGAAGTTGCGGTACGACGCGCCGTGGCGGCTGAATTGCTGACTTGAATTCATTCAGCCACTCATCAGGAGCACTCTCTCGTTCTGTTTCAGCAACTACCTCCGCTACCTTACTGAGCATAACTCTCGAAACTGTGTCCTTGTCGTCCATTTTCGTCCTTCTCAAAATCACGGACGGAAGGATTCTTTGAAAGCTCCAACCTAATGAGCTTAGACTTCAGGCTAGAAGCTCCGCGGAGCAAACTGTGCTACCTGAAGCCACCTGGTTACTAGTACACGGAGAAGCCCATGGCATGAAGCAGCGTTGAGTTAGAATAGAGGTCGGGTTAGGGGTGGGTGGGTAGAGTCCTGTGAGGAGCGAGCTGCTAAGTGCCATGGGCCGAACCGTGTACGAAAACCTTTCGCGGCAACCTTATCACCGCGACTAATCTATGATCTCTTCCGCAAGATCTACATGGCGAGTCTTCGCGAATCTTCTCTTAGAGATCTTCTCGCCACGAAGCTTCCACGGCGAGAGTTATACGGCGCGATCTTCCCGGCAAATCAGAACGCCGATGGAGCAGGATCATCTCGGCAATATCTCCACGCCAAGGATTTCTACGGCGAAAAAACTGCAACGGGGTATCCGCTCCAAGTTCGTCTCGGCCAGAGACTCAGCTTCAAATGCTTCAGCTTCAAGATGCTGTTGCCGACCTTCACCCGTCGCTGTTGCGGACAAGACAAGTCCCGCAACCGCAAAGACCATGTCGGCCTTCCCTGTCGCTCCCCGGCGGTCTTCACCGGTCGAGTGGGGTAAGTGCAAAGTTTTTCGACTTCTTCCTGTAACCGTTTTTGGCCAATTAAGTTCTTAAGCCTTTTAACATTGTTCAGGTACTAACATGTTGCTTTCTTCCCGCAGACCTCGTAGCGACCGTCTTGGCGAGACATGAAGTGTCGCCGTTAAGATCTACAATATGGCGAAGAGAGCTTCGTGGCCAACCCCGTCGCTGCCTCCAAGGGAAGTCGCTGCGGTCTCCTCCCCGTCACCAACACGGAGACGGACGAGTGGGAAGACGCTTCAAACGCGGGTTGCACTTCAATGGCGGGATGCTTCAAGCTCCGGACCTGAAGTCTAAGTCGGGAAGGCGCTTCAAACGCGGGTTGCACATCAATTGCGGGATTCTTCAAGCTCCAAACCGGTGAAATCTTCAGTGTGAAGATCCGATAAGTTCAAGCTCGACCTGCGAAGTCTTCCAACACGAAGACTGTCGAGTGGAGGTAAGGAATGATTTTTTTTTGTTTCCCACATTCGCTCAAATTAGTTCGACTTCTTTTAAATTCTTTTCACCATTAACTCGCTCTTAATTTTCTGCAGACGACCTCCTTATCCGTTTCTGGCCGCACTTCGGCTCGTCTCGGAAGGAATTTCAGCTTCAAATTTCTTCAAGGTGTTGAAGATGCTGATTCAAGGTGCGACCTTCCTCCGACCTTCCTACACGGAGACGGTAATTTCTCATTGTTTTGTTACGTTCTGAATCGTTCGTTTTCCGCCGTTTGACGTGCTTCTGAGAATACTTTTAACGCGATCCTTGTTTTCCTGCAGACGTCAAGGTCAAGCTTCTACGAACGGGACCTGAAGTTTGAAACCCAAGTCCTTGACGTCAAGTTTGAAGCGTCGTCTTGAGAGCGATTCAAGATCGTCGACGCAGCCACGACCGCCGAAGCAGCCGGGATCATCTTCACGCCAGGGATATCGCAACCACCATTTGATTTACACCATTTGATTTGGTGTTCCTTAGCAGCCGGGATCATCTTCACGCCAGGGATATCGCAACGAGAACTCCGCTCCAAACGCTTCAATGGGTCTAAGATGCTGTCGCTGCGACCTTCCCCCGTCGCTGCTACTATTCCTAGAAGGTGACGGTAATTTCAGTTCAACTTCTTCATTGTTTTGTTACGCGTACAACTTCTTTCCGTCGTTTGCCGTGCTTATGATAAATCTTCTAACGCGTTCCTTGTTTTCCTGCAGACGGCAAGCTCTAGCTTCTACTAACGAGACCTGAAGTTTGAAGTTTGAAACTGGACCCGAGTCAAGCTGCCTGAAGCCCAACCGGAGTCAAGCTGATTGGCGCGCTCGGGCGCGCAGACTTGCTTACTATCGTCGCGTTCAAATGCCGTCGCCAACGGTGGACAGGTCGGCCAAATTGGGGTACGTAAACCGTGAAGGCTAGCATCTCTAAATTTAACTTCTAATTACCTTTCACTTTCTCACTCGCCTTTCAGTAACTCTGGTGCTTTGTCTAAAGTACTAATCCGTTGCCTCTTCGTTTTCAGGTCTCGGCGACCGTCCGAAGATGGCCACTTGAAAGCGATGACGCAGCAACAATCGCCGTCGTTAAGCGCCGTCGTCAAGACCTGAAGCGCCGACGCTAAGTGCAGCGTTTTTCGACTGAAGCGTTGAAGCGCCGTCGTTAAGACCTGAAGCGTCGTTACGACCTGAGGTATGTGCAGCGTTTTTCAACTTCTTCCTGTAACTCTTTTTGGACAGTTAAGTTCTTAAGCCTTTTAGCATTGTACTAACCTGTTGCTTTCTTCCCGCAGACCTCGTGGCGACCTTTGCTTCAAGTCGGGAAGGCGCTTCAAACGCGGGATGCCTCGAGCTCCGGACCGGCGATATCTTCCAACGAGAAGGCTGACGAGTGGACGCACTCAAGCCCAAGTGATGAATGCGAGTGACGGCTGATCACCGTCACTCAGGCCCGGATACGAGTCGCGAAGCCTCTCGGGTTGGGGTAAGTGAATAGTAGCTCTAGCTTTCCTTCGTCTTCTCAGCTGACGAAATTCAGTTTCCTTGATTCGGTGATTTCTAAGTCACCATTTTCCTTTTCCCTGCAGACCAAGAACGGCCCACGCGAAGAACGGCCCATGCGACGCTCAATTGCGGAGGACCACAAGAGATGCGTCAATCGCGGGAGCTGCGACCTCGCCACGATGCGACCTCGACCTTGCCACGATGCGCCGAGATGCGTTCGCAAACTCTGCTTCAAGTTGGGGTGAGTGAAGTCCACCCGTTGTGCCGCCTCTCTTTATAAGTCTACCCGTGAGCGAAGTACTAACGTGCTGCCATGAACCTGCAGATCCCGGCGACAGTCTTGGCGACCATCTTGGCGACCATCTTGGCGACCATCCTGGCGACCGTCTTGGCGACCGTCTTGGCGACTGAAGATGGCGACCGCCTTGGTCGCGTGAACGCACATACGGACGGCGACAAAGACTCTCCTGTCTCACGTCGCGAGGGGACGGTGACGGCCTCGTTCTAAGCTGAGGTAATGTGCAGTTTAGCGATCCGTTTTCAACACGTCATGGCAGCTTCAGATTTATTTTTTTTCGCCCTCATTCTAACGCGTCGCCTTGCTTTCCTGCAGAACCTGACGCGCACGACACACGGCGACGTATGGCGACGGCGACGAATGGAGAGGAATGCCTCGTGGCGACAGTCCTTTGGGCGGGACTCAGCGACGAGGCATCTACCGTCAGCGCCGATGCCTCTACCGTCAGCGACAAGGCCTCTACCGTCAGCGACGAGGCCTCTACCGTCAGCGACGAGGCCTCTACCGTCAGCGACGAGGCCTCTACCGTCAGCGACGAGGCCTCTACCGACGGCTGGTGTCACTTCGTCCGTCGCGCGGCTCTCTTCGCCCAAGCTGAGGTAACGTGTTCTGATTCTTTTCAGCGGATTCTTTTTATTCTGTTCGTTCTGATTTCAGCAAATTCTCCTTTTCCTTCTCGACGATCTCGTTCTGATTCGTTCTCCTTCTCCTTCTCAACGACTTGCAGAATCTGACCGTCAGCCAGCGTACGCGTGGCGAGGACGGATGGCGATGCGTGGGGACGCGTGGCGCGAGTCACGGCGACGCTTCTTCGGTCGCGGTCGCACGACGTGTCTCGCGGGCGAGAGGCGTGTCTTGCGGCGGGACACACGGTGCTTCTCTCTGCGCTTGGCGGCAACGTCAACGTGGTAAGTATCACTTCCGGTTTTCTGCTTTCGTTTTCTTCCAGATTCTAACTTCTTTTCGTGTGCTTCGTCTTAGTGCAGGAGCGGCGGTACCGGGAGGGGGAGCTCGCGGGGACAGCGCCGAGCAAAGGAGGTAACGCGGGAGGTGGTCTCCCTTGCCTGGTAAGTGCCGTCGGATTTCGTCAAGTTAATTCTTTGATTATGAAACTAACTTATTTTTGTGTGCGTTCTTCTTTAGCGCAGGCGATGCGGGGATCAACGGCGCTGGCGGCGACGGGAGGTCAAGCTAGTACGAGGACTTCTCATTCTTGGTGAGTTTCAGTTCCAGTTCTTTTCTTTATCTTTTCCCGATTCTTATTACTTCTTTCGTTGTGTGCTTTCTTCAGCGCAGGAGCAACGGGAGCGGTAGCAAACGCGGGAGCCAGCGCCAAGCAAGGGAGGTAACGCGGGGAGGTGGTCTCCCTTGCATGGTAAGTGCCGTCGGATTTCGTTACGTTTATTATTCGATTATGAAACTAACTTCTTTTTGTGTGCGTTCTTCTTTAGCGCAGGCGAAGCGGGGATGGGAGCTCGCGGGCCGCGTGGCGACGCTTCTTCGAGGACGTCTTACGCGCGCGCGGTGGGGCATCGGAGCACGCGGGGCATCAGAGCACCTCATCGCGGCGCACGGTGCATGGCGGCGCTTCTCTCTGCTGTGTTGCTCTGTCGTCAAATTTCCGCTCGTCGCCTTTCTGCTCGTCGCCTTTCTGCTCGTCGCCTTTTCGCTGTCGCATTTTGCGCTGCTCTCTGCCGTTTCGTTTTCAAAATATCTAATTCCCTTTTTTTAGTCGTCTGTGGTGCAGAAGTCCCGAGGGGGGCTTCACAAACGTGGAGCGCGGATCGAGGAGCTGGCTGGGGCGAGGAGTCAGAGCGAGGAGCAAGGCGCGAGCTTGGGGGAGTTTGACTTCCCCTCCCGTCCCGCCCTTTCCTGCAGAGCAGATTTGGCGGGAGCGGGAGCAACCAGCGCAAGCGCGAGCAACCAGCGCAAACGCCAGGCTTGTAAGAGGGTGCTAGTGGGTACAGGACGATTAGGAGCGCGTTAGCCTAGGCTCGATTTAGGCACACTAACACATGGGCGATGGTATGGGTTCAAATGGCGTTAGCCTAGGCTCGATTTAGGCACACTTACACATGGGCGATGGTATGGGTTCAGGTGTGTTCAGGTATGCCTCTTGACGACTGGCCGTCCTCTTGACGGCTGGGCCGTCATTCTGACAACATTTCTGACAACGGGGAACCTATCGTCAATTTCGATGTGTTTATTTTCATCTGCCCGTCACTAATTTTAACCGTCCCCCCGCTCCCAAGCACTTCCCTCCCTTCCCCCCCTTCCACCCCCCCCCCCCCCCCCCCCCCCTCCCTCCCAAACAGACCCCACGCGAATGACCCTCACCTCATCGTGGTGCGTGGGTGTAACGTCAGGGGCATTTGCCTCTGACGGCCAAGAGGGGTCAAGAAGACTTTCAAGCTGCTCTGGAGGCAAAGAAGACTTCCAAGCTGAGGGGTCAACAAGACAAGAAGATACGAAGATACCAAGACATGAAGTTAGACGGGCAAGCTGCTTTGGAGTCGAGGCGCTGCTGTGAAGGCTCAAGTAGAGCTGTTTAGACTTGGCTTAGGCAGCTTAGATAGCTTAGGAACTCTTGGTTCTGACTTGTAACTCTCTATATAATGAAATACTCTTTGTACTTTCAATCACCTGTACTGTTAGCAACTTTCGTACCTTGGACAGAGTTCTGTAGTGAAACATATTAGGTGAAAGATATGGCTAGGACATAAGAGTTACGCTTTTTCGTAGTGAGTCATAACTCCAAACCTCGCGTCAGCCGCGGTGGCGGTAATGGAAGCGTACCGCGACGCGCGCGCAGCTCGTCATGAAACTCGGTGAACTCGCGGTCTCGTCTCAGGTGCTCCTGAGTCTCAGTCCCTCTCGCAGTCTAGTCTCAGCTTCTCTCAGTCTCGAAGCGTCGATCTTCGAATTCGTGGCGCATTTCGACTTCTTTTTTGCGATTCGCCAGCTCGCCGATACGGGAGCATGCTCCCGCGAACCCCGCGAACCCAGTACTTTAGTTGAATTGAAACAGAACGCGTTTCGCCGGCGTTTCTTCCCCCGCCGAACCCGGAGGCTCTGCTGTCGCTCGGCGCGCTGCAGCTGCCGCTCGCGCAGGACAGCATGGCGTCCGTGCGATCCGCTGCGACGCTGTTGATGGGTCGCCTGGCGAATGTGTCGCACACGTGGTCGGCAATCATGTCTTTTCTCATTATCTGATTGCCTCTCCACACATCCCGCGTTCTGTCCTTTGCTCCTATCTCACGTCCTGCGTCCTGCGTTCTGCCCCCTCCTATCTCACGTCCTGCGTTCTGCCCCCTCCTATCTCACGGCCTGCGTCCTGCGTTCCTCCCTTTGCCCTTTACCTCTCATCTTCTCGACTACCTTGGCCGTACATCACACGTTCCCGTGACTCTCATCTCCCCGTGTTTCATGGCAGCACGAGGCTGAGAGGCTGAGGCTGAGGCGCGGAGTGGTGAGACATGGTAGGAGCAGGCTGTGGCGCGGAGAGCCCTCTCCTCTCAGTGCTGAGTGATGCGGCACGCCACTCGCTGCTACATGCTACAGCCGTCGCAGATGCGGGCGGCATTACTGCCGCCGTCTCTCTGTTGGAATCACCTGACGCCAAGACAAGGCGCCAGGTGCTGTCGTTGCACCTGGCACCTGTTGTTTCAATGCACTTATTGTATTTCCTTACATCCCATGTCAGCACCTATATTCTGCTCATGCATCCCCAACGCCCACTCCCAACCCCAGAATAATCACTTCTGCCATCCTCTGCAGCTTTATCCTTGCTCCTTTCCTCGTCTTCACCCTGCAGCTGCCCTTTTCTTCTCTCTGCCCTTGTTGTTTGCTCCTGTACCACCACTTGAACCTTGTCGTGTTCTGCATACCTCCAGCACCTCTAATGCGCGCTTCCAGGCAGCCCGATTCAAGAGACTGATTGACTATCTCCCCTCCTCTCCCCTGCCTCCCACCAGCACCACCCGCTGGAGCATGAGGGCCTGCGCGCGCAGCCCAAGTGTGTGGAGAGGAGATTGTCAAGATTCACAGCAAACACATCAGCAATGGTGTAACATATGATACTTGCTTTGAGTCAACTCAATATGCGCGTGCAGCCCGAGTGTGTGGTCAAGATTCACAGCTGGTAAATGCATCAGCAATGGTGTCACATATGGTGTACTTGCTTCCCATAGGTTACTGTATACAGTGATTTCGCAATTACACTCGTCTGTACAATGGGTGTAGTGTAGTTCCACGTGAGCAAGCAGTATTCAACATTTCAAGCTGCAGGGGCTTCCATGGTTTTGAATTCCTCGGCAGTCCAGTGGTACGGCAGCAGCATCTGAGCCGCCCAAAGGAGAACATGTGCCGAAAGTAACACATTTATTCCTGGGGCCCCTAAAAGAACAAATTGATGATCAACCTTTCATGCCACAGGGGCATCCCTTGTTCTGAACTTTTCTGCAGTCCAGCGGTACGGCAGCAGCAGCTGCGCCACCCGCAGCGGCACATGTGCTGACAGCAACGTGCCTTCGGGTAGATGCTCCTGTGTGAGAGTACGAGGGGAGAACAAGGATGGGAGGAATGGGTGGGGGTGGGGGAAGAGGTTGAGGGTGGTATGGCAGCAGCAGCAGCAACAGTTGTGCCACCCGCAGCGGCACATGTGCTGACAGCAACGTGCCAAGATGTTCCTGGGTGGGCGAAGGACGGGAAAGGGAGGAGAAAAGAGGGGGGAAAGGGGAGGGGAGAGATGAAGAGGCAGAACAGCAACAGCTGAGCCACCCGTAGAGGAACAATCGCCATCAACAAGGTGCCTTCAGCACCAGATGGAGAGGCAGAAGAGGAGATGAAAAAGGGAGAGCGCATTGCTGCTCTGCCACAACGGGCAGTGAGGAGGTGCTCCTGTGTGGCCCTCCGGCTCTCTTCCCTTGCCATCTTGCAACAGCTCCCATCTCCCCCACCCCTCTCTGTCCACCACCCCAAGTTGTCCTCACCACTCTCACCTCTCTATCAACAGCGCCCAGCTGGTACACGAGCCCCAGCAGATGCCCCTCCTGGTCTCTCCACTCGCTCCTTTCAGTATCCCAACTTCCCCATACCTCCCCGCACCTCCCCTCACCTCCCTATCCACGCACCCAGCTGGTACACGAGCCCCAGCAGATGCCCCTCACTCCTTTCAACCACTCTCAACCGCTCCTCTCACCTCTCTATCAACAGCGCCCAGCTGGTACACGAGCCCCAGCAGATGCCCCTCCTGGTCTCTCCACTCGCTCCTTTCAGTATCCCAACTTCCCCATACCTCCCCGCACCTCCCCTCACCTCCCTATCCACGCACCCAGCTGGTACACGAGCCCCAGCAGATGCCCCTCACTCCTTTCAACCACTCTCAACCGCTCCTCTCACCTCTCTATCAACAGCGCCCAGCTGGTACACGAGCCCCAGCAGATGCCCCTCCTGGTCTCTCCACTCGCTCCTTTCAGTATCCCAACTTCCCCATACCTCCCCGCACCTCCCCTCACCTCCCTATCCACGCACCCAGCTGGTACACGAGCCCCAGCAGATGCCCCTCACTCCTTTCAACCACTCTCAACCGCTCCTCTCACCTCTCTATCAACAGCGCCCAGCTGGTACACGAGCCCCAGCAGATGCCCCTCGTGGTACGGAATGATGGCTTCTATGCTCACCAGCAGGCCCTGCAAGCGACACATAGGTTCACAGGCGCACATGCATTCAGGGGGGCATTCACAGGCGCACATGCATTCAGGGGGGCATTCACAGGCGCACATGCATTCAGGGGGGCATTCACAGGCGCACACATGGGATACTATGCAGGCATATCGTTGAGTCAAATGAACCCAGCAGATGCCCCTCCTGGTACGGAATGATGGCGTCGATGCTCACCAGCAGGCCCTGCAACTGACACATAGATTCACAGGCGCACACATGGGAGCAGAGGGGCATTGGCATCAGATGAGCATTCACATCACAGGGAGTCTCCCCAGCAGATGCCCCTCCTGGTACGGAATGATGGCGTCGATGCTCACCAGCAGGCCCTATGAAAGGCACACAGAGATATTCATGTAAATTCCCACATGACATGCACGTAGGGGGCATTCCCACATTACATGCACGTAGGGGGCATTCACACATCACATGCACGTAGGGGGCATTCACAGATCAGAGCTGCAAGGAGCTGTGACTGGAATGCAGCGCTCTCACCTGGGACAGAATTGACACGGGACAGAATTGACTCACGTTGACCAGCTTTGACTCACGTTGACCAGCATTGACTCACGTTGACCAGCATTGACTCACGTTGACCAGCATTGACTCACGTTGACCATCTTCTCCAGTTCCTGAAACAGCCCATCCATGCCCTCGCCAGTCACTGCCGACACCGCCACCATACTGTGCCGCCCGCCCTCTCTCCCACCACCAGCGTCTCTGCCGCCCGCACTGCTCTCTCTGCCGCCCGCGCTGCTCTCTCTGCCGCCCGCGCTGCTCTCTCTGCCGCCCGCGTTCTGGTCCAAGATGGCCTCCAGCTGGCGCTGCTGCTGCTGCAGCCAATCAGGGGAGACCTGGTCCACCTTATTGAGGACGGTGAGCATGGGGATGCGGGAGACGTCCAGCTCAGCAAGCACTTGAAGCACCGCCGCCACCTGTTGCGCCGCCATTGGATGGCTGCCCAATGGGGGTAGGAGTAGGTAAGGAGGGTTTGGGGATTCGGAAAGTGGGAGAGGAGGACGGGAAAGGGAATAAGAAACATGAGAGCAGGAAATGTAATGGAGGGAGAGTGAGTGAGAAGGACACATAGGGTGGTGAGGAGATCGAAAGAGAGTGAGACCATCTGACAGCTCACCTGACATTTCACCTGACAGATCACCTGACAGCTCACCTGGCGTCCACCACATGCAGCAACACCGATGCCTCGGTGATCTCCTCCAACGTGGCTCTGAACGCTGCCACCTGGCGCAACCCCATTGTTTGGGTGGTTCCGGCACAGGAAAATCGAAGAATGACATTGCAATGGAGGTGATTTCAGAGTGATGAAGAGCACTCAAGGGGGGGGTGCAAAACGGTGCAGAACGGTGCAGAACGGCGGTAAACGGTGGTTGCAGTCTGGTTGCACCTGTTCCATTTGTTTGTTGTCCCGTAATACACCACTTCTTCCTTCTCATTGCCATTGTTTTAACGAACAACAAACAGCGCCAGCAGGGAATCTGACACCCTCCAGAAGCTGCAGAAGCTTCTAATTCCCTCCAGAAGCTGCTCTCGTCTCTGTAATTGAAAGACAATGGCTCTGTGCGCTCACCAGCTGGGTGGGCAGCTTCTGAATGAAACCCACAGTGTCTGTCAACAGACACTCCTTGCCGTTGGGTAGCTGAGTGGGGTGGGTGGAGAAGACGGGAGGGAGAGGAGAAACAGGCTGAAATGAGGGGCAGCATGTGAGCGGGCAGTGCAGCGCACGAGCGTGCGGTGCAGCGTAGGAGCGGGCGGAACCTGATGGGGAACCTGATGGGGAACCTGATGGGGATGTGTGCAGCACCCAACCCACCTGTGTTCTGCGAGTGGTGGGGTCGAGAGTGGCAAACAGCTTGTCTTCAGCCCACACGCCTGCTCCCGTGAGGCGGTTGAGCAGAGTGCTCTTGCCCGCGTTGGTGTATCCCACCAGTGTAGGTTGACCTAAGCGGCCACCAGTAGGGCCAGAAAGGAGGACACACCCACCTGCGTGCGGCGAGTGGTGGGGTCGAGAGTGGCAAACAGCTTGTCTTCAGCCAACACACTGGCGCCCGTGAGCCGGTTGAGCAGAGTGCTCTTGCCTGCATTGGTATACCCCACCAGGGACAGCACCGGGATGGGCAGCCCTGCCCGTCGGTCCCTGTGCTGCTGCCTGTGCTCCCTCACCGACGTGAGGCTGCGTCTCAGTGCTGCCATCTGGAGGGGAAGAGCAGGAAGAGGGAGGGGGGGAAGAGGAGAGAGTGAGGGTTGGTTGGTTGGTGTATCCCACCAGGGACAGCACCGGGATGGGCAGCCCTGCCCGCCGGTCCCTGTGCTGCTGCCAGTGCTGCTGCCAGTGCTGCTGCCAGTGCTGCTGCCAGTGCTGCTGCCAGTGCTGCTGCCAGTGCTGCTGCCAGTGCTGCTGCCAGTGCTGCTGCCAGTGCTGCTGCCAGTGCTGCTGCCAGTGCTGCTGCCAGTGCTGCTGCCAGTGCTGCTGCCAGTGCTGCTGCCAGTGCTGCTGCCAGTGCTGCTGCCAGTGCTGCTGCCAGTGCTGCTGCCTGTGCTGCTGCCAGTGCTGCTGCCAGTGCTGCTGCCAGTGCTGCTGCCAGTGCTGCTGCCAGTGCTGCTGCCTGTGCTGCTGCCAGTGCTGCTGCCAGTGCTGCTGCCAGTGCTGCTGCCAGTGCTGCTGCCAGTGCTGCTGCCTGTGCTGCTGCCAGTGCTGCTGCCAGTGCTGCTGCCAGTGCTGCTGCCAGTGCTGCTGCCAGTGCTGCTGCCTGTGCTGCTGCCAGTGCTGCTGCCTGTGATGCTGCCTGTGCTGCTGTCTGTGCTGCTGCCTGTGCTGCTGCCTGTGCTGCTGCCTGTGCTGCTGCCTGTGCTGCTGCCTGTGCTGCTGCCTGTGCTCGCGCACTGACGTGAGGCTGAGCTTAAGCGCTGCCATCTGGGGAAGGAGGAGGGGGACACGAGAGGAGATGATGATGATAATGACTCGCTTATGCACTTGAATCAACTCCTACTTCTCCTCCATGCCCTTCACTGTGCCGCCAGTCTTGTGAATAGGCGTACAGGCAACCCTTTTTCCTCCTTTTTCTCCCCGGTTCATTGTCTCACCCGCTCTCGGATGATTCGTTGGTCAACCTCGACACGCTTCTCCCCCATGCCCTTCTCCATGCCTTTCACCATGCCACCTGCATTTTACATCAACTCAGAAAGCACCTCTGCCCCTCACCCTCTCCCCTTTCCTCCGTTGACTGACCCTTTCTCTGATGATTCGTTGGTCAACCACGATATGCTTCTCCCCCATGCCCTTCTCCATGCCGCCTGACCTGTGATCCAAATCAAAGGCACCCTCGTCCCAGTCCCCCGTCCCCCCATGGTCCCTCCTACTCACTCACCCGTTCTCTAATGATCCGTTTGTCCACCTCAATCTGCTTCTCCCCCATGCCCTTCACCATGCCGCCTGCCTTCCAAATCAACTCTAAGATAACCTCCCCCCTTCCGTCCCTCCCCTTCCCTCCATTGTCTCACCCGCTCTCTGATAATCCGTTTGTCCACTTCGATCTGCTTCTCCCCCATGCCCTTCACCATGCCGCCTGCCTGCCGCTCCAGATGCGTCCACATGCGAGTGAGGCGCGGCAGCTGGTACTCTAGCTGGGCTAGTTGGACCTGGTGGGGGGTCGAGAAGGGGGAGGGCAAACAGGGGGTGATATCGAGTTGCATGCACGCACGTGTCAGCCCCACCACAGCTCCAGATGCGACCACATGCGCGTCAGGCGCGGCAGCTGGTACTCCAGCTGGTACTCCAGCTGGTACTCCAGCTGGTACTCCAGCTGGTACTCCAGCTGGTACTCCAGCTGGTACTCCAGCTGGTACTCCAGCTGGGCTAGTTGCACCTGGTGGGGAGGAGTTGAGGAAAAGGTTGAAATGGGGAGAGGACATGTTGGGCGTTGGGCGTTGGGCTTGGGCGTTGGGCTTGGGCGTTGGTCTTGGGCGGTGGGCTTGGGCGTTGGTCTTGGGCGTTGGTCTTGGGCGTTGGTCTTGGGCGTTGGTCTTGGGCGTTGGTCTTGGGCGTTGGGCTTGGGCGTTGGTCTTGGGCGTTGGTCTTGGGCGTTGGTCTTGGGCGTTGGTCTTGGGCGTTGGTCTTGGGCGTTGGTCTTGGGCGGTGGGCTTGGGCGTTGGTCTTGGGCGTTGGTCTTGGGCGTTGGTCTTGGGCGTTGGTCTTGGGCGTTGGTCTTGGGCGTTGGGCTTGGGCGTTGGCTTGGGCGTTGGTCTTGGGCGTTGGTCTTGGGCGTTGGTCTTGGGCGTTGGTCTTGGGCGTTGGTCTTGGGCGTTGGTCTTGGGCGTTGGTCTTGGGCGTTGGTCTTGGGCGTTGGTCTTGGGCGTTGGTCTTGGGCGTTGGGCTTGGGCGTTGGTCTTGGGCGTTGGTCTTGGGCGTTGGTCTTGGGCGTTGGTCTTGGGCGTTGGTCTTAGGCGTTGGTCTTGGGCGTTGGTCTTGGGCGTTGGGCTTGGGCGTTGGTCTTGGGCGTTGGTCTTGGGCGTCGGTCTTGGGCGTTGGGCTTGGGCTTGGTCCCTGCTCACGTGCAGTCAATGATGAGCCGCGATTGTGTGAATGCATGCTCCCACACGTGCAATGCAGACAGCGCACCTGCAGAGTTGCCTCCTTGGTGTTGGCGCGTTGACTGAAAATGTCAATGATGAGTGCCGTGCGATCACACACCCTCACATCGCCGCCAAACTCTTTCTCTAGATTGCGCAGCTGACTGGGAGGGTGGGAGTTGGTTGGGAAAGAGGGCAAGTCAAGCGGGAAAGAGAGACAAGTAGTGCGATCACAGACCCTCACATCGCCGCCAAACTCCTTCTCCACATTGCAGCTGACTGTATCAGGGAGGAAGGGGAGCAGGCGGGAACTAGCAGGGGAGAGATCACGTGGGCGAGAGGCAATGAGCGCCGTGCGATCGCACACCCTCACATCGCCCCCACATTGGGTTGGGAACACGTGCATTCAACAGCTTATCTCTGTGATTTTATGCTACAGTTCTGTGATTCAATGTGAGTTCTGTGATTCAATGTGAGTGCACGCTCTATCAATGTGAGTGCACGCTCTATCTCTGCAAGTCGACGCTCTTTCTTTGTGAGTCGATGCTCTATTTATGCGAATCGACGCTCTATCTGTGAGTGGTCGCTCCATCTCTGCGGGTTGACGCTAAATCTGTGAGTGTACGCTCTACCTCTGTAGGTCGATATTATATCTGTGAGTGTACGCTCTACCTCTGTAGGTCGATATTATATCTGTGAGTGTACGCTCTATCTCTGTAGGTCGATATTATATCTGTGAGTGTACGCTCTATCTCTGTAGGTCGATATTATATCTGTGAGTGTACGCTCTACCTCTGTAGGTCGATATTATATCTGTGAGTGTACGCTCTATCTCTGTAGGTCGATATTATATCTGTGAGTGTACGCTCTACCTCTGTAGGTCGATATTATATCTGTGAGTGTACGCTCTATCTCTGTAGGTCGATATTATATCTGTGAGTGTACGCTCTATCTCTGTAGGTCGATATTATATCTGTGAGTGTACGCTCTACCTCTGTAGGTCGATATTATATCTGTGAGTGTACGCTCTACCTCTGTAGGTCGATATTATATCTGTGAGTGTACGCTCTATCTCTGTAGGTCGATATTATATCTGTGAGTGTACGCTCTACCTCTGTAGGTCGATATTATATCTGTGAGTGTACGCTCTACCTCTGTAGGTCGATATTATATCTGTGAGTGTACGCTCTACCTCTGTAGGTCGATATTATATCTGTGAGTGTACGCTCTACCTCTGTAGGTCGATATTATATCTGTGAGTGTACGCTCTACCTCTGTAGGTCGATATTATATCTGTGAGTGTACGCTCTACCTCTGTAGGTCGATATTATATCTGTGAGTGTACGCTCTACCTCTGTGAGTCGACGCTCTTTGTTTGTGAGTGGACGCTCTATCTTCGACCATTTCCCCTCAACCCCCCACTCACTCACCCCGCGCTGAGCTCATTATCAAACACCACCGTCTCCACGCCCATGCCCGCCCCACACAGCCAGGACACATACATCCAACACGTGTACACTCTCACCCCGCGCTGAGCTTATCGTCAAACACCACTGTCTCCATGCCCATGCCCATGCACGCCCATGCTACCACATGCCATACACTCTCACTCACCCCGCGCTGAGCTCATCGTCAAACACCACCGTCTCCACGCCCATGCCCGCCACCGCTGCTCGCACCTCCTCCACCTTGCCGGCTCCTATGTACGTTCGTGGGTTGGGGCTTGCTACCCTGGGAGACGTGAAAAGGAGAAGGGGAAGAGGCAGGCAGGAGGAGTGGGGGCGGTGTCTTGAAACCATGCCCGCCACCGCTGCTCGCACCTCCTCCACCTTGCCCGCCCCGATGTACGTTCGTGCGTTGGGGGACGGTACTCTGGTAAAGGCAGGGATGGGAGGAGTTGGGGAAGGGCGCAGGGTGGGCTTGGTATCACGGCAGTGGCGCTGCTCGCACCTCCTCCACCTTCCCTGCTCCAATGTACGTTCGTGGGTTGGGGGACACTACCCTGGTAAAGGCCAGGGAGGGGAGAGAGGAGAGAGGGAAGGAGGCGGGAGGGGAGAGAGGCGATGCCTTAGGCCCATGCCCGCCACCGCTGCATGCACCTCCTCCACCTTGCCCGCTCCGATGTACGTGCGCGGGTTGGGGGACGCTACCCTGGGAAAGGGGGAATGGGGTAGGGGTAGGGTGTGTAGAGCCAGCGACTCCTCTATGGGGAACAGCTTCTCTCTTGTTCCCCCTTCCTCTCACTGCCTCCCGTTCACCCCTTTAATCTGCTCATCTCACCTCTGGTGCGTGGAGCCAACGACCCTGAGCCCGGCCGTCTCCACCAGCTGTGACAGCTCCGCCAGGGGAGGGGAGGGTAGGCCACAACAGGGGGAGGGGAGGGTAGGCCACAACAGGGGGAGGGGAGGGTAGGCCACAACAGGGGGAGGGGAGGGTAGGCCGCAACAGGGGGAGGAGAGGGTAGGCCACAACAGGGGGAGGAGAGGAGGAGGAAGCAAGGAAACAGCACCTGAAGACTCACCTCTGGTGCGTGGAGCCAACGACCCTGAGCCCGGCCGTCTCCACCAGCTGCGACAGCTCCGCCAGCGACTCCTCTATGGGGAACAGCGAGGGCGCTGAGGCAGAGGGGGAGGCGGAGGGGGGAGCGGATGCAGAGGGCCTGACCTCCACGCCCACCAGGAAAGCTCGCTCCTCGAGAATCTGACAGGGGGAAAGGAGAGGGGGGAAGGGGGAGCGGTGAGCGGAGAGTGGGGGCGGAGGGGGAGGGGGAGGCGGAGGGGGAAGTGGGTTGCAGAGGGCCTGACCTCCACACCCACCAGGAAGGCTCGCTCCTCGAGAATCTGATGGGCGGAGGGGGAAGAAGGGAAGAGGGGGAGGAAGGGAGGGGAGGAGGGGAGGGGAGGAGGGGAGGCTGGGATAGCTGGGGGGGGGATGCAAGTGAGAGGTGTACAGGAAACAGGGATGGGCATTATTAGGCGGGGATCAGAGCCTGCCTCGTCATCTGCCCTTCCTCACCCACAGCGCACTTCCCCACACCCGAAATGCCGTGGCATCTGCATAACCACTCACTTCCCCACACCCGAAATGCCCTGGCATCTGCATAACCACTCACTTCCCTGCCTCCCCTCCCCTCTCCCCCTCTCCTCACCTCCCGTCCTCGTCTAACCTCTCATCTCATCTCCCCCTCCTCTCACCTCGCGCCCGTTCCGCAATCTGAACCGTTTAGTCATCTCTTCATCTGACGACCACCCGCCTGTCAGATCCTTCTCGCCCTCCCCCTCCTCTGACTGCCACGTGGCAAACGTAGCATCCCATCCTTCCCCCTCCGCCTCTCCCCCTGCCTGTGCTTCCCCTTGCCCTTCCGCCACCCCCCATTCAAACCACCCGCCTCCCCCGTCGTCCTCCGCACTACCCCCCCCTCTCCCGCTTTCCGCTCCGCGTGCTACTGACGTCACTCCTCCCAGATCTTCCGCTGGTCCTCGAGATTCCCCTAAAGCGGCGGAATCTGACGGGCTGGCGCGCTCAGGGGGAACCGCGCGGGGAGCTAGACTCGCTCGTCTGCGGAACTCGCGAGACGCGGCAGGCGCGGCGCTTCGTCCGCCGCTTATCGCGGACGAGCGCCGCACGCGCAGGGCAGCGCACGGAACCCGACCGCCGAGCGCTGACTGCGCGCTCGCGACAGATTCTACATGCTCGGCGCGCAGGTTAGTGCTGTCGACAAATCTAGGCCGCAGGGTGGTTGAGAAACATTGAGAAGATCGGCGATTTCTGATGGACGGAGGCACGCAGAAAACGACGGAATGTGTTCGTGGACAGGTCGTGGCGCTACACGAGGCTATCATGGCGACGCGAGGAGGATACCTGGGTAGGACTAGACTCAGGTGTACAATGTTGCTGCTAATACATATAAGTGCTTGAAGCAAGCTGCTCGTGGGAGCGCAAGCAAGGTTGAGAAGCACGAATGCAACATTGAACTCGCTCGAACACAAGTGCAATTCGCTGGAACGCACTACGTGCAAAAATGTTAATGTTTGGTTATTGATTCACTATCGGTAGAATATACATGCTACACTTACAACATTTATTTGACCTACAAAAATGTACAGCGAAAACGCTCAAGCGAGAACCCAGTGCAGGTCTGCTCTGCATCTACACCACAATCCACTAGAGGGCGTGATGCGCGAATGCACGCGATCAGGGTCGCAACATGCTCAAATTTCTCGCTCTACTTTCCCCCTCACCACTGCTTCGCTGCGCACATTTCTTCTTCCATTTCAAATCAGCTGCAAGCTGAACTACCCACGCGGCGCCTCCCCACTTTCCTCAGGCTTGCCTTCCATTGCGAGCACCTCAAAACGTCTCCACGCGACGGGAGATCCAACCGTTCAGGTGAGGTGGTTGAGAAAGGCCCACAGTCTGAGCCGATCCGTCTTTGACGTAGCGAGTCCCGCCGAAAGGGCAATCAGCCCTGCCCAGCGAGCCTCGCGCCGCTCATAGCATCTCGAGCGTCCTTTCCCCGCACGATCACCGTCCCCGCGGGGCTGATACGACTTTGAGACCGTTCGTCCCAAGGTCGATCTGGATCAAGCGTAGCTGCCGTAGCTCGGAATGCCCCATGCCGCGGCGGCACCTGCGCCGCTTCTCAAGTAGCTGGGGAAAATTTCATTCCGCTTCGCGCCTCCGTTCCCGCCGAAAGCGGAGCCGTGTGTGTGCGCGGGGCCCTGCGGTTTGTCCTGCGCCGCGCGCTGCTGCATGTTAAGCGGGAATAACTTCTGAATAGAATCGTCTCCGGGCAGGCGAAGCGCGGGGGAATTGGAGAATGTGAGCGCGAAGAGAACGTGTTCGGGCATGCTGACAGCTGCCGCCGACATAAATCTATTCCGCGGTCCGGACGCGAGGGGAACGATGTCGACAGTCTCGAGGCGCGCGCGTTGGAACTCCATTTCCTCGGATTGCTGCTGTGCCTCGTCGAAGTTAAGGCAGACGGATTTAATGTTCGAGAAGTCGAGCTCGCCCTGCTCGTTCTCCTCCGGCTCGCAATAATAGTCGTCGCCCGCCGAAGCGGACTCGCGGGCGGAATAGGCGGACGCGGCTTGAGATTGTTGCTCGTGCCAGGAGCTTTGCGATGAGGCTGGAGAGAAGAAAACGGGGAGAGACGAGAGGCCACAGGTCAGTGACTTCGTACTTTGAGTGTCAGGTTGTGCAGACACGGCACGTGCGATTGAAGCGAAGAGGAAATAGTAGAACGCGAAGACGTTTCAAAGATACTCACTTTCGGAGGCTGCCGCGCTGCTCGCTCGCAGGAGTTTCTCGCGAAGCGACGATTCCCTCATCGTCGCCGTCTGCTGCGACACCGCGCGAGGGTCGCTCGATTGTCGCCACGCGCGATTCGCCGGTGATTGGCCCGACGCCTCAGACGACGCGCAGCTGAAGCTCGGCATGAGCGGCGTCACGGGCGATCCGGTGTAGCTGCCGTAGTCGCTGATTCCCGCTAGAGACGCCACGTTGGTGCCCTTGCTCCCCGAATTAATCGACGTGAATCGCGAGTTGCCGCCCATCTGCTGCTGCAGAAGCTGCTGCGCGAGCGACACGCGGCCGGTGGACGGGCGACTGTTACCCGACGACGTGTTCGAGGGGGTATCGGAGATTATCGAGAGCGCCCCCGAGTTGTTCGCGGAGTTGGGCTGGGAGGTCGCCGGGCTTCCGAGGCCGCTTCTGGGGGAAGAGACGGCGGAGCGCGGCGAGTTGAGGTCGTTAAAGCCGCAGATGTCGGAAAGGTTCGCGACACTGTTGGAGTCGGAGTCGCCGCAGATGTCGGAGAGATCAACAGCGCTATCGGGGAAGCGCGGATCGGCGGCATTTACAAGCGCGGGCGGCTGCTTGCACCACTCCTCGGTGTTCTCGGTGCGCAGAGCGAACTTGCTGAAGTGCGAGGCTGCAGACTCGTCGCCCCATGGACTGGCTGTGGCTGTGGCCATGCTGATCGCAAGTAGTTTTACGGGATGGGTCGACCAGAAACTGCTTCGGCGATTGATTTGTCAACGAAAGGCTGTAGTGTCACAAGGTTTTAGTGTGTGAGCGACGCTTCAAGATGTTTAGCTGGCTTGAGCGGAGCTTGCTTTAGACTGGAAGTGGGAAGCTGAGGTGTTGAAAGTGAAGGTTGTGTTTGCTTGTGGTTTGCCTTGCTGGAACTCGCTCTTTGTAGGTGGCTCACCCTTCACCGCAACCCCGTCCTTGCTGGATGCCTAGGAAAATGGAGCGACTTCTGGGCCGTATGTGTGGGTGATTCGATCGCGCCGCTTGGCTGCTGCTAGACGCGCTTCGACATCTCCCCTTCCTCGTGGGTTTTCCCTTCTCCCCACTCTCCCCCCACATGGCGTGGATGAGCAGTTGAGGTGAGGCATCGTTTCGTTATCCACACCAACGCTAATGAACAGAGTTGTATGTACTGAGGGAGTGAGGTTTGTTGAAAGAAGGGACCAACAACTCTGCACTGTACTCGACGTGATCCTTGGCTGCCCGATGTGGAACTGATCCTTTGCTAAGCACGGTCGGGGAATTGGGCAGTAAGTATAGCGTTGGGGATTGCACGGGCTCAGGGTGTACTGAACATCACCATTGTCATTCGAAGCTTTTAGACGGAATGCTTTTCCGCAACAAGCAATATGGCGGAAAAAAACGCGTGTTTCCCATCCAGCTCGGTTCACTGCAGCTTTTACCGCCGACCTGTAACGAACCATAGCCACAAGCCGTCGACACAGCATGTCAACACATGTCAGCCTCCCGCGAAATCTCGACAACAGCAAACGCATGCTCGTGTAACGCTGGTTTTGCAAATACGACAATTTAAATTTCGCGGTTGGTAAAGCAAACAACGTCCACGCTGGACTGTCGAACCAACCACAAGCATCCAAAGTTTTTGCATCCCTCTCGCCCATTCCACCACAGATGGCCCATTATGCTTTGAACAGTAAAGCCATGAGGAGCTCAGTGATCCACAAAAACAGCAGCGTTGTAAAAAGCACGTGCACTTTAAATGCACAGCTGTACGATCAACAACCAGCCAAGCCGAGGACTCGGATAGGTCCAAGGCTAACGGATCGGTTAGTCAGCCGACACGTGCTGCTGACTGCGCCAATTCATTCTTAGATCAGATTTGTCCGTTCCCACCAACTCCACTCTATGGCCGTAAAAAAGATACGCAACCGGAACTGTGCCGTCACATCCTTCCCTGGTCTTGAAATCGAAAGGATGTGACGTGGTGACCGCAGGTGAAGTGCTCTGCTGCAGATGCTCATGCAAACCTAGGTCACATACATATTTTGTACCTTATAGAGTGTCGAGCTAACAGCAAAACAAATATTGACTAACCCACAATAAGCAACCTGAATTTTGTTGGATGTATTTCCTCCTAAAGGTCCCAACCATTCTGTTAGATAAACAGAGGGTGTGTCAGCTGATTTTTTTCACCGATTTTGTGTTAAAAACAATCCACAACGAATGCTAATCAAATGCCACTGCTTCCTAGTAATAGTTTTACCAATGCTCCATTTATTATATACTTCAACCCTTGGTCCCAACGATTTGCAAAAGCCCTCTTCACATTCTTATACACAAATAAGATGGATAAACCATAATTTTAGATGCAGCAGGACAATCTAGACTCTTGAAATCTTGCTGTGCCCTGCCACTAACAAGAACCAGACAGCTCAGTAAAGCAGCACTGAGAAACGACCAGCACACAGAATGTGCACCGGATGAAAAAAACAGCGCAGCAGGATTTCACCAACTTCTTAGTTGGTTCGGTTCCCAAGCTCGGCAAGAGGATACAAGAGAAAGTTGCTGGCCTTCAGGCTGCAATTATTCATGCTGCCGTCTTGGCGGCATGTGTGTGCGTGTGAGCTTCGCCCTTAAAACCCGTGTCTGCTGCATGTTGCTGAATCCAGTCCATGGTGATGCTCTTGGGGCGCTCCAACGGCAATCCCAAGGCCCGGTCCCACACCAGCTGATGGGAGGATCAGGGGGGAGAGAGGGGAGTGAGGGGAGGAGAGAGGGGAGGAGAGGGGGAGGAGATTGGGGAGAGATGAGTGAGAAGAGAGAGAAGGGAGGGGTGGTTGAGAGTGGGAGTAGCAGGTGAAGTGCTGCTAGGTCAGAGCGTGCTGTAGAACGAGACCGTGGTGGCACCGAGGCAGAGGGGAAAGAGAACAGCAGGGGGCATGGCAGAGAGTTGCGAATCAAGCAGTGGAGCTCAAGGCAAATGAGCATCGCTGTAGCAGCAGTGAAATTGAGACAGTGAGGTGTGATGCGAGGCAGTGCGATGGGATGCGGTAAGGCACGGCACTGACCTGAGAGAGCACGCCCATGGCTCGAGAGACGCCGAACAACACCGTGTAGAAGCTGGTGGGGTGAATTGGGACAGGGAGGGGGGGCGGGGGTGAAGAGAGCGGGTGTGGTGAGGGGTTGTTTTGAGGATAAGGGGGAGGGGATCTAGACAGCAGACGCCCATGGCTCAAGAGACGCCAAACAGCACGGTGTAGAAGCTGGTGGGGTGAATTGGGCGGAGAGAGGGAGAAACTCGTGAAGGTGGTTTGGTTTGAGGGGTTGGGAGAAGGAAGGCGCACAAGAGACTCACAGTAAAGATGTGGTCACGGACATGTGACATGCAGGGTGCGCCCCCTGAAACAAGCCTTGTTCCACGCACTCCTCTCATGCTCCTGCACACCCTTGTTGTTGCACTCGCTTGCTGTTGCTGAGGCTTAGGCGGTGCAAACCCATTGGCACAAGCCCAACACCACCTGCCCCTCCTGTACCAAGCCCAACACCACCTGCCCCTCCTGTGCCAAGCCCCACCCTACCATCCCTGCGCAGCAAAACCTCACAATGTTCTCGCATGGTACGTGCCCTCTTGTTACGCTGCAGCACTCACTTGGCATTGGTTAACCCGAGGTGCTGCAGCAACACGCCGCTGTGAGCATCCACGTTGGGCCACGGGTTCTGCACCTGTGGAGGGGTAAAGGGGAAGGGGGGGGGGGATGAATGCAGGTGGGCACACACGCACATACATCCACACATAACGCGCACAGCTGTGAGCGTCCACGTTGGGCCACGGGTTCTGCACCTGTGGAGGGGTAAAGGGGAAGGGGGGAGGTGGAGGTATGAGGACGGATGCATGCGCACACTCATGCACACGTGCACACACATGCACTCTCTCCCCCTCACCTTACCCCTCTCCTGACTCATTTTGCCTCTCTCCCCTCACTTCCCCAGCTCCCGCTCCCCCCCCGCCCCTACCCCCCTCACCTTGCCAGTCTCCTTCAGAATGGGCGGCACCACCTCATACAGGTCTGATACCTGCAGTCAACGCAGTCAATGCAGTCAACGCAGTCAAAACAGTCAACGCCATATGGGAGGGGAGCAACCGGAGGAGATGAGCGGCACAGTCAACGCTATCCACACAGTCAACGCTATCCACACAGTCAACGCTATCCACACAGTCAACGCTATCCACACAGTCAATGCTATCCACACAGTCAACGCTATCCACACAGTCAACGCTATCCACACAGTCAACGCTATCCACACAGTCAACGCTATCCACACAGTCAATGCTATCCACACAGTCAACGCTATCCACACAGTCAACGCTATCCACACAGTCAACGCTATCCACACAGTCAATGCTATCCACACAGTCAATGCTATCCACACAGTCAACGCTATCCACACAGTCAACGCTATCCACACAGTCAACGCTATCCACACAGTCAACGCTATCCACACAGTCAACGCTATCCACACAGTCAACGCTATCCACACAGTCAACGCTATCCACACAGTCAACGCTATCCACACAGTCAACGCTATCCACACAGTCAACGCTATCCACACAGTCAACGCTATCCACACAGTCAACGCTATCCACACAGTCAACGCTATCCACAGAGTCAACGCTATCCACACAGTCAACGCTATCCACACAGTCAACGCTATCCACACAGTCAACGCTATCCACACAGTCAATGCTATCCACACAGTCAACGCTATCCACACAGTCAACGCTATCCACACAGTCAACGCTATCCACACAGTCAATGCTATCCACACAGTCAACGCTATCCACACAGTCAACGCTATCCACACAGTCAACGCTATCCACACAGTCAACGCTATCCACACAGTCAACGCTATCCACACAGTCAACGCTATCCACACAGTCAACGCTATCCACACAGTCAACGCTATCCACACAGTCAACGCTATCCACACAGTCAACGCTATCCACACAGTCAATGCTATCCACACAGTCAACGCTATCCACACAGTCAACGCTATCCACACAGTCAATGCTATCCACACAGTCAACGCTATCCACACAGTCAATGCTATCCACACAGTCAATGAGGTGGCAGGGAGAAGGTGAGCCGCACGACCAACCCAGTTATTGCAGTCAACGCAGTCAATGCAGTCAACCAAGTCAGCACAATGGGCACTAGCAGCACTCAAGTGTGTTTTGAGTCGACTCAAAACACAACCCAGTTATTGCAGTCAACGAAGTCAGCACAATGGGCACTAGCAGCACTCAACCGAGTCAACATAGTAAACCCAGCACTTACCAGCTGCACCATGGGGTCGTGCGGCATGTGCTGCCGTGCGAACTCCCGTTGACACGAGTAGCGCGGGTCAGTCACGCGCAGCACAGCATGCCCATACCCCGGCACCACCCTTCCCGCTGCCAGCCCCCGCCTCACGTGCTCCCCCAGGTGCTCCTTGCTTGGTCGCTCCCCCAATTCCGCCCTCAGCGAGTGCAGCCACCCCAGCACCTCCTGGGGAAGGGGAGGGGAGGGGAGGGCAGGGGAGTAACAGGAAGGCACATCAGCAATGGTGCAGTGGGGGTGGGAGACTGGGTGCAACACCGCATGTCCATACCCCGGCACCACCCTTCCCGCTGCCAGTCCCCCCCTCACGTGCTCCCCCAGGTGCTCCTTGCTGGGCCTCTCCCTGAGCTCCGCTCTCAGCGCGTGTAGCCACCCCAGCACCTCCTGGAAATGGGAGGGGAAAGGGATGAAGGATGAATCAGCAATGGCGGTTGGGAGGAAGGTGTGTTTGGGAGTGGGGAACAAGGGGAGGGGGGAGTAGTGTTGGGGCCAGCCCCACGCCCACGTGCTCCTCCCATTTGCCGTTCGGGCAGCAAACATGTTTGACGCAGCAAACCTGTTGGAGGCTGCGAAGCGAACATGGTCTACAGGTTTGCTGCCTCATACAGTTTTGCTGCCTCCAACAGGCTCGCTGCGTTGAACAGTTTCGTGGGAGGAATGAGGAATGTTGCATTGGGGGTGGGCAACCGGAGGTACGAGCAGTTGGGGGTGCATGCCAGCAGCCAGCTCTCACCTGATTGGCCAGCCCGTGCAGCGGGCCGGCAAGCCCATTGAGGCCGGCAGAGAGGGCGAGGAACGGGTCGGACAACGCCGACCCCACCAGGTGGGTGGCATGCGCGCTCACGTTGCCGCCCTCGTGGTCCCTGCATGCACCGATGGTCACATAGCGCACAGGTCAGGCGATGGTAGGTTGATTAGACGATAGCAACTGGGGAGGTGACATGGAAAGAGGAGATGAGTGGGAGGGAGCATGTAAGAGAGCACATAAGGGAATGTGGGTGACAGTGAAGCGGCAGCACCTATTAGCCAGTCACGCGAGGATGGTGAGGTAGAGGCGCAAGAGCTCGCGAGGATGGTGAGGTAGAGGCGCAAGAGCTCGCGAGGATGGTGAGGTAGAGGCGCAAGAGCTCGCGAGGATGGTGAGGTAGAGGCGCAAGAGCTCGTGAGGATGGTGAGGTAGAGGCGCAAGAGCTCGTGAGGATGGTGAGGTAGAGGCGCAAGAGCTCGTCCATGCGCTCCTCGTCAAACCCCATCATGTGCGCCAGATTCCCCGCCTAGTAAGGTGCAGCCATAGGAGCTCTGTAAGTTGACTCACGCGTGGATGGTGAGGTACAGCCGTAGCAGCTCGTCCATCCTCTCATCATCGAATCCCATCATGTGCGCCAGGTTCCCCGCATAGTCCAGATCCTCCCGTGCCGTCCGCACGCCCGGCCGCGCGCCGCCCTCCTTGCAGCTGCGGTTGTAGATCCGGGCGGCGATCTCCGGCAGGGCGGCGATCAGATCTAGGCTGTCGTCTAGTGCGTAGCGCCAGAGGTCCCGCTTGTGCGTGCCGCGGTGGTACGCGGCTGCGAACTTGGAGGTGCGCTGCAGGGCGAGCACGGCTATGGAGAGTTGAGTCATTGGGTGCAGCGATGGTGGGAGGGACCATATCACCTGACACACCGCGTCTGTATTGGGAGTGGGAGAGAGCGACAAGGGAGAGAATGGAGGGGGGAAAAAGAGGAAAGAAGAGAGTTTGGGACTTGGAGGAGCATTGCAGGGCGAGCACGGCTATGGAGAGCTGACTTTAGCAATGGGGGGAGCGACCAAATAATCTGACACACCGCATCTGCGTTGTGGGGGAGAAAGAGCGAGAGGGGCAGAGAGGCCGTAGCATGAGGGGCAGAGCGAGGGGTAGGGAGAGCAACGCTCATCCTTGGACAATTAAGTCACACCCATGACAGTCCTGTATATCAACGGCACCATTACAGCACATTATCCGTGTCATAGTCACCCGCGTCATAGTGACCTACCTGGAAGTCTCGCTCTGTCCTGAAGCTCCACAGCCAGCGACACCGCCTGCTCCTCCGTGGGTACCTGGTGGTGTGGGGGGGAAGGGCGGGAGTGGGCGATAGGGAAAGGAGGGGCTGGAAGCGCAGGTGGGAAGAGCGTGCAATTCATCTGCATTAGCATGGAAAACCTATATCATCTCCCCCAGCACAACCACACTGCAATCACCCCGTTACAGCCACGCCCTTACAGTCACTTATCTACAGTCAGCCCCCCACTCACATCGCCCGCTACAGTCACCCCCCACTCACCTCGCCCGCTACAGTCACCCCCACCTCGCCAGCTACAGTCATCCGCCCACTGACCTCGCCCGCTACAGTCACCCCCCACTCACCTCGCCCGCTACAGTCACCCCCCACTCACCTCGCCCGCTACAGTCATCCGCCCACTGCCCTCGCCCGCTACAGTCACCCCCCAGCTCAACTCGCCCGCTACAGTCACCCCCTAACTCACCTCCCCCGTGAGCAGCAGCCAGAGCAGCGCCTCGGGCAGCGGCTGGCCGCCGTCGAGCGCGGAGGGCAGCTGCGCCTGGCACTCGGGGATGGACAGCCCGCGGAACTTTATGCCCTGGCGCACGGCGCACCGGTGGAGGGAAGAGCGGGAGAGGCGAGGAGGCGAAATGGTGGAAAAAGCGTGGGGGAAAGGGGGGAGAGGAGGAAAAGAGGGAGAAAGGGGAAAGACGGAGGAGGGGAAAGATGAGAGCAAGTAGTGATGGAGCAGAGGAGGGACGAAGACGGGCGGAAAGGTGGCGAGGGGGGTAAGTGACAATGCAGGGATGACAATTGGAGCGGGTGGTACCTGGAGCGGTTGGTACCTGGGCGGGTGGTACCTGGAGCGGGTGGTACCTGGAGCGGGTCGAGCTGCGACGTCTCCCAAAGAAGGCCCTTGATGCCGCGCATTCCGCCCACCGCCTGCCACGTGGCACGTCGGAATGATGCACACTCGTGATTCGCACTCGATGCATACTCGGATGAGTAAACAAAGCGGCGACGGCACAAGTGGCTTATATATGCAGCAAAGTGGCATCTCGCAACTTCGACGCATTGTCATTTCGCGTTCGAGACGGCGGAGGAATAGGAAGGGCGCGACGAGGCGCGCGCGCGCGTACCATGTTAACGGTCACGTCGCCCAGAACCATGTCGCCGTACTTGGCTTTAATCGCCGCGAGTCGCGCGCGCTGCTCCGGCACCACCTCCTCCATCGTCTCCCGCAGGTCCACCAGCTCCGGCACGCGCTGCGGCAACTGCAACGCACAGCGCGCAGCGCGCATCGAACAGCGCGCAGGCGAGGCGACAAGCGGCGAGAGGGAGGGCAATGGCAAGATGGCGAAGAAATGAGGAGGCGACGTGGATAAGCTCGCAGCAAAATGGGAGAACGTTGGGACGAAAGAATTTGAGCGTAGTGCGGGAAGGCGGCACGGCACAAGGAAAGACGCGGGTTCTGCGGCGGCGCACCGTGGAGGAGAGGCGGTGCGGTGCGACGTCTTCCACTCCCTTGAGAACGCCGCCGGGCTTAGAAGCGGCCTGGTGAGAGGGTAAAGGAGAAAGGGGGTAGGCAGCAGAGTATCGGGAGAGGGATTGAGCGACGGCACATCGCCTTTCAACCGGAGATTGTTATTCCAGTAAAACGCCAAATGGAGGATTGATTTTTTCTCTTTTTGGTTAGCAAGAGCGATTCGCTCAGAGCACGACGAATCCGCATCGCGTCAAGTCAATACAACAAGATTCGTACCTGTCGGACAGACGACGCAACGCGGCTAAGTACACGTCTGAACGCCATTTCTTGGAAAAAACAAAGGCGAGGTGCTTCAACAAGCAGCGGCAATGGTGGATTCGAGTTGAGGGCTTGGGAAGAAGAGTGGCGTTGGGGTGGAGAGCTACTGGGGTGGAGAGCTAGACTCGCAGGTCTACTGTTGTGAGGATCGAGATTAGTCAAAGAATGCCAAACGAGAGCAAGCTTCAAGACAGTCGGGAAAGTGGTATAGGGCGGAGACGGGCTACCTGTCCCTCTGGTTCAATCTGCCGTGACAAGAATAGGGCGAATGCGCCTCGACTGCACGAATTCGCCCCTGTTGGAATGCGGGTGGAATTGCTGCCGTGTCACGTGATCTCGCAGCGCATGGAACTGCTCGTGTGCTTTCTCACGGTTTGTGCCAGCTGGCATCTGCCAATTCCACATCAAAATTGCATCGCCTTCATCCAAGGCATGTCATTCGCGGAACGGCGGAAGTGCTTTTGTCACGTGCTACAAGAGCGTCAGGAGTGGAGAGAACATCCAGGTGGCGTTGTTTTACTCGCCTTGAATCTTATCGTGTCCAGGGTAGATTCGTAAAAGCCTCTGACTGGTCGCAAATCATGGACAAAAAATGCCATTCACCCGCACGTGTGCTTTTGCAGCATTGCAACTACGAATGTAAAAATTTACACTAAGAGTTATTATATAAGATAAACAAACACCAAAACCACTAGGCAAAGCAACTAGTTCATGGCTTCACAGGCTTACATAACCTCATCAGAGGCCAGCAATGTATCGATATGCATGGTAAAGAGTTGGGTGCCAGCGAACACCTGCAACAACAAAAAACTCATGCAACTCTTTGGAGTTGAACAAGAAACATAGTGCGTAATGTGATGCTGAAAACACTGGCGCAATATAGTACAATGAAGATGGACAGATCATTTAAACAAGCAGGGCCAGTGCGTAGTAGGAGAGGGGAGGAGCATGCCTGAAAGAATTCCTGGTCATCCTCTGGGAAGCCGTTGACAAAGCTCTCCTTGAGAAGAAGTGACACCTGCCATGCCATCCCATGCCATGCCATCCCATGCCATCCCACCCATACCCACATGTTGAAGTTCACTGGAGTACATGATTCAAGAAATTCTAGGACATTCTGGAGCTGTAAAATTAGACACAACACTCACCCGCTGGCCGCCCTGATTGACGCTGGTGATGGTGTGAATGCGCACGTCGGTGCAGAAGGTGTCGATGTAGCTCCTCAGCGTCAGCAGGAAGCCATCCGCTGCTGCCACCTGCTCTCACAATCACACGCACACAGAGAAAGAGGGAGAAAACGGGTGAGAAAGAGCCAGGAGTGACATGCGCACGTCCGTGCAGAAGGTGTCGATGTAGCTCCTCAGCGTCATCAGAAAGCCGTGCGCTGCTGCCACCTGCTATCCCTCTCGCACTCACACTCACTCACACACCCATTGCAGCCGTCACCCGTGTGCACAAACACACACACGCACACACATACAGAAAGAGGGAGAAAATGAGTGAGAAAGAGCGAGGAGTGAATGGGAAAGAAGGAGATGATAATGCATGCGCATGGCTGATCTGTGGTTGCTGTGCACCACACCACACAACACAATCCGCTTTATCCTCTGCAATGCCCGCCTGGCCCTACACCCAACCTGGCCCTCTGTTTCCCCCTCCTGACCCCCACCTTGTCCACTGTTGCGCCCACCTGGGTCCTCTATTGCGTCCGCCTGGACTCACCTGACAATCTGTTGCACCCACCTGGTCCTCAGTGGTGCGGTACATGCGGCGCTTGTCAGCGTGCAGCACAGAGGCAAGGGCGGAATGGTATGGCTCGAGGCGGCTGCTTTTGAGGCGCCTCAAAAACAAAATTTTAAGCACCGCAGCTCACTGGAAATATGCACGGAAATACCCCCACCTGGTCCTCAGTGGTGCGGTACATGGGGCGCTTTTCAGCGTGCGGCACGGAGGCGAGTGCAGAATGGTAGGGCTCGAGGCAGCTGCTTTTGAGATGCCTCAAGAACAGATTCCCCCTCAGCACCACAGCTCACTGGGAGTACGTCCGAGCCTCACCTGGTCCTCAGTGGTGCGGTACATGGGGCGCTTTTCAGCGTGCGGCACGGACGCAAGCGCAGAGTGGAAGGGCTCGAGGCGGCTGTACAGGTCCACCTCGTCTGGTAGGCGCGGCAGGTACGTGGGCACCTTCACCTGGTGGGGAGAAAGGGAGAAGGGGAGCAGCGGAGTGGAGTGGGTGGTAAGTGCAGCAAGGAAGTTGCCGCAAGGTGAAGAAGAGGACGAATGGATAGAGAAGGGGGGTTGGTTTCACCTTGTCCTTGGGGAAATGTTCACCTTGTCCTTCTCACCGTATGTTCACCTTGCCTTTGGGAATGTTCACCTTGTCCTTGGGAATGTTCACCTTGTCCGGGAATGTTCACCTTGTCCTTGGGAATGTTCACTCGGATGAGGTTGCTGGCTCGGTCCTTGAGCTCCACTGTCTTGTACTGCATGCCCACCTGCATGGCACCACGGGGGGAGAGGGAGGGGGAGGGTGATAGGGAGGGGGACGAAGAGGGGAGGGGGAGGGGAAGGGGGAGGGGAGTGGGGTGATGGGAGGGAGGGGAAAAGGGAGAGAAAGAGGGAAGAGTAGGGAAAGGCTGCTGTCACAATCATAATCACAATCGCAGTGTCGCATGCATCATTACGCGAGGAGAACGCGACTGATGAGGAAACGCAAGACTCACAAGGAAAGGCACGGGCGCATCGAGGAATGTGAGGAGCTGGCTGGGTAGAATCTGTGGCGGAGGGGGTTGGGGTGGGAGAATAGGGATGGAGGTCGAGAGGGGTGGACGGAAGATCATAGGGATGGGCATTGAGTAAGAAGCAGCACGGCAGCAATGAGATGGTGGCTTGTCTCCTGGCAGCAGGATTCACACAGAAAACAGGCAACACGAGCACAGCGGGTGCTCAGTGCAACTGGTGGCAGCAGACAGGGAGAAAAGAAAGACGAAAGAGCCGAGGAGAGAGCAATAGGAGAGAGGGTGTAGCATGGGGGATGATAGAGGAGAGAGGACTGGGAGGGAAGAGCGGCACGGACCGGCAGCAGCACGGACTGCCAGGAGAAGGGGCGGATCATGGGGATGAGCGACAGCACCACCGCTGACAGCACACTCTGCACCGACGCACAGGCAAAAGGGGGAGAGGGAGGGGAGGGAGATGAGGGGTTGGGGGAGGGAGGATGAGGAGAAGAAGGGAGGAATGGAGGGGTTGGGGACAAGGGGGGAAGAGTTGGGCAAGGGAAGGGGTTGGGTGGTTTGAAAGGTGCAGCTGGTTGGAGAAGACGTGGGGGATGAGGCACGAGAGGGGGGCTGAAGGGGGGCATATGGAACTGAACTGAAAGCTGACGGATGGGTTTAGCGGCAGCAGCAGTGGCTCGGGAGTGATGCGGCAGCAGCAGGGGCGCAGCAACAGCATGAGCAGGACGAGGGAAGCAACGGCGCTGCCGCAATGGCATGCACGCACCAGGTTGGGGCAGACGAAGACGATCTGGCGCTCCAACAGCACCGCTGCCAGCACCGTGAGGATCTGAAAGGGGGGTGTAGCGGCGGGGGCAGGGGAGGGGAGACGTGGGCGGCGTGGAGAGGAGTGAGGGAGAGGTTGGGGCAGGCGAAAACAATCTGTCGCTCCAACAGCACTGCTGCTAGCACTGTGAGGATCTGGCAAGGGTGTGGGGGCGGGGGAGACGTTGGGGAGGTGGGATGGGAAAGGAAGGGAAGATGTGATGTGAGGGGAGGGGAGGGGAGGAGGAGAGAGGGAAAGGGAAGGGAGGAGAGGGGGATAGATAGAGCAGTGGGAAGGAGGAAGGAGGAGGGGGGAGAATGAGGAAAGCCCGATGGGTGGTACGACGGGCATGTGACACAATCCCACAACCACAGCAGCACGCACATGAAGGCGTTTCAACTCACATTGTCAAGGCTGAGAGAGCGGCAAGCAGCAGCAACAGCAAAACAAGCCACCCCAGCAGCCTCCTCGGCGTGCATGGGAGAAGCAGCCTCCTCGGCGTGCATGGGAGAAGCAGCCTCCTCGGCGTGCATGGGAGAAGCAGCCTCCTCGGCGTGCATGGGAGAAGCAGCCTCCTCGGCGTGCATGGGAGAAGCAGCCTCCTCGGCGTGCATGGGAGAAGCAGCCTCCTCGGCGTGCATGGGAGAAGCAGCCTCCTCGGCGTGCATGGGAGAAGCAGCCTCCTCGGCGTGCATGGGAGAAGCAGCCTCCTCGGCGTGCATCGGAGAAGCAGCCTCCTCGGCGTGCATGGGAGAAGCAGCCTCCTCGGCGTGCATGGGAGAAGCAGCCTCCTCGGCGTGCATGGGAGAAGCAGCCTCCTCGGCGTGCATCGGAGAAGCAGGTCGTCAGCGTGGGGCGGAAAGCAGAGCTCATCATTATCCAGCTCGCTGCGGAGTTTGACTCACATTATCGAGGCTGAGAGCACGACACGCAGCAGCAACGGCGAAGCACGCGACCCCAGCGGCCTCCTCAGCATGCATGAGCTCTCTGAGGAGCAAGTCGTCAGCGTGGGCGGGGAAGCAGCGCTCGTCAATATCCAGCTCGCTGCGGGAGAAGCCGAGCGGCAGCAGGTGCGGCAGCGGGTGGAAGAGCATGGCCTGGCCGCACGGAGGGACTGCAGAGGTGTGGTACGCGCACACGATTTGAAGTGCGTCGTTGTGATGATCCTGTGGGGGAGGCGGGGGAAGGGGGAAGGGGGAAGGGGAAGGGAGGTTTTGGAGCGGCAGCAGGTGAGGCAGCGGGTGGAACAGCATGGCCTGCCCGCACAGAGGGACCTGCGGATGTGTGGCATGCGCACACTTGTGCAGCGCATCGTTGTGATGTTCCTGGGGGGGTGGGGTAGAGAGGATCGGGAGGGGGTTTGGGAGGACGGGGGATAGACGGCATTGGGGCACAAGGCACCATGTTTTACGAACAAGCTGGCTTGCAGAGGGCATCTACCCATTCCACACCTTCCCCCTCTCTCCGCCTCTCTTCCTCCCTCCCTCTCTCCCCCTCTCCCCCTCGCCTCACCTCGGCCCACTGCCGCACAGCCTCCGCCCCGCAGTCCCCCTCCCCCTCCCCCTCCCCCCCGCTCCCCCCCCCGCCCCCTCGCCCTCCCCCCCCTCCACGAGCCCGCGATAGAAAGCATCGTCGTCGTCGTCCTCCTCCTCATCCCCATACTGCTCCTCCTCCGAATCCTCCTCCTCACTCTCCCCCCCGCCCCCCTCCTCCTCGTCCCCCTCCCCCTCGTACCCTGGCAGTTCCTCATCCGACCTGCAGCACGGGGCATGGGCGGTGGGAAGCGGAGGAATGAGTGGGTGACCTTCCGAGCACACCATACCAAACCACACCACACCACACGGCACCATTCCAATAGTTCATCCTGCACCGCCTCATCACACACCAGCGCAGCCCTGCTCACCCAGAGTCCTCAGTGAGGCTGCGATACAGCTTCAGCGAGGCAACACACCACACCACACCACACCACACCACACCACACCCCAGCACACCTGTGCCCCTGCTCACCCGGAGTCCTCACTGATGCTGCAAGCCAGCTTCAGTGACACACCACGCCACACCACGCCACACCACACCACACCACGCCACACCACACCACACCACACCACACCACGCCACACCACACCACACCAACACACATGTGTGAGGCTGCGATACCCCATACACATGCGCCCTTGCTCACCCCGAGTCCTCAGTGAGGCTGCGAGCCAGCTTCAGAGACGCCTTGCGCTCCATGCCCCAACGGCCCCCACCCTCTCCTGCCCCATCCCCATCGCCTTTCGCCGCCTTGCTACCCCCGGTGCCAGCACGCATGTCGTACTCGTTATAAGGGCACGGGCCTAACGGGTTATCATCGTCGTCTACAGTCATGGAGCGTCGCAGCTTCAAAGAGGACCCTCTCGGGCCTCCCATGCGCCTGTCTTCGTCCCCTTCCTCTCCACTCTCCTCATCCTCCTCCTCCTCCTCCTCCTCGCTCTCATCCTCCCCCTCCCACAGCGTAACCATTTCTTCATCGTCCCACTCCTCGTCCTCTCCCATGGTACCCAAGGCCTCATTCTCTTCGGTCATAAGTCTAACCAGCTTCTTACCCCCACCTGGCCCCTTCCCCCCTGCCTGCCCCACCTCTTCAGTCATCAATCGAACCAACTTCTTCCTCCCCCCTGCCCCCTTCCCCTCTGTTTGCCCCACTTCTTCAGTCATCAGTCGAACAAGCTTCTTCCCCCCACCTGCTCCCTTCCTACTTGCTTGTCCTGCCTCCTCTGTCATCAAACGCACCAGTTTCTTCCTCCCACTCCTGCCCACCTCGCTCCTTACCTGCTCCTCTTCCTCCTCATCCTCCTCCACCTCCTCTTCCTCTTCCTCCCACCCCCCACCTCCCCCTCTCTCTGCTGCTCGCCCCGCATCTTCAGTCATCAGCCTAACCAGTTTCTTTCCGCTACCTCGCTCCATCCCCCCTGCTCGCCCTGCCTCCTCTGTCATCAGACGTACCAGCTTCTTCCTGCCACTGCCCCTCCCCTCGCTCTTCACCTGCAACTCGCTCTCCTCGCCCTCCTCTCCCTCCTCCCCACTTTCATCCACTTCCCCACCTCCCTTCCTCCCCATTGCTCGCCCTGCCTCCTCTGTCATCAGACGCACCAGCTTCTTCCTGCCACTACCGGTGTTCTTGTTCCTTACCTGCTCCTCGCCCTCATCTCCCTCCTCTTCTCCTTCCTCCAATTCCCCTCCCCCCCTCCCCTTTGCCCGCCCCGCCTCTTCAGTCATCAGCCTCACCAGTTTCTTCCCGCCACCCAGCGCCTTCCCCCCTGCTCGCCCTGCCTCCTCTGTCATCAGACGTACAAGCTTCTTTCCCTGCCGCCCCACTGTCCTCCTCTCCTCCTCTTCCTCCTCCTCACCCTCCTCCTCCTCTTCCTCCTCCACTTCGTCCTCCTCCTCCTCCCCCCACTCCTCCTCGTCCTCCTCCTCTCTCTCTCCGCCTTCCCATCCCTTTCCACCGCTCTCCACAGTCATCAGCCGCACCAGGCGCTGTCTCTCTCTGTGAGCCTTCTTCTCCACCTCACTGTCCTCCTCCCTCTCCGCCCTCCTCCTCGCCTCCCCAGACTCTACAGTCATCACTCGCTCCAGCTTCTTCCTCCTCCCACCCCTCCCCCCACCCACCGTCCCACTCTCCTCCAACCCCTCCTCCCCTCCCTCCCCGGCACTTCCCGTCCCCCCTCCTCCCTCCCCCGTTTCTGCATCGTTCTCACCCTCCTCCCCCCAATCCGCTTCCCCAAACAACACTGTCTTGCGCCGCCGTGACGACGCCCGAACCTTCCCCTCGTCCCCCACACCCGCCTCCCTGCCACCCACCCCATCCTCACACCCACTCCTCTCCCTAGGGATCTTGCCATTCCTAGGGCTCTTGCCATTCCTAGGGCTTTTCGGGCTTTTGCCACTCTTGGGGCTTTTGGGAGCTCTAGGGCTCTTGGCGGCCTTGCCACCCGCGCCCTGCCTCTCCTCCTCACAGCCCTCCTCACCCCACTCCCGCCCCAGCTCCCGATAGCTCCGCTTCAGCACACCCGCTATGAACGTAAAACCCCCCTCCATATGCACGTTCCCCTCCCCTCCCTCCTCTCCCTCCTCCCCCTCTCCCTCCTCCTCCTCGTCCTCCCCAGCGCCGCCCACAAGCTCCCCCAGCAACTCCCGCACATGCTCTTTGAGTTCCCCATCCACCTCATCGTCCCCCATGCCATACCCAATGCTATCCGAACGCCACATACTGCCGGCGCCCGCCCGCCCCGCCTCCTCCTCGTGTGCTTGCAGCAGCTCCTTCGGCACCATTAGCCGGCCCCGCCGCACTGCCTGCCTCATAGAAAACTCCTCATCGTCATTGTCTTCCTCCTCTTCTTCTCCCTCTCCCGCTTCCTCCTCCTCTTGCTCCTCATGCTCGCCCTCCCCCGCCTCCTCCTCACTCCCCTCAGCCATACCCGCTTCCATCTCCTCGTCCTCATCCTGCTCTTCCTCCTTGCCTTCCCACTCCCCCTCACCCTCCCCCTCCTCCTCCCCCTCCGCAAAACTGCTCTGCTCCCCCTCCTCCCCCTCCTCCCCCTCTTCTCCCTCCTCGCCCTCCTCAATCCTCCCTTCCGCCATCTCCTCCCCCTCCCCACCCCCCTTCCCCTCCTCCCCACGCTGCTCCGCCTGCAGCTGGGCAATAAACCCCTGCAGCCCCTTCACATTCGACAGGCCCCTTAAGCTCTTAAAGCTCCGCCGTCCCACCTGCTGCTCCGCCTCCCCCTTCAGCTTCATCACGCCCTGCAGCCGCCGCGACGACGGCGAGCGAGAGAAGGAGTGGGCCGGGGCGAGCGTGGAAACCGGCACAGCGAACGACATCGGATCCTTCTCCTTCTTCTTCTTGCCTCGAAATGACTTCCCACCCGCGCCCATGCCCATGCCATCGTCATCGTCATCGTCGTCATCGTCGTCGTCGTCGCTGTGAAAGCCCCCCCGTCGCATGGCTTGGATGCCCCCTGCGTTGATGCGCCGCATGTGCTGCTTCATGTGGTCCAGGCGCTCCTGCACCAGGATGCTGGGGAAGGGGTGGGGGGGTGATGTGGGGAGAGAAAGGTGGCAGGGAGGGGTGGACGGGTGTCGAGAGGTGGTGCACGGGTGTCGAGAGGTGGTGCACGGGTGGGAAGAGAGATGGCATGCGCTGCTGGCGTTGATGCTCCGCATGTGCTGCTTCATGTGGTCTAGTTGCTCCTGTACCAGGATGCTGGGGGGGAGGAGGGAGAGGGAGGTCAACGTCATTACCCTGCTTATTCATCCGCCCTGTTTCCTTTCCGCACGCGTTCACCCTGCTTTTTCCATCCATCCAGCATTCCCAACCATCCCGTTTTCTCACCCACTCACGTGTGGAGCACCTCAAAGTGCGGGTCGAAGAAGGGCAGGCGCGGGAGGAAGCAGACTGGAGGGCCCTTAGTAACCGGAACTGAACGTGCGTGTGTCGGTGCACCCTCACCCATCCACCCTGCATTTCCTTTCCACCCATCCACCCATCCACCCATCCAGCCACTCACGTGTTGAGCACCTCAAAGTGCAGGTCGAAGAACGGCAGGCGGGTCAGGAAGCAGTAGCAGCGCGGTGCCGTCACAAGGTACTTGGAGGGCAGGCCGGCGGGCTTGGGGCCGTGCAGGGCGTTGTTCATGGCGAGCACGGAGGGCGGGCGCTGCACGACCTCGTGCACCACCATGCACACCCCGTACAGCGTGGCGTTGTCGTCCACTGCCAGGAGGAACACGTATGCATTGTCGTCCGCCGTCTGGTAGGCCTGTGGGGCACGGGATGGGGGAGTGCGAGGGTGAGCGAGAGACAGTGAATGAGTGAATGAGTGAATGTGTGAATGACTGAGGGAAGGAGGGAGGGAGGGAGGGAGTGAGAGACTGAGTGAGTGAGTGGGTGAGTGAGTGAGGGAGGGAGGGAGAGCACGGAGGGCGGGCGCTGCAGCAGCTAGTGCACCACCATGCACACGCTGTACAGCGTGGCGTTGTCGTCCGCTGTATGATATGCCTGTGGGGCGTGTGTGAGACAGGGTTACTGGGTGAGCGAATGAGTGAGACTGTGAGTGAGTGAGTGAGTGAGTGAGTGTGTGGCGGCGAGCAGTGCCAGCAGGAACACATACACGTAGCCGTGCGCGCTCGGGTGTGCCTGTGGGGTGAGGGAAGGGGTGTCGAGCAGCATGAGGGAGGGGTGAGGTGAACGCCACGAGCGATGGTAGTGCGAGCACGAGGGGTGAGTGAGTGAGCAGGTGAATGAGTGCGTGAGTGAGTGCGTGAGTGAGGGTGCAAGAGTGGGAAAAGAGGTGGAGATGCTCAGGCGGGTGTGCGTATAGAGGAGGAGGGTATATGGGGGGAGCGAGTGAGAGCAGGAGAGGGGGAATGCAAGGCGCACCTGGCCGTAGATGGACTGGTGGAAGCCCTTCATGGACGGTGTCTTCTCCATGCACCTCGCCTGCTCACCGCCAACAACAGGCAGCACGCAGCATGGATCAGGGAGCAGGGAGAAGAATCGGGCGAGGAGAGTAAGACAGCAGCCCAAGACCAAGAGTGTGTGTGTGTGTGGGGGGGCCTACAGATGGGTGGCTGAACGGGGAAAACGCAGCTACACTTACACACGGACGGATGATGAAACTTCATCCCACCTCACCTCACCAGACCGCACCTCACTGTACCTCACCTCAACACCGTTTGGGAAGCAGAAGCCTGGCAGGTCGGAGGGCGAGAGAGCAAGCTTCTTTCGTGGCGGGTACTTGTACAGCAGCTGGGGCGGGGGCGGGAGGGGGGAAAAGGAACGGGAGAGGGCACGAGGCAGAGCGGCCTTGTGAGTCGACTCACGTGTGTCTCTGGTTGTGTGGCGGGCACTTGTACAGCAGCTGGGGGGAGGAGGGAGGGGAGGGGGGAGGTGGGGCAGGGGACAAGGTAGAAAAAAACGATTGTCGAAAAATACGATTGTTTTTTTCGATGGTTTTTTACGGTACCTTTTAGGAAAAATACGGCCTTTTTTTGTTAGACAAAAAAAACTCTTCAACTTCAAAGATGCTGTTCTGATCACAAAAGCACTTCTAACAATCTTCCCCTTGTTTCAGCAGCAGTTTTGGTCTTTTTACTGAAAAAAACGAAGGTTTTTTTGCACCAAAAGTATTTATTTTCAAAAACCGTTTTTTTTTTTTTTTTTTTTCGTTTTTTACGATCGTTTCTTACGATACGGTATTTTAGGATCAAAATTTGAAAAAAAACGTCGTTTTTTTGCACCTTGGCAGGGGATGAGACAGGGTAGCAGCAGCATGCGGTGGAAGTGTGAGGGGTAGTGAGAACGGTTCCTGCCTCCGACCCAGCAGGCACCCACGCCAGCACCCCACCGTGCACCAGCAGCACAGCATACCTGGGCATCTAGGTTAACAGCGGGCGGCGGCACGGAGTCACTGACGGTCCCGTTGAGCTGCCCGCCCGCTTGTGGTGGTTGACAGCAGACCACCCCAGCAGCACAGCATACCTGGGCATCTAGGTTCACAGCAGGTGGCGGCAGCGCGTCACTGATGGTGCCGTTGAGCTGCCCGCGCTTGTGCGTGGCGAAGGCCGCCTCCACGGCACTTGAGGCGCCTCAAACGTCAGACCTTATCCCAGCACCCCATGCCACCCCAGCACCCTACTTTGCCCCAGCAGCACAACTCACCTGTGCATCGAGGTTCACAGCGGGCGGCAGCACGGAGTCGCTGACAGTGCCGTTGAGCTGCCCGCGCTTGTGTGTGGCGAAGGCCACCCCAGCAACCCAGCAGCAGCATAGCTCACCTGCGCATCTAGATTGACAGCAGGCGGCGGCAGCGCGTCACTGATGGTGCCGTTGAGCTGCCCGCGCTTATGCGTGGCGAAGGCCGCCTCCACGGCGCTGAGGTCCGCCTCGGGGTGCAGCCCCACCACCACGAAGTGGTCTATGAATGTGTCCGCTTCCAATAGGCGATTGCGCTGCACACACACACACATGGGGAGAAAGGAGAAGAGTGGGTTGTTGCAAGGGCATCTCTTGAGGTCCGCCTTGGGATGCAGCCCCACCACCACCAAGTGATCGGTTAATGTGTCGGCTTCTAACAACCGGTTGCGCTGTGGGGGAGGAACAATGGGGGAGAGGGAGTGGGGAGAAAGAGGGTGGGATGAGGGGCTACTGAGATCCGCGTTGGGGTGCAGTGCAGCCCCACCACCACAAGATGGTCGATACATGTGTCGGCTCCCAGCAGTCGGTTGTGCTGCACAGAAGAGGGGGGCGCAGACAGGGAGACAGGAGACAGGGTGAGGACACGGGGAGAGAATGAGAGAGCGAGTGGAAGAGAGGCTAAAGAGGGGGAGGGAGCAGCGGCGGAGGTGGGGAGAGCAGGAGAGGAGAGGAGAGGCGTGGTGAGGAGGCATGGGGAGTGAGGCAGGGGCGAGTGAGCTGGAGTGGAGGGCGCTTGTAGTGCGCCCTGCTGCTGCGCTGGTGAGCAAGCGAGTGAGAGAGCGAGCGTGTTAGAGAATTTGACAGAGCGAGCAGCAGCACTGGTTGAATGCTAAGGCAGCACGCCGTCTCACTGCACTGCGCGCCCTACACAGTTCTCACTGCACTGCGCGCCCTACACAGTTCACCGCACTGGGAGGGGGAAGGGGAGCGACAGCCGTACACTGTTCACGGATTGCAGCTCCTTCCACTGCTTCTTGTCGTCCGTCAGCATCGCCGGGTCGTACACCTCCTCACCGCCCCCAACCCCTCGCTGCGACTTGGCGGAGAGCTCCTGCAGGAACTCCTGCACGCGCTCGCCGTCCGCGTGCCCCCCCGCGCCCCGCCCGCCGGGCTGCGCCTTCCCCTGGGGGGACACGGGGGGCATAGCGGAGGCGACTGTGCCCGCGAAGGACTGGAAGGCGGAGCCGAAGGACTGGAAGGCGGAAGCCATTCCCGCCAGCGCGGTCGAGGGGGTTTGCGCGGAGGGCTGCGGGGTGGGTGTGGCGGAAGTTGCGGGGAAGGAGGAGAAGGTGGGCAGCTGGAGGGAGACTCCGCCCCAGCCAGAGCCGGGGGAAGATTTCGCCCTCTCCGCCATTGGCGCTGCGCGACACGCGCGGAGAGGCTAAAGGGGGCAGCGACCGGAGGAAAGGCGGAGATGCTATGCGCGCGTGCGGAAGGGCAGAAGAGCTGGTTCGGCGCGTGATGACGGAAGGGAGCGCGGCAGGTGCATGGGACACGCGCAAGCAACCCAGATAAGGGGGACACTCGTCGCCGAAACGTTCAGAGTGCTTGTCCCTAGCGTCAACCAGACAACGCCAAGTGCCGCATCAATAAATATATCTATTTTGAGACTGTTCTGTGCTGTGCTGTCTCTCCCGCCATGTGCGATTATCGCTGTTCCGGATGGATGTCAGGTGTCACTCCCCCCATACACTCTCCACCTTCACTCCACCCCAGAAAGAAAGGACCACTTCACTCCCGTAACCACCAGGGCTTCGCCTCGACTTGCGCGACGACCGTTTTCTTCGCGTCATCGTCGCCACGCCCCATCTTCGTATGTTGGTTCTCGTACGTGCAAGAGTGTTTTACCGAGCTCAACCACTTATTCAGATTCCTTTACCCCTGCTCACCTTGCCTTCCAGCCCCTTCGGAGGAGTCACCCCAAATCCACGTCAATTTCGTTCCACGCGCTGAGCGAACATCGCAGCACCTGCGCTGCCCTTTGCGAGACAGAGTACAGTACAGACGCGATATTGCGAAGTGCGGGAACGGTTTGTCGTCGGGACGGAACATGGACACGCAATTACATATGAATGACGACATTGGTTTTGTAAGATCGCTGTACCTCCACGTCCGTTGTTAGCGCGTCTCTCCCTAGAGGACATTTCTACTCATTCCTGCTGGTTGTGAAGCTGCCACGCGAGCATCAAATGCCACGTGGCCCTCACTCCCCTCCACTTCCAATCCCTCCTGCCTTCCCCCACCCCACCACCACCCGTGTCTGTGCTTGTATCTATTTACTGCTCACCACACCATCAGTATCCGCTTTTCGTTTTGCAGTCGCCTGTCGCTTCTTCACTTCGCCTTGACATCGCGACATTCCCGAGGCATGCGATCGCACCTCCTCGTTCTTCTCTCCGCGTAGCGCCCCATTCACCTCCCTTTTTCTGCGCGCGCTACTCGCTTCCCGCCCCCGCCATGAGTCTTTCCGCCGCCCTCCGCCCGTCGCGCACACTCGCCTCTCCCCGCCTCTCGCCCCGCTCCCCCGCCTGCGCGTCCGCGTCTCGGCCATCTTGGCGATCAACCGGCGCGTCGCAATGCCCATCGTCAGCGTTGCGAAGCTCGTTTGCGAATGGCGAAGAGCTAAAGCGACGAACTTCGCTGGGTCAATTGCCGCAAAGTCGCAGGCCGCATCGCCTAGCCGCCAGGGTCCGTATCCCCTTCTCTCCTTCCGCACCTCCTCCATCCCGCCCCCCTTCGCGCCCGATTGTAGCTCCGCTCCTGCCCCCCGTCGCCGCGTCCCTTGCGCAATTGCCACCATTGCGTCGCGCCGCGCGCTGTCCTCTCCATCCCCCTCCCCTCCCCATCCCCCCTCTTCTCCCTGTTCCCACTCTTCTCCCCATCCTCCCTCTCCTCCCAATCCTTCTTTTCCTCCCCATTCCACCTCTCCTCCCCATCCCGCACCAGGCCGCGGCGGCGGGCGCGGGGGCGGCAGCGCCAGGAGGCGGTGAGGGGGCGGCGGGGGGCAGCCCGGCGGGGGCGGGGCTGGCGGAGCGAGTGGTGGCGTTTCAGCGCGCGTTCTGGAAATTCCTCCGCCCGCACACCATCCGCGGCACCGTGCTCGGCACCTCGTGAGCGCGCGGGCGGGAAAGGAAGGGGGAAGGGTTGGCTGGTGAGAACGGGGGGGGGGGGGAGGGTTGGAGGGGGTGATTGGGGGGTGGGGAATGGGGGGATAGGGTGGGGAGGGCCTGGGCAGGGAGGAGGAGATAGGGAAGCGGCAGAGCGGAGAGCACGCGCGGGGCTGGCTGGAGAGGGCTGGGAATGAATGAGAGTGGGCGAGTGAGGGGGCGGGTTACTGGCACGTGGCATTGCGAAGAGGCAGAAGGTCAGGCGAGCGGCGGAGGGAATGCGCGCACGAGGCGCAGGCGCAGGCGCATGGCCGCTGCTGGCCCACTGCATGTGCGCGCTCCCCCCTGTGGCATGCGCGTATGTATGGCGCCGCCCCGCTCGCACACCCTGCCATGCCATACCCACCTCCCAGCACCCGTTTTCCCCCTCTCCCCACACCCACACCCACACCCCACTCTCCTCTTCTCCTCGCCCCCTTACGAACAACAACCCCTCACCACCCCACCCCCCCACTCTTCCCCCCTCCCTCCTCCTCCCCTCCTCCCCCCCCCCCCCCCCCTCCAGCGCGGTGGTGGCGCGCGCGCTGCTGGAGAGCCCGCAGGCGATCGACTGGGGGCTGATGCCGCGCGCACTGAGAGGGCTGCTGGCGCTGCTGTGTGGTAATGGGTACATCGTGGGCATCAACCAGATCTATGACACTGACATTGACAGGTGCGAGCTGGCAGTAAAAGGTGCAGTCAACCGAGTCAACGCTGGTCAACGGGTACATTGTGGGCATCAACCAGATCTATGACACCGGCATTGACAGGTAAGCACAGGGGGGTGACGAGGGGCGAGGGACAGGAGGAGGGTTGCTATGCAGGCATGAGAGAGTGAGGCAACCTCCATACCCTGTGCCCCCTCCCTCTGTGCCCCCTCCCTCTGTGCCCCCTCCCTCTGTGCCCCCTCCCTCTGTGCCCCCTCCCTCTGTGCCCCCTCCCTCCAAGGTCCTACATTCCGCTCAACTCATCTCCTCGTTTCTCCCACCCACCCACCCCTAATCTTCGCTCTTTCAACCAAGCAAACTAGCTATCTCCCACTGCGCCCCACACCCCTTTCTCTCCCCTTCCCCTTCCCCTTCCCCTTCCCCTTTCCCCCCCCCCCCCCCCCTCCCCCCCCCCAGGGTGAACAAGCCGTTCCTGCCAGTGGCAGCGGGCGAGCTCTCCCCAACCCTCGCGGCTCTCCTGTGACTGCTGCTCTGCTCTCAGCCGGCGGCCTGGCCATCGTGGCGCTCAACTTCGGGCGGCTCATCACGGGGCTGTACGCGCTGGGGCTTTTGAGTCGACTCAAAAGTCACCTCATCACGGGGCTGTACGCGCTGGGGCTGCTGCTGGGCACCGTCTACTCCCTCCTTTTCCCTTACTCTTCCTCCTCCCATTCCCCCTCCCCCCTTCCTCCTTCCCCTTCCCCCCTTCCCCTCTTCCCCCTTCCCCTCCACCCTTTTCAGGGTGAACAAGCCGTTCCTGCCAGTGGCAGCAGGCGAGCTCTCCCGCACGCCCGCCGCGCTCCTCTGCCTGCCCTGCTGCTCTCTGCAGGCGGCCTGACGATACCCGCGCTCAACTTTGGCTGGCTAATAATGGGGCTGGCCTGCTGCTCGGAACCGTCTACTCCCTCCATTCCGCTTACTCTTTTCCCTTCCCCTTCCCCCTTCCCCCTTCCACGTTCCCCCTTCTTCCTTCCTTTCCCAATCTCCCCCCCTCTCCCCACCCCAGGGTGAACAAGCCGTTCCTGCCAGTGGCAGCAGGCGAGCTCTCCCCAACCCTCGCCGCGCTGCTCTGTCTGCTGCTCTCAGCTGCCGGCCTGGCCATCGTGGCGCTCAACTTTGGGCGGCTCATCACGGGGCTGTACGCGCTGGGGCTGCTGCTGGGGACCGTGTACTCGGTGCCGCCGCTGCGCCTCAAGCAGTATCCCCTCCCAGCCTTCCTCATCATCGCCACGGTGAGCCCTCCACCCACCCAATCACTGTGAGCTGTCCAGTGCTGCTTGTTGTGCCCACCCCACCCCACCCCACCCCACCCCACCCCACCCCACCCCACCCCACCACCCCCCCACTGTGAGTCTTTCCCTTTCCTGCGCCTCAAGCTGTTCCCCCTGCCCGCCTTCCTCATCATCGCCACTGTGAGGCCGTATGCTCTCTTCCATACCCACCCACCCACCACACAATCACTCACCACCACACCCACACCCAGCCCAGTGTGAGCCTTCCCTTCCCCTTGCCCTCCCCCTCCCCTGCCCACCCAATCCATTTCCCGTCCACCAACCATCCCCCCAACTACCCCGTCCCCTTCCCCCCTGACCTCCATCTCAACCTCCCCCCACCTCTACCTCACCTTCCCCCGACCTCTTCCTCACCTATCCTCCACCTATCCCCCTCGGCGGATTCCTGCTCAACTTCGGCGTGTACTATGCCACACGCGCTGCACTGAGGCTGCCCTTCGCCTCGCCTCTCCCTCCCCCTTTCCCCCCACCTCCCCCCAACCCTCCCCCTCCGTTTCTTCCCTCACGCCCTTCCCCCCAGGTGCGCGGGTTCCTGCTCAACTTCGGCGTGTACTATGCCACACGCGCTGCACTCGGCCTGCCCTTCGCCTGGAGGTGCGTCAGCAGCATGGGTGGGGTGGGGGGGGAAGGGGAGGGGGAGGGTAGGGGGGAGAGGGGAGGGGTGAATGGTGGTGGTGGGGTTGGCCGTTGGAGGGGAAATGGGGTGGGGTGGGGCTGCTTTGAGGTGGCTGTGATGCGGAGTGGAGTGGCACACACCACAGCCTTTGAATTCAACCCTGCCCTGCCCTGCCCTGCCCTGCCCTGCCCTTCCCACCGCCCTGACTCCCACACGCCATGCTCCGTGTGTGCACTGTGTGCATGTGCCGCCCACTGCCCATCCATCGTGTTCCTCGTCGCCTCTCACTCACCTCTCCGTCCCCTCCCACCGCCCTGCCTGCCTGCCTGCCTGCCCACCCGCCACCCACAGTCCGTCAATAGTGTTCATAACGTGCTTCGTCACGCTATTCGCCACCGTCATTGCCATCACCAAAGGCCATTCTTTTCTCATATGCTCTCATCTCCCTTTCCCCCTCCACCGCCCTGCGTCTGTGTGCTACTCTGCCTGCCTGTGTGTGCCTGCGTGTGCCTGCCTACCCACCCCACAGTCCGTCGATAGTGTTCATAACGTGCTTCGTGACGCTGTTCGCCACTGTCATCGCCATCACCAAGGACCTGCCTGACATCGAGGGCGACAGGCAGTGAGTGCACCTCGTTATTCCTCGCTCAATTCTTCTTCTCTTGTCTCTTCTTTCGTATGCTCATCCATGCGTTTGTAGTTGCCCGGTGCGCTCAAAAGCCCTCGTCATCAGTCTGCATGTCTCATGGCTGTATGCATATCTTACACCTGCGCCCTCCATACCGTGCATGGCAGGTTCAAGATAGAGACCTTCGCCACGCGCCTGGGGGTGCGCAACATCGCCTTCCTGGGCTCGGGGCTGCTCATCGCCAACTACTGTGGCGCCGTCGCTGCCGCCCTGCTGCTGCCACATGTGAGCACCACTGGTCACTGCCATGCCTGGGTGTTGCTGGGTGTGGCTGGGTGTGGCTGGGCGTGGGTGGGCATGGCTGGGCGTGCCTGGGGGCCCTTGATACCAGGACTGGCCATGCGTTGGTGTGGTTTGGTCTCTTGGTCTCTTGGCAAGAGAGAGGCATCCCATTGCTGATCACTTGTCTCCTGGGGGGACTCTATCATGCTCCTCTGCCCCCCACCCTCCCACCCTCCCTCCCTCCCTGTGCCCCCACCAGGCGTTTCGCCAGGCTGTCATGATTCCCGCCCATCTGCTCCTCGCTGCTGCTCTCGTCTACCAGGTGAGGTGGCCTGTGCCATGTTTGCCATATGCCATGCACCATGCACCATGCGCCATATGCCATGTGCTCTGCTCTCTGCTGTCCATGTGTGACCCTATCTGCTGCATGTGCTCCATTGCCCCGTGCGCTCGTTGCTGATGTCACCTCACACACTACTTTTCCACTGTCCTTAATGCGTCGTGCTGTTTGGGTCTGCGCTCTGCTGTGCTGTGCTGTTCTGCCTCTTGTGCCCACTGCTACAGACGTGGAAGTTGGATGCAGCAGCCTACACCAAGGTGAGTGCCACACACACTCATCTAGTCGATACCTTGCACTGCTTCCACTTTCAGCACTTGTTATTCTTCAAACACCATACTGTAGTTGTTTACTCTGCTACCTTGCACTGCTTCCAGTTTAAAAACTTGTTATTCTTCACGCACTGCGTTTCGTAATCTTCAATTGCAACCCCTCCCTCTGCCTCTCTCCCTACCCAATGTCACGTGCTACCAGGATGCCATTGCACGCTTCTATCAGTTCATCTGGAACCTGTTCTATCTCGAATACTGCTTGCTGCCCATCATTTAATGCACATGTAACCAATCCAACATAGGAAGCCCCGCCCCAGCTTCCTACTGACGTCTTATCAGTCCCTCAAGTGTGGTCGCTGGTTATTGTAGTCGTCCAGGAAGGCATAGAGAATGAAATAAGTAGTTAATGCGCGTGTCATTGTACTATTCTGTTTAGGTCTGTGCTGAATTAGTGAAATAATGTTCTAGAATCTATTTTAGTGTACTTCAGATGGTGATGGTTATTGGGTGACGGTGATTATCGGGAGTGGGTGGGTCGTGTAGAGACTGGAGATCACCCAAAGCAAACCACTCAGCTGTCAGGGTGTGAGTGACCCACGATTGGCTCGCGACAGAATCCATGCTGAGTCGTTTCCGTCACTCAGCGAAGCCTACGCAGCTCGTCGCCTAATTGCTTCGCCCACTGGACTGGCCTTTCGCGAGCGGCCTTTTCAAGGAGTGTCGCATCCCACCCAAGGCCGTCCCCCAGATCACTGTTTCTGACAACTGTCGGCCTCGGGAACAGCTCCTGTAGTGGCATGGCATCTATCCCTAGCTTCTGTTTCCCTAACCTAGACCGACCTTAGTGGATATTCTGCGGGCCAATAGTACATAGTGGTAATTAAAGTCACAGACAAGAAAGGGCCAGCATTCCTTTCCGTAGTTCGTTCTGCTGAGGGCTTCGCGCGAAAGGGGGGGAGGGGCTGCGCGAGCGAGCGAGCTATTGCGGGAAGGGGGGGTCGGTGCATGGATCCGAAGCAGGGCTCGTCGCACTCCGGCGAGCGGAAGAACCTCAAGCGGAAACTGGCGGACTCCGCGTGCCCCTCAGGCTCGGAAGACAGCCGCGCGTTGGCGACGGCAGAGGTGCAGGCGCACATCGCGGTGCTCAAGGGGTCGCTGACGTGGCGGGAGGCGGATCGAGTGGCGGCGAGGAAAGCGGCTCATGCGATAGCGGAGCTCGCGAAGCACGGTGAGCCGCAATCACGGTGCGCCTGTATTTTCTCGCGTCTGCTAAGTGGCGTAGCGAATTCCGAATAAAACAGATGCTGGAGCGGAAACAGGTCGACTAGGTTAAGCAGGCGTCGCCGTAATTCGTCGTTCGCATCCACTCAGCTCGTATCGTTGCAAATCTCTCAAATCTCCATCCATCCGTCCCGTGCGGTGCTCGGTTGTGCGTGTGCGTGTGCGCGGCACGTGGCGCGTGCAGAGGAGCACGTGGACGCCATAGTGGAGGAGGGTGCCATCCACGCGCTCGTGCCGCACCTATCAGCGCCGGCGGTGGAGGAGGGCGACGGGCCAATCGCGTGCGAGCACGAGGTCGAGAAGGACGCCGCTTTCGCGCTCGGCCTGCTCGCCATCAAGGTCAGCACTCGGCCTGCTCGCCATCAAGGTCAGCACTCGGCCTGCTCGCCATCAAGGTCAGCACTCGGCCTGCTCGCCATCAAGGTCAGCACTCGGCCTGCTCGCCATCAAGGTCAGCACTCGGCCTGCTGCCGGTTGCCTTTTCTTCTCCTCCTCCTCCTCCCAGCCGTCCCACCACCCCTAGCGAAGATTTCTCTCTGACATGACTTGTTTGCTTGATTCTTTCTGCCCTCCCACCCGCCAACCTACCACGCTCGCCAGCTCCTCTCATCCACTAGGGTGGTTCCCCCCTCCGCTCAACCCCTACTCCCCCCGCGCAGCCCGACCACCAGCGGCTAATAGCGGATTCGGGCGCCCTCACCGCGCTGGTGGCGCTGCTAAAGCGGCGGCCAGGCCAACCGCCCGCGGCATCAGCAGCAGCCGCGCCCGCTTCAGCGCCAACCGCCCTCGGGCTCGCCCCCGCAGGCACCACAGACGGCGCAGCAGCAGGGGGCGCGCATGTAGGCGGGGCAGGGGGAGCAGGCGCGGGGGCAGGCGGAGTGGGGGCGGAGGGGGGGGCTGGTGCGAGCCCTGCAGTGGCGCGTGTGGTGAATGGCGTGGTGCGGCGAGCAGCAGACGCCATCACGAATCTGGCGCACGAGAATGGAACCATCAAGAGCCGAGTCAGGTGCGCCCTTCGCGTCACACCCTCCCTTGCCTTGCACTCCCACTCCCGCTCTCAACAGCCCATTCTCCAGCCCTGCCCGTTCCCCAGCCGTCCTCCTCCTGCCTGCCCTCCGTTTTCCGCTCACCATGCTTCGGGGGCACATGTCAACGGACGATCACCTTCCTCTCTGCACCGCACCTCACTCCCTGCCCTCTTTCCCACGTGGTGGCGTGCACGTGCATGGATGATGCAGGGCGGAGGGCGGAATACCACCGCTGGTGGAGCTGCTGGAATCGCTGGACCCCAAGGTGCAGCGTGCGGGGGCAGGCGCTCTCAGGACACTCGCCTTCCTCTCTGCACTCTCCCTCACTCTGTGCCCTCCTTCCCCCCTGGTCGTGCATGTGCGTGTGTGCATGGAGGCATGGATGATGCAGGGCGGAGGGCGGAATACCACCGCTGGTGGAGCTGCTGGAGTCGCTGGACCCCAAGGTGCAGCGCGCTGGTGCAGGCGCTCTCAGGACACTCGCCTTCAAGAACGAGGCCAATAAGAACCTGGTGCGTGCCAGAAAGGTTGCGAACGCCAACTTGGTGGGCTGCTGAAACAGCAGTGCTGATGCATGCACATATACCACATTCACACTGGCCGGCACACATGCATGCCCACCTGCACATGCGAAAGCACACCCGCGAGAACGTGCGCTTAACATTTCCATGGTTCATCCCTTGAATCTCCGTGCCAAATCGACATCTCCATCCCTACTCCCCTCCTCCCTGCGTACATGGTGGGCGGCAGATAGTGGAGTGCGGAGCGCTGCCAACGCTCATCTTCATGCTGCGATCGGAGGACACGGGCATCCACTACGAAGCGGTGCGTGCGTGCAGTGGTGGTCTGTTTGAGTGCTTGAATGCATGCTCTTCGGGGGCGTGGACGGGGGCGTGCGTGCAGGGGCTGTGTGCAGGTGCATGTGCGTGTGTGTGCATGGGTGTGTGTGCATGTGGGTGTGTGCATGGGTGTGTGCATGTGGGTGTGTGCATGGGTGTGTGTGCATGTGGGTGTGTGCATGGGTGTGTGCATGTGGGTGTGTGCATGGGTGTGTGTGCATGTGGGTGTGTGCATGGGTGTGTGTGCATGTGGGTGTGTGCATGGGTGTGTGTGCATGGGTGTGTGTGCATGTGGGTGTGTGCATGGGTGTGTGTGCATGTGGGTGTGTGCATGTGGGTGTGTGCATGGGTGTGTGCATGTGGGTGTGTGCATGTGGGTGTGTGCATGTGGGTGTGTGCATGGGTGTGTGTGCATGGGTGTGTGTGCATGGGTGTGTGCATGTGGGTGTGTGCATGGGTGTGTGTGCATGGGTATGTGTGCATGGGTGTGTGTGCATGGGTGTGTGTGCATGGGTGTGTGCATGTGGGTGTGTGCATGGGTGTGTGTGCATGGGTGTGTGTGCATGTGGGTGTGTGCATGTGGGTGTGTGCATGGGTGTGTGCATGTGGGTGTGTGCATGTGGGTGTGTGCATGGGTGTGTGTGCATGTGGGTTGTGTGCATGTGGGTGTGTGCATGTGGGTGTGTGCATGTGGGTGTGTGCATGTGGGTGTGTGCATGTGGGTGTGTGCATGTGGGTGTGTGCATGTGGGTGTGTGCATGTGGGTGTGTGCATGTGGGTGTGTGCATGTGGGTGTGTGCATGTGGGTGTGTGCATGTGGGTGTGTGCATGTGGGTGTGTGCATGTGGGTGTGTGCATGTGGGTGTGTGCATGTGGGTGTGTGCATGTGGGTGTGTGCATGTGGGTGTGTGCATGTGGGTGTGTGCATGTGGGTGTGTGCATGTGGGTGTGTGCATGTGGGTGTGTGTGCATGTGGGTGTGTGCATGTGGGTGTGTTCATGTGGGTGTGTGCATGTGGGTGTGTGCATGTGGGTGTGTGCATGTGGGTGTGTGCATGTGGGTGTGTGCATGGGTGTGTGTGCATGTGGGTGTGTGTGCATGTGGGTGTGTGCATGGGTGTGTGTGCATGTGGGTGTGTGTGCATGTGGGTGTGTGTGCATGTGGGTGTGTATGGGTGTGTGCATGGGTATGTGCTCACGGGCGGGCATCCACTGCGAGTAGTGCATGGGCGCAGTGGGGGGTGCTGTCAGGTGGTGATTGACCGCGTTCACTGCAGGCGAGGGCATGTTGAATTGAAGGTGCCTCTTGTCGGGAAGATGGTTGTTTTTGCAATGCCAAGCGCCTTACCTTTTCCATCTACTCCACTGAAACCTGTGTTCCACCATCGCCCCCCGTGGCAGGTGGGGGTGATCGACAACCTGGTGCACTCGTCCATGAACATCAAGAAGCTCGTGTGCTGGACGAGTGCGTGTTTTGAGTTGACTCAAACGCCTTACTTTTCCCATCCACCATGCCCACTGACCTCTGTGTTCGACTGCCCATTCCTTCTCCCCCGTGGCAGGTGGGCGTGATAGGCAATCTGGTGCATTCCTCGATGAACATCAAGAAGCTCGTGCTGGACGAGGGCGCGCTGCAACCAGTCATCGGCCTGCTCAGGTACCCTGCCCTTTGCTGCTCCACCCCTTTGTGCCTCATCCCCTGGTTCCCCGTGGCTCATTTTCTCTCACTTTTACACTGCCCGCCCAATGTCAATCTTGTCTCCCCTGCGCTCACTGCCCCCCTTACCCTCACGGCCACCCCTGCCCCCACTGCCCTCCCCGCCCTGCCTGCCCCACCCACTGCAGCTCGCGGTGCACGGAGAGTCAGCGGGAGGCAGCGCTGCTGCTGGGGCAGTTTGCCACCACGGACCCCGAGTGCAAGGTGCGCTGCTGCTGCCATGCAAGGTGCGCTGCTGCTGCCATGCTGCCTGCTGTGCGAGGGTTTAGTATGGCAGTAATCACCTTGTGCTTGTGCATGTGCCTCACGACTGCAAGTATTTTCTCAAGGGTCACCACTGCACTGCGTGTTTCACCCCTCACACAATGGACCACACACCCTCTCCTCTCGTCTCACCTGTGTAAGTCTCCCCCTTCCCTCCCCTCTCCCCCCCTCCGCCCCCCGGGCCGCAGGTGCGAATTGTGCAGCGCGGGGCAGTGCGGCCGCTCATCACAATGCTGGAGGCGCCCGACCCGCACACTTTCCTCTCTCGTCTCATCCTTGAAATTCCCCCTTCCCTCCCTCCCTCTCCCCTCCCCTCCCTCCCTCCCCCCTGCCCACGCCCCAGGTGCGCATAGTGCAGAGGGGGGCAGTGCGGCCGCTGATCACAATGCTGGAGGCGCCCGACCCGCAGCTCAGGGAGATGGCCGCCTTTGCCCTCGGCAGACTGGCGCAGGTGCGCTTGTCAGCATTCATGTGCGCTCAGAGGCATGTGGGACGCGCTTAGGTGCGCCCAGGTGCTCTCAGGTGCTCGCAGGTGTGCGTGTGGGCCAATGAGCATGCCTAACGCGTTGCCCATGAGAGCAGCAGTCTTCCTGGCTGCCTGACACGCCCCTCCATCGCCCAGCGTGCCCACCACTCCCTCAACTCGCACGACTTCCCCCATGCAGTCCGTTTCCTGCCACCACCTTCCACGCCTGAATGCCTGCCATCTTCCATCCTCTCCCCCACTCAACTCCCGCCGTCCTCCCCCCTCCTCCCCTTCCCCCATGCAGAACGCGGACAACCAGGCGGGCATAGTGCACGACGGGGGGCTGCGGCCGCTGCTGGAGCTGCTGGAGTCGAAGAATGGCAACCTGCAGCACAACGCCGCCTTCGCGCTCTATGGGCTCGCAGAGAACGGGGTGAGGCAGTGTGGCGGGTGGGGGAGGATGCACGCATGGGGGAGTGAGTGGGCGAATGGGGGGGGTGTTGTGAGTGGGCGAATGGGGGGGGTGTTGTGAGTGGGCGAATGGGGGGGGTGTTGTGAGTGGGCGAATGGGGGGGGTGTTGTGAGTGGGCGAATGGGGGGGGTGTTGTGAGTGGGCGAATGGGAGGGGTGTTGTGAGTGGGCGAATGGGGGGGGTGTTGTGAGTGGGCGAATGGGGGGGGTGTTGTGAGTGGGCGAATGGGGGGGTGTTGTGAGTGGGCGAATGGGGGGGTGTTGTGAGTGGGCGAATGGGGGGGTGTTGTGAGTGGGCGAATGGGGGGGTGTTGTGAGTGGGCGAATGGGGGGGTGTTGTGAGTGGGCGAATGGGGGGGTGTTGTGAGTGGGCGAATGGGGGGGTGTTGTGAGTGGGCGAATGGGGGGGTGTTGTGAGTGGGCGAATGGGGGGGGTGTTGTGAGTGGGCGAATGGGGGGGGTGTTGTGAGTGGGCGAATGGGGGGGGTGTTGTGAGTGGGCGAATGGGGGGGTGTTGTGAGTGGGCGAATGGGGGGGTGTTGTGAGTGGGCGAATGGGGGGGTGTTGTGAGTGGGCGAATGGGGGGGTGTTGTGAGTGGGCGAATGGGGGGGTGTTGTGAGTGGGCGAATGGGGGGGTGTTGTGAGTGGGCGAATGGGGGGGTGTTGTGAGTGGGCGAATGGGGGGGGTGTTGTGAGTGGGCGAATGGGGGGGGTGTTGTGAGTGGGAACAAGCGGGGGGGTCGAAGAACGGCAACCTGCAGCACAACGCTGCATTCGCTCTCTATGGGCTCGCTGAGAACGGGGTGAGGGGGTGGAGAAAAAGGACGGGATAGGAGGGAACAAGCAAGCTGGTCACAGCTTGACCATGTGCTCTATCCTCTGATCTGTGCTTCGTGCCAAGTCCCCCAATGCTTCCACTCATCCCCTCCTCCATTCCTCCTCCTCCGAAACCTTTTCTTTCCAACCCCTCCTATGGTCAGACCCCCACCTTCCCCCACTCTGGCTGCGGGCAGGACAACGTGTCGGAGATGGTGAGGGAGGGCGGCGTGCAGCGGCTGGTTGGTGTACCCACTGGACCTGTGCGTGCTGCCATGCACTCCTTGCACCCAATGCTTTCACTCATTCTCTCTTCCATGCCCTGTCCTTCCCACCACCCCACTATTGGCGTGGCAGGACAACATGTTGGAGGTGATGCGGGAGGAGGGAGTGCAGCGGCTGGTGGATGCGGAGCTGATCGTGCAGACCAGCAAGGCAACGAACGGCGGGTCACAGCTTCACCATCTGCTGCATGCGATTGACCTGGGGGGGACCTCCTGCCATGCACTCTCTGCGCCCCAATGCCTCCACTCATTCCCTCCTCCACCCCCACCCCACCCCCACCCCTACCCCACCGCCCCCCATTGGCCGGCGGCAGGACAACGTGTCGGAGGTGGTGAGGGAGGGGGGCGTGCAGCGGCTGGTGGATGCGGAGCTGATTGTGCAGGCCAGCAAGGACTGCGTGCAGAAGACACTCAAACGGCTGGAGGAGAAGATGGAGGGCAAGGTGGGTTGAGGGCTGGGGCGAGGGCGAAGGCGAGGGAGTAAGTGTGGGCTTGTGGACAAAAGCTTCTTAGGGCCGCGCGGAATTCTGTCATTTCTCGCTTCTCACCACCCTTCCGCATCTCTCCTCCCACCACTGCCGCTCTCACCCATCCACCCTCCCCACAATTTCCCACACTGGCACCGTCCTCCACCCGGCAGGTGCTCCGGCATCTGCTGTACCTGCTGCGCCAGTCAGACAAGAGCGTGCAGCGCCGGGTGGCTGCAGCGCTGGCGCACCTGTGTCCCGAGGGGCAGCAGCGCGCCATCTTCGTGGGGGCGGGCGGGCTCGACATTCTGCTCGCCATGCTCGCCTCGCCGCCCTCGCCCCGCCTGCAGCGCGATGCTGCTGTGGCCCTGCGCACACTCAGCAAGCGCGCCACCACTCTCAACCCCATCGACACCGCGCCGCCTCCCCCCACGCCCCAGGTCGCTGCCCCCCCCACTCTGCTTCTTTCCTGCTGCACTCTTCCTGCGTTTCCCTTCCTCTTCCCCAGCTCTCCTGCGTCCTCCACTGCTCTCTCTTGTTAAAAGTTCAAACCTCCCCTCTTGATTTCCTTCCCCATCTTTTTGCGGCCCTCGGTCCCTCCTTCTCTTCCTCTCTCCTCTCCTCTCCTCAACTCCTAGTCTCTCTGCTTGCCTCTCCTCCCCTCCTCGCTTCTCTTTTCCCCTCTGCCCTCCTCTCCTCCCCTCGGCTGTCGCACACCTCTCCCCCCTTGTGAGCGCGCAGGTGTATCTGGGGGAGCAGTACGTCAACTGCCCCACGCTCTCAGACGTCACCTTCCTCGTTGAAGGTGGGGGTGCTCTAACTGCACATGCGCAAGGGGCCGGGGGAATGGGGCGTGGGGCGTGCAGCATGGGCCATAAAGCATGGGGCATGGGGCATGGGGCAGGTTATAAGAGGCATGGAGCATAGGGCATGGGGCTCTAGTTTGGGATAAGAGTCATGGGCCACGGTGCACTGCATGGTCACTCGTTCTGCCATTGCATGCCACTGTATGCACTATCGCATTCCCTACCTCAACCCTCGCTCTCCTGCCCTGCCCACCCACCCCATGCTCTTATCCGTCTCGTCTCATCTGTGCCTCTCCTCGCCCTACCCCACACCACCCCGCCCGCCCCCCTCAGGGACGCGCTTCTACGCGCATCGAATCGCCCTGCTCGCCTCCTCCGATGCCTTCCGAGCCATGTTTGACGGCGGCTACCGAGTGCGTGCCATGTCATGCCATTCCATGCCGTGCTCCGCCCCGCCCCACCCTGCCCCCTGTGTTGTGATATGCCATGCAATGCCAGTCCATACCGTGCCGTTCCTTGTCGTGCCATGCAAATCCATCCTTCCAACCAGCTTCCTCTCTTTTCCTTCAGCTTCGTTTTTCTCTTGTGGCCCCCTTCCCCTGCGACTGCGCGCTGCCCCATTGCTGCATGTGTGGCTGGGTGTGAGCAGGAGGAGAAGGAGGCGAAGGACATAGAGATTCCCAACATCAGCCTGCCTGTCTTTGAGAGCATGATGAGGTACCCCCCCTCCTATCCTCCTCCACAGTCCACTCCCCTAAGCCCCCGCATGCCACAAGCTTCACCCTCCATGAGTCCATGTGTCGTTCCATGGCTGCTCATGTGTTATCGACCACTGCCTCTGTCCCTTGAACCATGCCACCCCTTCTTTCACCTCCGCCCACCGCTCTGGTGATCCCCCCCCCACACCCCCTTGTTCAGGTGCATATACACGGGGGCGGTGGAGGTGCGGCCAGAGATGGCACAGGACCTGCTGAGGGCGGCGGACCAGTACCTGCTGGAGACGCTCAAGCGCCTCTGCGAGCACGCCATTGCGCAGGTAAACTGCTGGGCTCAATTGCCCGGGTGGGGTCAAGTGCCTCTGCGGCACTGCTGACTGTCTCTCTCAAAAGCTGTGCGCTCATTGCTCAAACGAGCTGGTTCTCGCTTCACCCCATCGAGAAGTGCTCTCATCTCACATGACCGCCCTTCTCTCTTTGCCTCCGCATGTCGCATGCAAGCATGTGGTTGTGTGGGTGTGTGTATGGGGGTGTGTGCATGCGTGCATGTCGGTGCGTGTGTGCGTGCATGTATGTCCATGTGCATGTGTGTGTGCACGGATGCATGATCAGGATCTGACGGTAGAGAACGTGGCGAATGTATACGAGCTGGCGGAGACGTATCATGCGCAGTCGCTGCGGCAGATGTGTGTGCTGTTCGTGCTGGACCACCACGAGCAGATGTGCAACCTCCCCGGGTATGCCCCACCCACACCCACACCTGCCTCCTCGTCCACACCTTCCAGTCACGGAACCTTCTGGTTCAGTGAACTCACGGAACCTTCCAGGTTCCGCCACTCACGGATGTGAGCCGTGGCGCTGCCATCCCACTGTCCTCTGCCCGCGCACTCGTCTCCCGCTGCCCATGCATGCTGTTTGTCACATCACACCAATCGCACTGCCGTCTCTCATCCCTTCTCCTGCACGCAACTCCTCTTTTCCTCCCTCCCTGCCGCAGGTACAATGCACTGCTGCAGCGCATGGTCCCAGAGACACGTGAATACATCTCCCGTGTGCTTCGGCCTCGCCTGCCCTGACCTGCAATAATGCACTGGGGCCCCTTGGATTGCAAGGCACAGGATGTGATGGTTACCACCACAGGATGTTATGTTACCGTATCCCCCCGGATATACCCCCATGGGGGGCAATAATAAAACAGGTTTTTTCATGGGGGTGGGCTTATAATCGAGTAAATTTATAAGCGCCGGCGTTTATAAAATGACATACATATTTTTTTATATCTTATAACACCAAACTGTAGGTCTCGTGCTTGCCTTTTCAATCGAGTCGAAGTTACATGGGATCGTCTGTGAAATTCTCGCGCGCGCTGGGAGATACACCCAATCTGACTCACATCCAGCTCCTGACAGGTCCTGCTGACTGGACCCGCATCCAGTGCAGGGTCCGAATGTGAAGGGAACCGATTCTGCAACATATCCGCCTGCTAAAGTAAAAATCGTTACAGCTTTTTGAACACATTTCAAATTTTAAAGTTTACGTGCGCTTATAATAAAACAAGTTTTTTCAAGGGGTGCGCTTATAATCGAGGAGGGGATATAAGCGCCATATGCCAATTAGAAGCGCCAGGCGCTTATCCTAGGGTGGCGCTTATATCCGGGGGGAGACGGTACCCGCCTGCATCTTTTTGCAGCTCCTTAATATCCTTTGCAGTGTGTAGTGCTTCTCAATGGCAGCTGTTCTTTTGTTACAAATCCTCCAGCTTGTAATACATCTGGTCTGGTTGCGAATTGGCATGAGTGATCAGTGTCTGAATGGCTAATGAATGAGGTTCTGTGAAGTGAGTGATCCCGCAGACCCATCTTGGAAAACTTATGCTCTCCTCTTAATAGCTTCCTGTGCAGTGCACACACACTACACTTGGCTAGAGTTGCATAACTTGGTGACATGAACTATTAATCTGACATTGTTTTGGATCACCGTACATTATACCGTGACTGCAGGGCCTCAGAAGTCAGCGAAAAAAGGCTGATTTAGGGTCTGGACGCTGATCTCCCAGACATACGGTATGGCTGATGTGTTGGCTGATAATTCAGTTTTTTTTTTAAATTGTGTTGGCTGATTCTTCAGGTTTTTTTTTGAAGTATTGGCTGATTTTCCAGCGTTTTTTTACAAGTGTCCGCTGATTGATCAGACTTGTAACGAGAGTGTAGGCTGAACTCACGCTATTACAGATTCGTGCCGGAGCCGTGTTTTTCGGCTGTCCAGGTACATCCACCGTCAATCACGCAAAAGTTGCCACGTACAGCGCCGACGCGGCGGGAAAACGAATTTCCCCGACGAGTCGGTTGCTTCGTTGTCACCAACAGAATGCTTCAATTGATGTGATTGGTTGTTTAACCAATCACATCCCTTATGCGCCATTCACCTGTTGGAAACAATGGAACTTAAACGCTTCAGCAGTGTCGAAACATTGCACCAGAAGCGAGGCAACCTACATCGAAGCACCTGCGAGTCAACCCTCGGAGGTTGAATCGGCTGCAGGAAGTTACGCGAAAGTCAAAGGTCGCTGACCCTTGACCTGACAAGAACAGCGCGACAGTTAAGGACACACAACTGACTCGTTACAGAGCAGTTGCCCGAGTCGCACTGTATCGAACCGCAACAGCAACAGTAAAAGTAGTTATAACCGTATCTCTTCATATTCCCTGTATTATTATATAAGCTTGTATCTTTTCACTATAATTTAATCTACTTTGCTCTCACACACTAGTGCAAGGTCGGTTCACAAAGCTTCATTAAACGCTTCCGCTATTACAAAGTATCCTACCCAGAGTTATCCTCTGCAAAGATCCTTAAGGGCTTCTCAGCCCAACATGGTATGAGAGCTGACAAGGGAAACTCTACCTTTTCAAGATCATTACAAGACATGGCAACAAACAAGGAAAGGAGCTCCCCTAATGGCTCCTCGGGCACTACTCCTACTCCACCGCCAGCCTCTGGCCTGCAGACAGAGGAAGGCACGGCAGCAAGTGTCAAATGTTGTAGCCTGTAGTGAGGTTTGTCTTAGGGGGTACAGAAGTTAAGGTTTGTTATATGTACCCCAACCAACATCAATGGCACCATTCATTCCTCATTCTGACATGGTATCAGCTAGGTTAGGATCCTGTGGGATCCCGTTCCTCCGTTCTCCGTTCGTACCTCCCGAGCCTGATCCTACCTCTCGTTCGTACCAGTTCCGTTGTTACCGCGCCTAGTACCGAGCCTAGCGCCCTTTCCCCCGTCGCTTAGCGCCCTTTCTCCCCGTCGCCTCGCGCCCTTTCCCCTCCCCCCCGTCGCGTCGCGCCCTTTCCCCCCGTCGCGTCACGCCCTTTCCCCCCCGTCGCGTCGCGCCCGTTCCCCCCGTCGCGTCGTGCCCGCCTGTTCCCCCCCCGTCCCGTCGCCCTGTCCCGTCGCGTCACCCTACCCCGTCGCGTCGCCCTGCCCCGTCCCGTCGCCCTGCCCCGTCGCGCCGCCCTGCCCCGTCGCGTCGCCCTGTGTCGTCGCGTCGCCCTGCCCCGTCGCGTCGCTCCCGCCCTTTCCCCCGTCGCGTCGCCCTGCCCTACGCCCTGGCCCGTCGCCCTACCCTAGGCCCTGGCCCGTCGCCCTACCCTAGGCCCTGGCCCGTCGCCCTACCCTAGGCCCTGGCCCGTCGCCCTCCCTAAGCCCTGGCCCGTCGCCCTACCCTAAGCCCTGGCCAGTCGCCCTACCCTAGGCCCTGGCCCGTCGCCCTACCCTAGGCTCTGGCCCGTTGCCCTCCCTACGTCCTGGCCCGTCGCCCTAGCCCGCTCTTCCGCTGCACCTGAGTCCTCTTCCCCCCCGGTTCTTACTCGCCTGTTCGTTCGCTTTAGTTCTCACTATGGCGACTCCGCGAGTTCTTCGTTTCGACGCTGACGGTAGACCACTTGACTTTTCCGTCTGGCTTCTTCGCGCTCGCCGCCTGTTAGAGAGTCAGGTCCAGGGGGGCAAGACCCTCTGGTCACACGCTACTGGTGACCTCCCCGAGCCCCCCGAGCCTACAGCTTTAGGCCCTGCTCCTGACGACGCTGCTACGGCTCGCTTTGCCCGTCAGCGCGCTGACCGGACGGCTTGGACGTCGCGTGACGCTGCGGCCTGCATCGCACTCAGCAGCCTCCTCCCTGAGTCTGAGGAGGTCCACTTTACTCAGGTTCGCACCGCTGCTGCGTACCTCACTGCGATTAAGGCCCGCTACTCTACTCCCGCTACTGTCTCTCTTGGCCGTCTTTTCCTCCCGTTCCTGTTTCCTGATCTTGCCTCGTTTGAGCGCTCTGCTGACTTGATCGCTCACCTCCGCTCGCTCGACGCTAGTTACCGCGCTGCTTGCACTGAGGCACAGCTTGCACTGCTTCCTCCCCCCATGGCGATCACTGTCTATTTCATCGCCACTAGCCTCCCTGACCGCCTTGCCTCCGTTCGTGACGCGCTTCTGCTGAAGCACCCTAGTGAGCTGACTATCGAGGTCCTTGAGTCTGCACTCAAGGACGTCGAGAGCAACCTTCGTTCGGTAGCTGCCGCCTCTGGTACTGTGTCCCCCCCACTCTTCCACGGGTGCACAGTCCCGCAGTTACCCACCTTCACTGCCTCTCTTGCCACTGCCGCTACTGACGCGACTGCGGCTGCTGTTACGACTGCGTCGCGGTCCCGCGGCAGGGGGGGCAAGAAAGGTGGTTCTGGTGGAGGTGGAGGCGGAGGTAGCGGAGGTAGTGGGGGTGCTGTTGCGACTGGCGGTGGTGGGAGTGCAGCGTCTGGAGAGACCCCTCGTGCAGCGGCTGGTGACTCCACTGCACCTGCTGGTGGCGGCGACCCCCGAGCTCGTCAGTCGCCTCCTGTACTGCCGGCCCCGCTAGGTGGAGCACCGGCGTGGTACCAGGCTCAGCGTCAGCAGCACCTTCAGCAGCAGCAGCCCCTTTCCTCCCAGCAGCCTCAGCAGCAGCAGCGTCAGCAGCTGGCTCCGGGGTCGGGGCTGCGTCAGCCCCAGCGCGGTGCGGCTTACCCTCCCTGCCCCTACCAGGTTCAGACAGGTCCTCGACGGGGCCACTCTTGTGGCCGCTTTCACCCCCCTGGTCAGTGCTTTGCTCAGCTCACTGACACGGTCCGGTTGACCTACGGGGTTGGCGGTCCTGCTCCTGACTGGCTTCCTCTGGTTCAGCGCTACGGCTCCGCTCTGTGGGGCATGTCTGCTGAGCAGTTAGTTGATCTGATTAGTGCTCCTCATGCTATGTATGCTGTTGTTGACTCTAGTGTTTCTGACTCTGTTTACTCTGGTGTTGTTAGCTTAGGTGCTAGTCTTGCTCAGTTGCCTGTTGCTAGTGTAGGTACTTGTGTAGACTCTAGACCAGCGACTACCTCAGACGACGCTTCGCTGTCGTTCACACTGGACTCTGGAGCCTCCCACTGCTTCTTCCGGGACAGCACGACACTTACACCACTTCCTGCGCCTGTTTCTGTAGCGTTGGCTGATCCCACTACGGGACCAGACACTGCACGTCACACTACCACTTTACCGTGTCCTGCTGCTCCCTCCGGGTCTCTCACTGGGTTTCACGTCCCCTCGTTCTCCCGGAACTTGGTGGGCGTGCGACCCCTCGTGAGTCAGCACGTAGGTGTGTGGTTTGAGCCTTCTGGAGAGACTGCGGTGTGTGTTGACGGAGACTCTTACCAGCCTCTTGCTACCTTTACTGCTGAGCCGGGCTCGGGTCTCTACACTCTTCACACTGGCCCGCGTGCGCCGCAGCAGCAGCCGCAGCAGCAGCAGCAGCCGCAGCCGCAGCAGCAGCAGCAGCAGCAGCAGCACCAGCGGCCGCACCAGCAGCCCCCCCTACTGCCACTGCCCCCGGTTCCCCCCCCGTTCGGGTCCCCGCGTCTCACCAGGTTGCTTCGTCCCCCCAGGTGTCTGTGTCGTGTCAGGTTCCTACGTCTGTTCCAGTCGCTGCGTCGTGCTCCTGCCGGTCGCTTGCCCACCCCACCGTTCTGTGGCACCACCGGATGGGGCACCCGTCCCTTCCTCGTCTACGCGCTATGTCTAGTCAGCGTCTTGTCCTAGGCCTCCCACGTGTCTTGCCGTCGCTGCCGCCTTCGCTTGCGCCGCCGTGTCGTCCCTGCGTCGAGGGTAGGCTGCGCGCCACCCCTCACTCCTCCTCCCTTCGTCCGGCCACCGAGCCTTTTGAGACGCTTCACTTGGACGTCTGGGGCCCCGCCCCTCGTCTAGGCCCTGAGCGTGAGCGTTACTTTCTGGTGGTCGTTGACGACGTCTCCTGCTACACCACAGTGTTCCCTCTGGCGAAGAAGTCTGAGGTGACTTCTACGCTGATCAGGTGGTTGCTCACCACCGAGGACACTCGTGGTCGTCGTGTCAGCTGTCTCCACTCCGACCGTGGGGATGAGTTTCGCTCCGGCATTCTCGCTGGATTCTGTCGCGAGCAGGGCATTTGTCAGTCCTGGACGCTTCCAGAGTCCCCACAGCAGAATGGGGTTGCTGAGCGCCGCATAGGCCTGGTCATGGAGATCGCCCGCACCTCCCTGACTCACGCCTGTGCCCCCCATTTTCTGTGGCCCTACGCGGTCAGGTACGCCGCGCACCAGCTGAACCTCTGGCCACGTGTCTCTCGACCAGAGGTTTCACCGACCAGTCTTTGGACAGGGTCCCCTGGTGTTGCGTCGCGGTTTCGTGTCTGGGGGTGCTTGGCTCTTGTCCGCGACACCTCCGCGGACAAGCTCTCGCCTCGTGCCGTCCCCTGTGTCTTCCTTGGTTTCCCTGAGGACTCCTCTGACTTCACCTTTTACCACCCTCCCTCTCACCGGTTCTTTGACTCCCGTGACGTCCGTTTCGAGGAGTCCACTCCGTACTACGTCAGGTACCCCAGTCGAGGTCTCCCGGTTCCTCCTCCCCCCCTCTTCCTGACTGCCGCTCCCCCTCCTGCTCCCCCGGTACAGCCTCCCCCCCCTGGCCCAGCCCCGTCAGGTGTGTCCCAGGCTACCCCTCCTCCTTCGGTAGCCCCTCCGGTACAGCCTCCCTCCCCACAGTCCTCCTCGCAGCGTGCCGCTGGTGCTAGCTCTCGAGAGGTTGGTGCTGCGCCTGTTCCTGTACCGGTTTCTGGTTCTGGGGGTGCTGGTGTTGGAGCTGGTGTTGGAGCTGTAGGTGGAGCTGGTGTTGGAGCAGGAGGTGGAGCTGAAGGAGGCACTGGAGTTTCTGGTTCTGGGGGTGCTGGAGTTGGAGCTGGAGTTTCTGGTTCTGGAGTTGGAGCTGACCCGGTGGGTGCAGAGGACTCTTGTCGTCCGGGAGCTGGTGCTGGTCGCGCGGACACTGGGGGTGAGAGTGCACCTCCTTCGGGTTCTGGTGAGCCTGGGTCTGGAGCTGGTGTTAGTGCTGCCTCTGGGGGTGGTGCGCCTGGTTCTTCGGGGGTGGACTCTGGAGCTACCGCTGCTTCGGACACTACTCCGCCCCCCCACCCCTACCCGACTAGGCACCAGGCTCGTGTTCGCCGTGCCCGTGACGAGCAGCTGGCGTTGGAGAGAGAGGAGAGGGAGTTACAGCGGCTGGAGGAGCAGCAGCAGCAGCTGGAGCCGCAGGAGCAGCAGCAGCAGCAGCAGCAGCTGGACCCGCAGGAGCAGCAGTCCCAGCAGCAGCCGCGTCCGCAGCAGCAGCAGCAGTCGCAGCAGCAGCAGCAGCAGCCACTTCCTCCTCCTGTCTCGGGTCTTCGGGCCCTTGGTCTCCCCTCCCCTTCTCCTCCCTCCTCCGCCTCTCCTCCTGTCTACGGTCCCACGTTTCCTCCGCCTGACTCCTCCCCCGCTGTTTTCTCCAGTTCTCCGCCTTTGTCCTCTCCTCCTCCGTCTCGTTCTTGGGCTACTCGTCGCTCCCCTTGTGCTCGTCCCTCGTCTCCTGTTCCCTTCACTGACCTTTGTACTGCCTTACTTTGTTCTAGTCCACCTCGTCCGTCTCAGTCAGTGCTTCCGTCTCCTCCTGAGTCGGCCCTCACCGTGTCGCTCCCTGCTCCCGTCACTGACTACTACCGCACGTACCGTCCTGTTCTCTCTCGTGTTCTCGCCTCTCTTGTTACTCACCCTCGTGCCTCTGTGTCCTCTGTGTCCGCTCTTACTGCCGCAGTTACTGACTTTGCCTCTACGCGTCGCCTTGACTACGCCACCACGCTTGTGGCTGCTCCTCCTACCAGTCCTCTGGCCGTCGGGGGTGTGTCTGCCCTTGGCTGTGACGCCCTAGAGGACAGGCAGTTTGAGCTAGAGTTCCTGGCGGCCGCTTCCCCTCATCTCTGTGCCATGCTCCTCGCCCCTGAGGGTGACCCCGACGCCCTTGACATTCCGACTCCTCGCACTTACGCTGAGGCAGTGTCAGGGCCTTGGGCCTCTCAGTGGAGAGCTGCCATGGACGCAGAGATGGCCTCCTACAGATCCACATGCACCTACGTCGATGAGGTTCCCCCCCCTGGGGCGAACGTAGTCGACGGCATGTGGATCTACAGGGTGAAGCGGCCACCGGGATCTCCCCCGGTCTTCAAGGCGCGCTACGTGGCTAGAGGTTTCAGTCAGCGCGAGGGAGTTGACTTCTTTCAGACCTTCGCACCTACCCCGAAGATGACCACTCTTCGGGTGTTACTACACGTAGCAGCACAGAGAGACTACGAGTTACACTCTCTCGACTTCTCCACTGCTTTCCTTCAGGGCAGCCTACACGAGGAGGTCTGGTTACGTCGTCCCTCGGCCTTCACTGGCACTTTCCCTCCTGGGACCCAGTGGAGGCTGAGGCGACCTGTTTACGGTCTTCGCCAGGCCCCTCGTGAGTGGCACGACACTCTGCGTTCTACCCTCTCTGACCTTGGGTTCCAGCCGTCTTCTGCCGACCCTTCGCTGTTCGTTCGTCGTGGCTCCACACCGTTCTTTGTCCTGGTCTACGTCGACGACCTCGTTTTCGCCACTCCGGACAGGGTTGCTTTGGCAGACGTGAAGTCCGAACTGCAGAAGAGACACACGTGCACTGATCTTGGTGAGCTGCGCCACTACCTTGGCCTGCAGATCACCAGGGACAGAGCCGCTCGCACCATTACACTCTCACAGTCACACATGGTGCAGCAGGTCCTTCAGCGGTTCGGGCTTCAGCACTCCACCGTACAGCGCACACCTCTCGCTGTTGACCACAGACTCACTGGTCCCTTTCCTGACGAGCCGTTTGAGCCTAGTGGTCCCTACGCAGAGCTTGTGGGTTGCCTCATGTACCTGATGACTTGTACTCGCCCGGACCTCGCCTTCCCTCTCAGCATCCTTGCGCGCTTTGTTGCGCCAGGGAGACACCGTCCTGTTCACTGGACGGCAGCTGTGAGGGTGGCGAAGTACCTAGCAACTACATCAGGCGTGGGGCTAGTTCTTGGAGGGCAGCAGTCTGTCGTACTCACTGGTCACTGTGACTCCTCTTACGCTGACGACGCTGAGACTCACAGGTCTACTCACCATTCATTCCTCATTCTGACAGCAAGACCAAGGGGAACGTCAACCGAGACCCCCACGAACCATCCTTCTGACTTTGATCAGAGCATGATGGATAAATGTTTCTCCTTCATGTCCTTCTACGAGCAGCACCAGCAGTCGGGACCTGCACAGACACACAACAGCAACAACGGAGCGACACCCATGAGCCTTGACGGGTCGTCATATGCGCGAGGGAATCAACAGCAGCAACCCACCTTCGCCCCGTACGAGCGCGGGTCGATCAGCTTCCTGCCTCAACCTCCACCTGCGCAAGACAAACCAATGGACGCATTACAGTTCAGTCGCAATTCGCGCATGTCTTGAAACTGCAAACATCAAGACCTTTTGACGGAAAGGACTTCTTCACCTGGTCCTTTGAATTCGAGCTAATGATGGAGGGCGCGCAGATACTCGGTCTCTTCGACGGATCCCTGCAGTATCCAGCAAACGGCACACAGTATGAGAAGCAGCAGTATACGTATCAATCGATGATGGCGTATACTATTCTACTGAGAAACATCACACCAACTCAGCAGCAGAACATTCGCTCTTACCGGACCTTTGGCAACTCGGCGGAACTCGCGTATGGCCATCTGAAGAACCTGTATCAAGCAACAGACAGTGTAAACCAGAGCAGGTTAATGGCGCAGTTGACAACAGTTGAAATGAAACCAGGAGAAAAGGGGTTGGCGTATATCAGCCGATGTCGCGAATTGCGCGACAAGCTTCTTCGATGCGGAGGATCAATCTCTGAAGACGCCTTCGTAACAGTCATCATCGGTGGCCTCGGTCCTCAGTGGCGCGCCACCAAAGCAATACTTCGAGCCCACGGAAGAATTTCTGAAGCAGCGCTCTGCGCCGAAATACACGCCGAGCAGCAGGACATGGATCTGCAAGAAGAACGACACAAACGAAAGACGACAACGTCAGAATTCGCTTTCCATACTCAGCGACGACACAACAACTACAACAACCGACAGCAGCAGCCGAAGCCAGTACCTCCGTTTTGTCACATCTGCAAGACATCAGGGCACCCACGCACGCACTGCCCGAATCGACAACAGTTAACTGCCTTGCAGCGGCAACTACGACCTTCAAGCAGTCAAGTGACTTCAACACAGGCGAACCCGACGACTCAGGTCCAAGCCTCAACTTCACCGGGACAACCTGCACAAGGAGCAAGAAACATCATCAGCTGCATGGCAAGACTGAGCGAATCCTGCATCACCGAGTCACCGCCACATTACTCACCAGAAGACCATCTCGACAACACCACACCTCGCCGCGAAGCACTCGAACCAAATCCAACGTACGCCGCCATCGCCCAAAGCGAGCCTTCAGGGACAGACACGTGGTTCTTGGACAGCTGTTGCGGACAGCACATGTGCTCTTCAGGACGCTTCGTACAACACGAATACCAGCTTCAACGGGAAGTCGTCATTACCGTCGCCAACAACCAGAACCTGCGCACACGACGGCAAGGAATCGTACAACTTCAGTCGCGAGAGACAAACGTCATACTACAGATGTCAAAGGTTTTAATTGCAGAAGGCCTCGGCTACAACTTACTGAGTGTCAGTCAGCTGATGGCGAAAGGTATTCACCTCGAAGCAGACAGCACCATCCAGGAGTTCAAGTTGTACCATGGGAGAGGAGGTCTCTACATCGGGAAGGCAGTCCTCAAGAACAACGTCTTCGTCTTGGACTTCGTTCCCGATCTTGGCACCGCCGACAGTGACGCCATAGTTACCTTCACCAACTAGACACACCCTCCGGACCTTGACCCTGACTTCAGTCCGGGCGGCTTCTGGTATTCGCATACCATCCCTGAGACAGAGCGAACAAGGGCATTAGCAACAATTCAACGGTCAGCAGCAGCAGAGACAACATCGGGAGCAGCAGGAACAACATCGGCAGCAGCAGAGACAACATCGGGAGCAGCAGGAACAACATCGGCAGCAGCAGAGACAACAACGGCACCAACAACAACACCAGTCGCTGGTCCTTCAACGGCACCAGTCCTCGTTGACGACGCATCACCGACACCTGCACAACAGTTTCAGCCAGCACCACGAGAGTTTCATCACAGCCCCAACTTCACCGCCAGCTTCTACTCCAACTCGGATCTGTACCGACGATCACCCGGACACCGTGCCGACGAAGCAACCTGGCACGCAAGAATGGGACATCCAAGCAACACAGTGTTAAACAACACAATACGAGCAGGAGTGCTCGACAAAGACTCACTCCTATTAACCGACGGACAAGAACTCCAACGCGTACGCGGCACATGCTTCACCTGCCCAGAAGGAGACCTACCTCATCAACCGTTCCCATCGCACCACAACCCAAGTGCACCAGCTTACACACCACTCGAAAAGGTGTACAGCGACATCCTGTACAACCGTGAACCAGGGCAGAATACGTACCTCTACACGATTACCTTCATCGACGCCGCAACACGCTACGTCTGGCACCTGAATCTCCCAAGCAAAGATATGGCGTTCGAGGCGTTCGTCGCGTGGCTTCCCGTAGCAGAGCGGGAATCGGGCGTCAAGTTAAAAAGCTTCCAAACAGACGGAGGAGGAGAATATACCTCGACGAGGTTCAAGAACTACCTGGCTGAGAAAGGCATCAAGCGCCTCATCTCCCTTCCTTACGCCCATCAACAACAGGGTGTAGCAGAAAGGCTGAACAGGACCCTCCAAAACACCATGCGGAAACTGTTACGTGGCATGCGGCTTCCCAACCACCAGTGGCCAGAAGCGATGGACCACGCTGTAATGCTACACAACTTGCTCTCCTCGTCGTCACTCCCGAACAACGCATCACCGCATCTGCTGTGGACCGGGAAATTGGGCAACACAAAAATGTTACGAGTTTTTGGGTGCATGGTACAGTACCGACCACCATCTGCACGGGCCGGCCGATTTTCGCAACGAGCACAGTGGGGGCTACACCTGGGCATAAAAAAACACTACAACGCATGGAAAATCTTCGACGTCCACACGAAGGAAACAGTGGCAGCACGTGACATCATCTTCTACGAACGACTCACCATGCAAACTTATCTTGCCAACCTGGACGAGAACCGAGACCCCACAGGTGGTTTCCGTGGCAACCGAGCCTTCGCATCGGCAGAAGACGAAGCTGACTAGGACGAGCAGAACGTGGAAGGAGCCTCGGAAGTAGCCGGACCACTCCCGTACTGCTCCGTCAACGTCCCCATGGATGACGAAAACCCCGCGCGACAGTAACAACGCCGAAATCTACTACCACTTCGCCGACAACGGTTACGTAACACCTGCAAGAGTCAACGCCGACGAAGCTGAACGCATAGGAACAAACTTCATACCTGATCCAGAAGAGGGAGACGAAGCAGCCTATCCCGAGGACAACACTCTCCCCGGCACACTCCCCCGCTACACACAGAGTGGCCTCCAAATCCTTGGACTCGTCACCGCAGTCCATGGCGCCGCCATTCCTAAAGAGCCTGCGACGGTTCAACAGGCTCTGGGGGGGGAACATAGGGAGAAATGGCGTGAAGCCATGGACAAAGAGCTGAAGGCACTGGAGGAGCGCAACACCTGGAAAATCGTTCCCATCGGCGTAGCACAAAACAAGACTATCCTTACCGGGAAGTGGGTCTTCCGTGTGAAGACGAAACCTGACGGCACCATCGACAAATTCAAAGCTCGTTGGGTCGTGCGCGGCTTTGACCAGGAGCACGGAAGAGACTACACCGAAACCTTCGCTCCGGTCAGCCGTCACACCTCACTCCGAATCCTCATCGCCATCGCCGCCATGAAGAAAAAGAAACTGCGACAAATTGACGTCGCAAACGCATTTCTCTACGCACCTGTGGATGCAAAAATCTTTGTCGTGTCGGAATGAGAAACAGGAATGAATGTGACTAGCAGGAACAGCAGTACAAATATGAAACCCTAATCTGGTGTACCCCCTATGGTGTGACCCACTACAGCCTAGAACCACACAAACATATAATGTTTGACACACCCCCATAGGCAAAGTGGGGGAGACCTAGGGGTCACAAGACCAGTCAAGGCAAAGCAAGGCAAACAAGCTCAGGGTGGATCTCGAGGATTCCACACAAATTCCGAGCACAAGCAAGTGGTCACAAGACCAGTTCACATGCAGTTTTATAATAGAGCAAGAGGTACAATGATCACAACCTAGCAAGGGCAAACATGCAGGTATATATATATAATGATCACAGTACAACCAAAGTCAAGAAGTAAGCAAGTGAGGAACAGTCGGCACAAGGCCTAGAAGAGTGCAAAAACGCTGATGGTCAACAGGCGGAAGCGCCTTGGTGAACACATCAGCAGTGTTGGCCTCAGTGGCCACGTAACGCAGAAGAAGCTGACCACGCTGCTGTAGCTCTCGAGCTAGAAAGTAACGCAGAGCAATGTGCTTCGTCCTGTGCTCCAGTCTGTGCTCCTAACACAAGGCTATGGTTGCCTTGTTGTCGACGTACAGCACTGGAGGAGAACGAGGCTGCTCTCCAAGGTCAGTCAGCAGGTAGGTGAGCCAGCGAAGCTCCTGGGCAGCCATGGCCGTGGCGTAGATCTCAGCCTCACAGCTGGAGCTGAGAACAGAAGAAGAACGAGTAGAACGCCAAGAGACAGAGCCAGAGCCAAGACTGAAGGTGTAACCCTGAGACGACCGCTGAGTAGCCTGGTCGTCTGCCCAAGAAGCGTCTGAGTGCCCAGTGAGAACAGGCCGGTCTCGCCCTCCAAGCACTAGCCCCATGCCCGACGTACTGCACAAGTAGCGCAACACCCTCTTAGCTGCATCCATGTGCTCCTTCCGGTGACGGCCGGGAGCGACATAGCGTGCTAAGATGCTGAGAGGGTATGCAAGGTCAGGTCGAGTGCAGGTCATCAGGTACATGAGGCAGCCCACAAGCTCTGGATACGGACCACTCGGCTCTATGGACTCATCCGAAGGCAGAGCTGTGAGCGAGTGTCCCGTAGGCAGAGGAGTGGACTGAGGCGAGGAGTACGTGAAGCCGAAGCGCTGAAGGACCTGCTGCACCATGTGTGACTGAGTCAAGGTGATGGTGCGCCGTGCTCTGTCCCGGGTGATCCGCAAGCCAAGATAGTTTGTCAGTTCACCCAGGTCTGTGCACGTGTGTCTCTTCTGCAGCTCGGACTTCACGTGAGCGAGACCATCTGTGTCAGAAGTGGCAAAGACCAAGTCGTCGACGTACACGAGGATGTAGAACGGCGGCAGTGAGGGGTCGGTGCGTAGAAACAGCGACGGGTCAGCAGTAGAAGGAGCGAACCCAAGAGCCGCAAGTGTAGTCCCCAGTGTGTCGTGCCACTCACATGGCGCCTGGCGGAGACCGTAGACTGGCCGCCGGAGGCTCCACTGGGTACCAGGAGGGAACGACCCAGTGAAGCCAGGTGGGCGGCGCAGCCAGATCTCCTCGTGCAGGCTGCCCTGCAAGAAAGCTGTGCTGAAGTCAAGAGAGTGGAGCTCGTAGTCACGCTGAGCGGCGACGTGTAGCAGAACCCGAAGAGTGGTCATCTTCGGGGTCGGGGAGAAGGTCTGGAAGAAGTCAACTCCCTCTCGCTGACTGAAGCCTCGTGCAACGTAACGCGCCTTGAAGACAGGCGGAGAGCCCGGCGGCCGCTTCACCCCTGAAAATCCACATGCCACTGACGATGTTCGCCCCAGGTGGGGGAACCTCGTCGACGTAGGTGCCAGTGGACTTCCAGGAAGCCATCTCTGTGTCCATGGCTGACTGCCACTGAGAGGAGTAGGGACCGGCCATCGCCTCTGCGTAAGAGCGTGGGGTCGGGATGTCTGGTGCATCCGGGTCTCCCTCAGGGGCAACAAGCATGGACACGAGATGGGGCAAAGCAGCGGCAAGGCAACCAAACTCCTCCTGCCTGTCCTAAAGAACGTCCGTGCCAAGAGCACACTCACCCCCGACGGACGGAGGACAGACAGACTCAGACTCAGCAACAAGACTCGCAGCGTAGTCCTAGACGACACGCAGCAGCAAAGTCGACAAGCTCAGTGACTAAGGCAGACGCAGCAGCGGACTCAAAGGAAGGGTCAGTGACAACCGTAGCCAGGAGACGTGTGACAGTAGGACTGGCAGCGCGAAGGGTGTCTGACTCCGTGTCAGCAAGAGCAGGAAGAGAGGACGCAGGAGGCGACGGGAGAGCGACACGCTGCGGAGCAGTGGACAGACGAAGCGCCATCTGGTGAGTGCCTGGGACAGCTGGAGGACGCTGACGCTGGACACGACTACCAGTGGTAGCAGCACGAACAGGCAACGCTCGACGAGACGCAGGTGACACAGGACGTGACGCAGGCTCACGTCTCTCAGCAAGACCTCCAGTCGGACCAGTGTAAGGAGTAGGCACAGGGAGTGGGGAGGCAGGCGGTAACTGTGGCTGTGACTGGACAGACGGCGGACACTCTAAGGCGAGAGGAGGACAAGGAGGAGGAGGCTGACCAAGAACCTGCTGAAGGAGCGGAACGAAGTACGGCCGTGGCCGTGCAGCAACTCCCGAACCAGCAGAGACACCAGCGGCAGGGTCCTCAGCACCAGCACAAGCTCCACCCTCCGGGTCCTCCACTCCAGCAGCAGCAGCAGCACCTCCAGCAGCACCAGCAGCACCTCCAGCAGCAGCAGCACCTCCAGTACCAGGGTCCGCAGCACCCGCAGCAGCTCCAACGCCCGGGTCCTCAGTACGAGCAGCACCTCCAGCAGCACCGCCAGCAGCAGCAGCACCTCCAGCACCAGGGTCCGCAGCACCCGCAGCAGCGTCAACTCCGGGGACCCCAGCACCAGCAGCTCCACTCCGGAGACTGATGTGCCGAGCGTACCACTCTCGAAGCTGTGGGGAAGAGGGCGGCTCCCGCCGTGGTGGGGGAAACACGAGTACCAACTCCAGTAGCACCACGAGCCCGAGACGCACCCCGCCGGAGGCTGCAGTACCGTGAGTACCACTCACGTAGCTGCTGCGAAGAGGGAGGTCCTCCAGGCGCCTCACAGTCAACTGCAACACCACCAGGCTCAGCACCCCCAGACTCAGCAACGCCAGGCTCAGTACCCCCAGACCCAGCACCCCCAGGCTCAGCACCCCCAGTCTCAGCACCCCCAGACTCAGCACCCCCAGGCTCCACCCGCTCAGGCTCCGCACGCTCAGGCTCCGCACGCTCAGGCTCAGCACCTCTAGCAGGACGCGAGTCGACAGCTACCTCGGCAGGCTCAACCGGGTCTACCTGAGAGACACCTGAGGGAGCGGCACCCTGAGGGGGAAGGGGGTCTACCACTGCAGCACCTGGCGCGAGGAAGAGAGGCGGGGGAGGGAGCGGGGCAGTGCGGTAGGGGAAGAGGCGGTAGAAGGGCACGGACTCGTCAAAAGTAACGTCCTGAGAGGGGAAGACGCGGTGCGAGGCGGGGTGGTAAAAACTGCCAGCCAGACGCATCCGGGACAAAGCCAAGAAAGACACAGGGAGCAGTGCGGGAGGAGAGCTTGTCCGCAGACGTGTCGCGAACAAAAGCTCGGGATCCCCAGACACGGAAGCGTGACGCATCGCCAACCTCCCCCGTCCACAGCAGTGTGGGCGAGGTCTCCGGAGCGGAGACACGGGGCCAGAGGTTGAGCTGATGCGCAGCGTACCGGACCGCAAACGGCCACAGAAAGTGGGGGGGCAGCCGCGTGGACTAAGGAGGTACGAGCGACCTCCATGACCAAGCCAATGCGGCGCTCAGCAACCCATTCTGCTGTGGAGAGGCCGGAAGCGTGAACGACTGGCGAATGCCGTGCTCGGCACAGTAGGCTGCCAAGAGGTCGGAGGAGAACTCGCCACCTCTGTCAGAGTGCAAGCGCAGGACAGGAAACTCCGAGCGGAAAACGCTCTCGCAGCTGAAGAAGTGCTCTGCTGATCCAAGGGATCAGGACATCAGGGACTTCACCCTTGGTGCGCAAGGGGAAGACCGTGGTGTAGCGCGAGGTAGTCGTCAACGACGATCAAGAAGTACCTCTCCTGGCCCTGACCACGGACGCGGGCTGGGCCCCACACGTCCATGTGGAGCGTCTGCAAAGGAGCAGTCGTCGGGGAGAACGAGGAGGAGTGAGGGGCAGCGCGCTGCCGCCCCTCGACACAGGGAAGACAAGGAGGAGCAAGGGAGGGTGGGAGGGGAGGGAGTACCCGAGGAAGACTAGAGACAAGGTACCGGGAGTGCATGCCCCGAAGGCGCTGCACTGACGGGTGACCAAGTCGGTGGTGCCAGAGGACAGTCTTGTGCGCTAGAGAGCGACACGAGCAGGGGGCAGACAGCTGACCTGACGCAGACGCAGACGCAGACGCCGCTACCTGAGGGGACTCAGTGGTCAGTGTGTACAGGTCCGACCCCGGCTGCCGAGTGAAGGTAGCCAGGTGACGGCCCGTCCGAGCACACGTGCAGTGTGTCACGCGCTCGTAGGCAGGGGTGAACTGGTGAACACCCCCATCCTGAAGCGCACAACCCGCCACCAAGTTCGTAGAGAACGAGGGGAGGTGGAGACCTGACAGTGTGCCCGACGGGACAGCAGGACAAGGAAGGACAGTGGAGGAGGTCGCAATGACCGGACCCCCAGAGGGGTCAGCGAGCGAGACAGCGACTGGTCGAGCAAGGGGCTCAAGAGCAGTGCGGTCACGAAAGAAACAGCGCGAAGCGCCTGAGTCTAGAGTGAAGGTGTGCAGTGCCTCAGTGGACTCAGTAGTACCTGGGGTGGCGGACACACAAGCACCTAGAGCAGTAGCCGCACTAGCACCTGGGGCAGCAGGACACGCAAGCACCTAGGGCGGCAGCCTCACTCGTGCGGATGCCTGGGTCAGGCGGAACACACAGGTACTGGTCCTCCTCTCCACTAATAGTCAATGCATACATGGCTTTGAGAATAACATCAAAATCAAGAGCATAGATATCGATATCCTTCTTGAGGAGATCAGCCCACTGAGGGAGCTCAGGAGCGTCAGGAAATTGAGCACGCCACGCGTCATCTAGGCGAGAGAAGCAGCGCTGCGCAGTGTGCGCCCTCCCGCACGTCTGTCCCTTGCGGCGACCAGTGCGGATGACGTACGTGCAGCTAAGGCTACCCCCCCCCACCCCCGTGCTGTAAGTACCACTCACGAAGCTCCTGGGAGGACTGAGGTGCTGCGCGCTCTGGCCAGTGCCAGAGCCTCCACGACCACCACCGCCGCCTCCACCACGACCACCACCGCCCCTGCCGCCTCCACGTCCACTGCCGCACCAACCACCGCCCCCACCCCGGCCACCGCCGCCGCCGCTGCCTCCACCACCCCACCGCTGCCACTAGCCCCTCCAGCCCCGCCACCACCCCCACCGCCGCCACCACCCCCACCACCGCCTCCCCCGCCGTCACCCCCACCGCCCTTGCCTCCCCTGCCCTTGCCGCTGCGGCGCCCGCTGGGAGCGGACGCAGAGCCGACCTGCTCAGCACCAAGGAGGTCGACAGCAGCAGCAGATGCGACAGAGGGGAGCAGGGGGGAGGGGGAACACCCCTCGAAGAAAGGGGTGCGGGGGTCGCCACGAGAGGTACCTACAGCTACAATACTCTTCTCAGCTGCAAGTAGTTCCTTCTCTAGGGCGGTAATGGTGAGCTCAGTGGGGCAGCGAGCTAGGAAGTGGTCCCTGACTGTATGCAGAGTGTCAGGGAGGCGGGTGACTAGGTGGTAGAGAGGTGAGCCAGAGCGGGGGAGGGTTGGAGGCAAGAACTCAGCGGGCATGGCTGCACGGAAGCGGGCATCACTAGTGCGGAGGTGAGTGATGAGGTCAGCGACTGTCTGGAAGGCGGACAGGTCGGGGAACAGGTAGGGAAGCGAGAGGCGGCCTAGTGCAGCTGAGGCCGGGGAGGAGTAGCGCGCAACTACAGCAGTGTACAGGGCCTGCGCAGTCTGATGCTGGCCAAAGTGCTCCGCGCTCGTCTACTGGCAGGGAGTTGCGGATAGCAAAGCGGGCGTGGGCATCGCGAGTCTGCCACTGTGAGCGAGCAGTAGCAGCAGCAGTAGTAGCAGGAGGAGGGACTGTGCCTAGTGCGTGATCGTACAGCGAGATATCCTCTCTGGCAGTGAGCTGGAGGAACAGATGAAGATCATCGAGCCAGGTCTCAAACTTAATCGGGCGGCCCTCAGTATCGAACGAGAGAACTGGAGGGCTAGCCATAGCTGAAGTAGCAGTAGCAGAAGTAGCAGTAGCAGTAGCAGCAGCAGCAGCAGTAGCAGCAGCAGTAGCAGTAGCAGTAGCAGTAGCAGTAGTAGTAGCAGTTCAGTACTGGTGCTGCTGCTCAGGTAAGGAGGGCGCGGCTCGGCTAGGACGGCGCGGCTCGGCTAGGGCGGCGCGGCTCGGCTAGGGCGGCGCGGCTCGGCTAGGGCGGCGCGGTTCGGGTCGGGTCGCGCAGCGCGGCTCGGCCGTAGAGGGGCGAGCGCGGGAGGGGCCGTGAGAGGCAAGCGCGGGGGGCCGTTCGGGGGCCGGTCGGGGCTAGCGCGAGGCCATTCGGGGCCGTAGGAGGCTAGCGCGGGGCCTTAAGGGGCCGTGGGAGGCTAGCATGGGGCCTGAAGGGGCCGTGGGAGGCTAGCGCGGGGCCTTACGGGGCCGTGGGAGGCTAGCGCGGGGCCTGAAGGGGCCGTGGGAGGCTAGCGCGGGGCCTTACGGGGCCGTGGGAGGTTAGCGCGGGGGCCACACGGGGCCGTTCGAGGCTAGCGCGGGGCCAATCGGGGCCGTAGGAGGCTAGCGCGGGGCCGTAGGTGGGCCGTGGGAGGCTAGCGCGGGGCTACACGGGGCCGTTCGGGGCTAGCGCGGGGCCGTAGGGGGCCCGTGAGAGGCATAGCGCGGGCCGACGCGGGGCCTTAAGGGGCTAGCGCGGGGTCTTAAGACGGGGCCGTGAGAGGCCGTAAGGGGCGACGCGAGGGAACGAGGCGCACGAGGGCGCTAGGAAAAGGCGGCGCACGAGGGCGCGGCTAGCGGAAACGGTGGGCCCTAACGTTCCGGTCCTAGGTGGAACCTAGGCTCGTAATACCATGTCGGAATGAGAAACAGGAATGAATGTGACTAGCAGGAACAACAGTACAAATATGAAACCCCTAATCTGGTGTACCCCCTATGGTGTACCCACTACAGCCTAGAACCACACAAACATATAATGTTGACACGTTGAGCTCCCGCCACGGCTCCCACGGTGAACCAAACCAAGTCTGTCAACTGCTTAAG